GTCTCTAGCTCAGGAGACAGCAACATCACCAGAACGTATGGACTGCTCTGCACCAATAGTACCAGCAGTTTCCCTGGACACACAAGTTCCTAGACATATACCCCACCATGAATGCTCCCTAGGGGTGTCCTTCCCCACAATGGTGCTGTGGTCATCTGGATAGGATGACTTTTTCTTATACCTATTTCACCAAGGCTTTTGTTAAAATGACTTCTGCCTTACATTCTCGAGTTGCATGGTAAAAGAGCTACGCCGCTGGGGGCTCATGAGCTATCTTCTTCCTGACAGATGCACACGCTCAGGGGCCCATGTGGAAAGAGTGTACACGGACGGCCTGTTTCATCATCACACTTCTCATGATGAAGACTTCGGGGAGTTGAAAGGAGAGAATGTCACAACTGGAAGTCACCTGAAGCATCCCTATCACAACCCCCTCAGTTCACAGTGTGGGAACCTTACTCCTCACACCACTAGGACAGGAAAACACCTTATGATAGCTAGTCTTCAGAGAATGGGCCCTTTCCCTCTGTCTGAGGAGAGTCCCTGGGCAGGGCACTTGTAGGATACCCAGTCTCCAGACATTCAGGCAGGTTTTCCTACCTTCATTTTCTCCTGCTGTTGCAGAACTCACAATCTTCTCTCTTGGCCAAACCACACATAGAGAAACCATTTCAAGCTTAAGAAAGGAATGTGTGCGTAGTCTAAGAGAACCTAATTTAGGTCTAGAATAGAAATGTAGATCAAATCCTGCCACCACAAAACAGCTGCCGACCTCTTGGTCATGGGCACTCACTTTAAGCTGGCCAAAACAGCTGGGGCCCTCTGTGTCCCAGGGGAGTAGCTACTTTGGTGTCCTCATCTGTAAAACAGGGGATAGAGACCCCAAGGGTACCCTCCTCACCTAGCTGCTGGAAGGCTTTCCTGAGATCATGTCTGAAGCACCATGGGCCAGCCTCAAAGGCTCTGTGAGCATCAGCCATCATCCCTCCTGCATCAGACCCTTCCTCTCCAATTGCACAACAGTCAGAGCCCTGCCTGGTTCTAATCTGGACAACAGCTTCCTACGGGGTTTCCCTGCTTCTGTCTCCCCTCCACCCCCTCACTCCCCCGCCTCTGACCAATCTTCCTCTTCCTAGAGCACATGGGTCTAATCTCACCACTCTCCCAAACAAGAATGTCAGTGATGCCCTATCGCCTCCAGGACAAAACACAGGCTCTTTACCTGCCACGTGAGCTGCTCTTCCTTCACACACTACATGCTTCCATCAAACTGGCCTCTTGGCTGTTGCCTGAATTTGGCCTCCAAACTCCCGCTTCCATGCTTTTGCACAGGCTTAACTAGAATAGGAGAAGTACATAAAAGGGGAGGAAGGTGTAAGAGGATAGGAGAGGTAGGAAGGAGCTAAGCTATAAACGGCTTTGAAGGCCAAATAGAAGATTTTGGATTGTCTCCTGGAGGCTACAGGGAGCCACTGGAGTTGGCTGAGTGAGAGGCTGGGGTCTGACAGGCGCAGCTTTAGAAGGATGGACTGGAGCAGGGAACATGGGGGAAGACTGGAGGTAGGTAGATTCCCCCTAGCAACTACTGCCATAATGAGGTGATGAGGGTCTGCACCAGGGTCGGGGCAGGGTCAGAGGAGAGAAGGGGGTGAATTGGGGAGATGCTGTGGAGGTGAAATCTAGGAGAGACGCTCCAGAAGAGAAATCGACCAGGGATGCAGCAGAGGTGAAATCAACATACTTCGGCGCTATATTAGATCTGGAGGGTGAGAAATAGTGAGGAATCCAGGATGACCCCTAGGTTGAGAGCCTGAGGGGACTGGTAGGATAGTGTCCTTGACAGTAATAGAGAAAGTAAGAGGGGATGTATATTTAGGGGGAAAGATAAGGAGTTCTGTTTTGCACATGTTGAGTTTAAGATGTCTACTGGACACCCAGTGCAAAACATCTCAAAGGCAGCTGGAGATGCGAGATTGGAGATCAGTGGAAAGGCTGACAGAGGAATGGAAGATGGATTGGAAAGGAAGGAAGGAGAGAGGTGGGGAGAGAAGTGGGAGGGAGATACTAAGGCTAGGGAAGAGGGAGAAAGACTTTAGTTGAAATGCTGCACCTTAGACAAAGACCAGATTTATGAGTCAACTCAAGTTCAGCGAAGTGCCTGATGATCCTGTAGTCTGTGAGCATTTCCTTTAAAACAGGAGCCAGCTGGGACAAAGAGGGGTGGGGAGCATCCTAGTCCCACCCAGGGCTGAAGGAGGCAGGTGCTCTCCTTCCCCTGGAGCAAACACAGAGGGCTCAGAGGCCCTGAACCCAAAGGGCTGGCCTCAAAGCCCCAGCATCACCTGAAAGCTGGACAGAGGACAACACCCACACCCCCTCTGCCATCATGGGAAAGGGACTCTCTGACACAATGACCCCTTCCTGATCTGTCCTGACCCCATGCTTTGTTGTGGCAGTTTTCCAAAACACACTGATCAACAGCCTTTTCCAATTTTATGCCTAATAAATCCAGCAACCACGTGCCATATAAAACTTGATCTTCAACAAGCTGCTTGGACGTTCCCACAGCTCAGCTATGCACCAATAACTCCTACTTCATGAATCATCTGTCAGGGTTTAAATAGCATTTCATTTACCACTAGGTCTGTGTTAAAGCTCTTCCCTGTGATTTATGACACCCTTTCCCAAACTGAACGGAAGGCGCTCTAATGAGACGTGATCTGTCTCTCTCATCTTCACATCGGATTTTCCACCATTCAAAGAAACTGCTTTCCAAGTGAGCCAAATGCCACACTCACCAAGCTTGCCATGACATCTTGACGAGAAGGTTAAAAAAGCAAACCAGTCAATCCTGTCGAAACCAACTTCAACCCCCTTTCACAGAGACGTCCAAAAGGATGGGGGCTTGGGTCTCTAAGCTCTCACGAGAAACTGATTTCATATCACATGTTGAGAACAATCTGGTACATAGACCAAAGAATGGCCCTGCCATGCCACCAACCAAGGCACACAGCAGCCCCCTCTTCCCGTCCAAATCCTGCCCTTGTCCTCCAGGGCAGCACTGCCCAACAGAAGCCAAAGGTCTGTGGATCTCACTTCTTGGCTCTCATTACTGGATGCCTTTTTTTAATGGTGTTTTTTTTTTGTTTATATACTCCCTTCATTTCTGAATATATCCCTCTCCCCACTGGAAGGAGGACTAAAAGAGAAAAAAAAACAGTTTAGCAAAACTAGTCAACCATAGAGGTTTCTGAGTATGTGATATTCCACACCCATATTCCCCCACCTCTGAACAAAGGGAAGAAGCCATTTTCTCGCTCTTCTCCACTGATTAGACTAACTTTTTTGTTACTATAATTACACTGCACTCCAGCTCAATGTTTTGTTCTTTCATTCTCATTGTGGACATCATTGTGTCTATGAGTGCAAGTGCAAAGGGGAGAGGGAGAGAAGAGACAGAGAAAGGAGGTGGGGGAGAGAGAGAGATAAGAGAGGAAAAAAGAGAGGGAAAGAGAGAGAAGAGATAGAAAAAAGAGAGGAGAAAGGGGAGAGGAAGAGAGAGGAGAGAAAGGAGAAAAGAGAGAGGGAGGGAGGGAGAAAGAAAGAGAAGAGACAGAGAGAGGAAGAGAGGAGGAAAAAACAGGGAGGAGAGGGGAGTGATCAGAGGCCTGGCTTTGGTGCCAATGGCGGGCATGATCTAAGGCCAAGAGGGCAGGGACAGACATGGAGGTCTACATGGGTAAGGGCGGAGAGGGTGGTCTGGGAAAAAACCAAGGGGTCAAACAGAGAGATAAAAGGTGCTGATCAGAGAAGGCGATTTCAGCGGAGTGTTTGTGGGGGGGTGGCGAGGCTGAGGGTGTGTCTGGGGTACACAAGGAGAAATGAGTAAACTGAGGCACTGGAAATTCAGGGTGCTTGAAGATTGATAGTGTGAGGCCAGAATGTGGGGAGGAGAGACCTGAGGAAGGAGGGAGAATGAGGCCCTGGGGCCCGTGGCTCGTGGCCACCAGGACAAGCCTGGACAGACAGAGTTGGGGGAAGCAGTATCCCACCCCCACCCTTGCTTCCCCCCTCGTTCAGGGGACATGGAGGCCCACGAGGCTTCCTGGGGGGGGTCCCCAAGGAAACCCACCATTTATCCATTATGGAGCAGGTATCCCAGAGAGCATCAGGGGAGGACAGTCCCATCTCATCCCAGGTCAGAGGCCAGTCTAATGACACCTGCCTCACGCCCTGGAGCTGGACACTGGAGAGACAGCTGGCTCTGTGGTAAACCCTCTGCTTCCCGTGGACTTCAGACACAGAAAGGAGCCTCAGGAGACAGCAGCATCCGCATCCAACATTTATTAGCGCTCATAATTGGTCGTCTCTCATCCTGCGACTGAGCCTCAATCAGCCTTTTGAAAAGGAGAGCCAAGCCCGCAGAGGGCATTGTGCGCCATGCATAATCAGAGAACCTGCCCATCCCCGCCAGGCCCACCCGCAGGCCCACGAGGGAGGAGAAAGTGCACGTTCTTGTTTTAAACCACGTAACAACAGAGCAACAAAGTGAAATCGTTCTAGGGGAGGAGCACAATCAACAGGATGGAGCGTCCACAGGGCATCAGGCATCTAAGGGTGAGGCCTCCCTCTGGCCAGAAAGGACATGTCCAGTATTGTCACCAAGAGCCCTCAATGCCTGGCGCCCGCCAGGAATCAGTGCAAAGAAGGGAGGATAGGAGGGAGGAGAGAGGAGAGAAGGAGGGAGAGGGAAGAGGGAGGGATGAGGGAGGAGAAAGGTAGGGAAGGAAGGAAAAGGGGAGGAGAGAGGGAGGAAGGGAGGAGGGGGGAGAGAGGGAGGGAAGAGAGGAAGGAGGAAAGAAGGGAAGAAGTGGGAAGGAAGGAGGACAGAGGGAGTGAGGGACAGAGAAGGGAATGAGGGAGGAAAAGAGGGAAGGAAGGAAGGAAGGAAGGAAGGAAGGAAGGAAGGAAGGAAGGAAGGAAGGAAGGAAGGAGAAGGAAGGAAGGAAGGAAGGAAGGAAGGAAGGAAAGAAGGAAGGAAGGACGGGGGGAGGAGAGAAGGAGAGGGAGGTCCGTGCCCGCCGGCTCACTATCTCTTGGGCCTGTCGATGTCGTCTATGGCCGCGAGGAGCTTTTGCCGCGCCTTCTTGTTGATGTGAGAGCCCAGGCACACATTCACCAGGTTGGTCAGCTGCTTGGAGGAGTACTCCTGGCCGGAGAAAGAGGACAGAGGCATCAGATAGCAGAGACAGGACCGGCCCTGGCACCCTGGGCCAGACCAGGGCAAAGACTGAGGGTGGTGCCTGGTACGCAGGAGCCACCAGAGGCCCCGTCTAGTCACACTAGGCACGCCCCCCGGCAGTCCCCCAAGGACCCTCTTCTCAGCCGCTTGTTCACTGACCCCAAGGACTCAGGGGAGGTTTGTCCCCACAGGATCCAAGAGCCAGGCTCCCACATGATGGGAGCTGCTGCCTGAACATCCATCCCTCCCAACGGGCAACCTCCTCCCAGGAAGGTGTCACCTAGAAGCATCCTCACTGGACACACGCTGGCCAAGTGCCAAAGTGAACCAGGATGCACAGACATCCCCAAAACATACAGGCCCCTCCGTGGGGTTGCAGCGGGTCTAAGCTCCCCCTCTGTCATCACCGTTTCCCTGTGTCCTAAAAGGGGCCGGGGGATCTTCCCTGAAACTGCACCTCAGACAGGAGGAGGCCTGACCTTGCAGAGCACAACACGCCTCTCCTGTTAGCGATATCAGAGAAAGCCCCCAGCGCTGTCCTCCCAAGGTCGGGGTTGCTCCAGACCCCCCGGAGCTCTCCCAGGTATTCTGGGCACGAGGAAAGGTGCCCTCGGCAGTGGTGGTGAAAGGGACCAGGCTCCACGACGGGGCCGGCCAGGGCCTGTGGGCCCAGAGAGGGGCTGACGGAGCTGCCCAAGGCTTGGGGGGGCCTCCATCCTTAGCAGGACAATACAAGGGGAAAGCCCCTCTAGAGTCTGGGAAAATTCACCCCTGGACATTCTACAGACAGCTCGTCACAAGCAAAAGTCCAGAGAGAGAAAACACTGAGTTTGGCTGTGGCTCTAACACACAGATGAGAAATAACCTTCCCCAACACTCCCAGAAGGACAAAGACCCAACCCAGCTCAGGGCTAACGCAGAAACCGCACTCAGGGTCAGGACGACCCTCGCTCTAGCCCCGCCTCAGATACTGACCAGCTGTTTGGCCCTGGGCCAGTGCTTTCACTGGTGCCTGCCTCAGTTTCCCCTTCTGTGAAGCGGGGGTAAAAACGGCACCAGTCCCCTAGGCCTGTTCTAGGTCATTAGGTCAGTCGCTCTCATCCTCATTCGCAAGGACCAGGGAAGGGCCAAGGCTGGGCAGTGAGGGAGGGCCCAGATTCCCCTAGAAATCTTCCGTGTAGCCAGAATGGGCCTACAGCTGTTGCAGACACACACACCAGGGCACGTGGCCAGGTCCGCGCTTCCCAAGGCTGAGCCGGCACCTCTGCCCAAGCTCATGAAGCCAGAGCAGCCACCACATCACCTTGGGGGCACCTCAGAGGCTCTCACCTGACTCATGACAGCCTCTGGTCTGGGCCCAAAGCTTACCACTCGCTCTGGTCCTCCTGGTCCTCCTGCCTGCCCATCCTGACTGCTCGCCCTTGTCCTGACTGCCCGCCTGACCTGATTTCCTGCCCCTGGCCTGACCACCCACCCGCCCTGACCACTGCCCATCGTGACCACCCAGCCCTGGCCTGACCGCCCACCCCTGTCCTGACCACCCACCCTGACCGCCCAGCCCCACCCGCCTCACCCGGTGCTCCTTGATCCAGCGCTCCATGTCATTCTCAGTCAGGTAATAGGCTTTGATGTAGGTCTCCACAAACTCCTTGTCAGGGATGGGCCTGATGTCTGTCAGCTTCTCCAGCTTCATGAGGAACTGCTGGAAATCCAGCTGCATCAAGGCCCGGCCCTCGTTGCTGCACTTCTTCACGTTGGCATAGCTGGGGAACAAGACAGATGCAAGTCAGTGGCAGAAGCAGGGGATAGAGGGAGGGGGGAGAGAAGGGAGAGGGAAGGATCCTGGTGTGGGCCCCCCTTCTGCCACAGCAGATCACAGCCCCTAGTCTCCTGTATACTCGCCCCATGGGGTCCCTCTACCACCACCAGGTCTCCTCTCATGGAAGACCATGGGGAATCAGGGTTTCTTCTGTCTGGCTGGTGCCATTATCCTGCAAGACTGTCCCCTAAGATGAGACATGATCCCTGCAGCTGGATTGAACCGTGCCCAAGGTGCAAAGCTTCCCAAGTTCTGAGTGCACTGAGACTTTTGGGACACCCTGCCCCCAGGCCCATCTCAGGAAGCCACGCACAGAACAAGGTCTGGGATCCGACAAGGTCAGTGACAAAGGCGGTTGCCAGAGACGGAGCTTCCCCCCGGGGGGGTGGAATGCTCTGGCGGGATGGGGCTTTGGCGCCCCTACTCCAGGAATGAGCGCGCTACTTGGCCCCCATCGCTCAATCTGCTCCTCCATCCCCGAAAGCTGCGGGGCATGATGCAGGGCAGCCTGACAAGGCCCACTCACTCACCCCTCCACAATTGTCCGGTTGGCCAGGCGGATGCAATGCTCCCACAGGATATTGGACACGGGTAGGGGGATCCGGACCCTCTTCGATACCTCTGTCAGCCTCCGGTTAAACTGCTCAAACTCCTAACGAGACAACAATGGGCCACACTGGAGCTCAAGCAGCAGAGCGGGAGGCTATGGAAGATCGGGGGGAGACAGAGGAAGGCCGTGGGAGGCCACAGAACGCCGTGGGAGGCCACGGGAGGCCGAGGAAGGCCTTGGGGGTCAGCCGGCCTTCAGTGACCCTGGACAGCCCAGCAGCCCGACCCCAGAAAACAGCCTCAGTCTCATTTTAATCCACTTCTGTCCCTGAGGCGGGGTCCTGTCCTGTCTGACAAGGCAGACTGGTCTAGTATCTAGTACACCAGCGAGCAGAGTGGCCCCTCTCAACTGAGAGAAGAGACCCCCAGCCAGCTACTTCCTGTCCCAAGGACCCGGGAGCAGAGAACTCTGGGGCTATCTCTGTAGCATCGGCATTCCAGGGCTTTGTCTGGCCCCAAAGAGAGGCTGCCTGGACCACCCTGCCCTGCCCTCCCCTCTCCCAGCCCCCAGCCCTCCAGGGCTGCCCAAGCAGGCCTGACTTCCACCATCCCCGCCCCTCTTCCTGACACTGTGGCTGAGGAGCCGCTGGAGGGCTGGTGTGAGCGCTGAAGCCCCCTTCCTTCTGGGTCAGAACCCTCACAGCCAAGAGCAGCCCAACAGCCAGGCCCTGGGGACTGACCCCAATGTGGGGGTGGGAGGGAAGAGGGACACCCAAGCACTACCTAAGCACTGTCTAGGCACTGGACTCCCCACTCACACATATGCCCAGACCCCAAGGGCAGTCCCAGGCACCAGCAGATCCCTTGGTGAGGGGTCCTTGGTGAAGGGCAGCTGGTCAGCTTCTCTGCTGCTCCCCACGCGGCCAGCCACAGCCAAAAAGCGCATTTAGGGTTAGGGCTCTGAGGAAGTCAGACTTTTCTCCTGCCCCCCAAAACAAGGCAAACTTTGGCCTGCCTTTGCCCCAGGCCCCCAGGCCCTGGGCTGCTGGGGGTCTTCCTTCCCCCTCCTTACAGAGGCCTCAGGAGGTCTAACCTCTAAGCCTAACTGTGCTCTGGCTCTGTCAGCCGGGCCAGGACGAAGGGCGTCCACCTGGCCAGCTCCAAAATGACTGTCCGGGCTCTAGCCCTGCCTCTGGACACGCCCAGCCCGGCCACTGGGAGCCCTCTCCCCAGTCACTCACCTTCAGTAAAGTGTCCACGTAGATGTTGTGCTGGGACATGATCTCCTTCACGTCCCACTTGACGCTGGCCATCAGAAGCAGCATCTGTTCATAGTCGATAGCCTTCCCTGCCACAATCCAGTATATGGGCTTGCGCAGCTCGCTGGCAGTGGACACCGTCTGAAACCAAGCTCCCAGAAATGAGAAGGGCTCACTGAGCCCCCAGACATGCAGAGTCACCCCAGGGAGCTGGAGGCCCTTCCTCTGGGCAGCGCAGCCTGAGGACCACCGCGTTTAGGGTGAGGTCTGCTCGCACCGGGGAGGGCGGGGCCGGCTGACCAATACTGTAGCTACTGCCAAGGCGGGCCATGGCCTCTGGGGTCCCCAGCTGGACCGCCAGGACACCCTGGACTCGAGCCCTCATGTTTTTACTTTGGGAGAAGGGTGAGCTGCCCCTTCCATGAAGCCTGGGATCCTGATGCCCCTCCCCAAAGACAAGGGGTGGGGGGCACACGTCCCTCTGCCACGAGCCCCTGGCCCTCCCAGGTCCAGGGTAGAGCCTCTCACCTGAGAGTAAAACTGCTGCAGGAAAGGCTTCTTCACAGAGGGCATCACGGCGTCTAGGTGCGGCTGCAGGAACTCAAACTGCTCAGCCAGGAAGACCCTGGGGGGGGGGGAAGGGAAAGGGGGTAGGAGGGAGGAGAGGAGGAGGAGGGAGAAGGGAAAGGGTGGAAGGGGAAGACAAGGACAAGGGGGAGGAGGGAGGGGAAGGAGGAGAGAGAAGGGAAAGGGGGAAGGGCAAGGTAAGGACAAAAGACGGAGGAGGGAGGAGGAGTGGAAGGAAGGGGAGGACGAAAGGGGAAGAGGAAGGGGGAGGAGGAAGAGGGAGGAGGAGGGAAAAGGGAAAGGGGGGAAGGGGAAGACAAGGACAAGGAGGGAGGAAGGAAGGGGAGGGAGGGGGAGAGAGAAGGGACAGGAGAGTAGGAGGGAGGAGTGGAAGGAGGGGGATGGAGAAGGAGAAGGGAGGAGGGGGAGGGAGAAAAGAAGGAAGAGGAAGAGGAGGTTACAGAAGAACAAATGGGGGAAAAAGGATGGGGTCTCGAGAGGGACAACAAAGAGAACCCATTTCCCACCAGGAAGCCAAGGCTGCCCCTATAACCTGATCCTGTTTCCTCCCTCCAGATCTTTGCTCTGGCTGCTCCCCACATCTGGGAGGCTTTCCCTCCCTATGTGTACTTCTCAGAAGCCAGCACAGAGGACCTCTCCTGGTCACTGCCAGCTGTGAGCACCCCTGTGAAGTCACTTTGTGTTACTTGGTGTAGACTTCAAAGGTTGTGGGAAAAGCTGAACTGAAAACAGGCCTGCTTGTTTGGGTGGGGTTTTTCTCCCCATTTGTGGCTCCAGGCCGGGCTCTTCAACCTGATACACACCATGTTTTCCACCTGAAAAATGACCACCGTCCGGCCCTGGAGAGGGGAGAGCGCTCCCTCTGGCTGGGGGGAGCCTGCACCCTGAGCACACCCTCTGCACACCAGGCTGTCCAGTCATCCTGGGAGTTCCGTCCCCTTGACCAAGAGGAAGTCCCACTTTCAGAGGCCAAGTGAGGGCTACGTCTGACCAAGGGATAACCTCCCAGAAGCATAGCCACGAAATCAGTCCTTGGACAACTGTGCACTTACTGTGCGTGTGCAATGCACTAGGCTGGGCCTTGGGAAAACTGTTCCTACCTTCAAGAAGCCCCCATTCATTGGGGGAAACACAAATATGAAAGCACTCCCAAGGCAGCAGCTGCAGTCAGGGGTGTGGAGAAGGAAGGGGCAGACACTGCAGCCATGAGAATGGGCCAAGGTCTCTGCGTCTGTCTGGGGCCAGTGCTCAGCTGGGGCAAGGCTCCCAGGAGGACGCTGGCCATATCTCTGGTAACAAAGACCTGAAGGGACAGTCCAAGGTCCTCCCCACAACCCTAACTTCGGCAGGAAGTAGGCTGTGTTCCCCCCAGGGGGAACCCAAAGAACCCTCCTCAGAAAAGCAGAAATGGCAGCTCAGGCTTGGAGGGAGCGAGGCAAGGAGACCCGGCTAGCCGCAGTGTCCAACCGAGTGGACACTGGGAGCCCCACAGCCTACGGGAGGGTGACAGACGGGGGCTGCCGACACGAGACTCGCTGAGGCACTTACAAGGATTCCGTGGCCACGACCCTCTCTGCCAACCCATACAGCGTGTCCCCGGATGTCAGGACCACGAGGTGACTGAGGTGTGGACTCGGCACCTTCTCTTTCCTCTCCTCACTTGCTGTGAGGGCGCCTGTGGGGTCTGTGGAAACCTCCTGAAAGAAGAAAAGCCCATCACCACACCTCAAGGTCCTTCCTGGGGCAAGCCAAGATCCATGCCCGACCTCCTGGGGAGCACGGTCAAATGCCAAAGAGGAGAAACAGGGGTTCTCTCCCCAGACACCCCATAGCAGCATCACCTTTCTCAGCTTGGCGGCTGCCATGCAGGATGAAGGGCCGGGGTCAGGCGCAGAGAGCAGCACCCTAACTCCTTGGGACATATGCCAGCAGGCGGGGTGTGTGTGTGTGTGTGTGTGTGTGTGTGTGTGTGTGTGAGAGAGAGAGAGAGAGAGAGAGAGAGAGAGAGAGAGAGAGAGAGAGAGAGAAATGGGGGGAAGGGAAGAGAGTCTGAGACAGAGAAAGAAATAGAGAGGGCAGGGAGGGAGTGTGTGGAAGGCACCAAGCAGTAAAGACAGGAATACGAAAATAAAGAAGGCCCTACTAAGTAGGGGTGGGGTCAGGGTGGTCAGAGAAGGCTTCCTGGAGGAGGAATTTCAGAAGCCCCTAAGAGGAGGGAAGGTACCCACTCTGAGTCTGCATGAATGCCCAGGGGTCAAGGGTGGAGCTCCCTCTGGCTGAGAGGAGCCTGCACCCTCTGCACAACAGCCTGTCCAGTCTAGGCCCAAAGGTGTCCCCGGGGTAGCCTGCCCTCCAGACGAAGCCCCTCTTTCAAAGGCCAATTGAGAGCTATGAGCCAGGGGAAGGCCCATAACTGGCCTGGGCTATGACAAAGCCAGATGTGTCTTTAGGCTTGGGAAGAAGAGAAGCCAGAGGTGGTAAGCCCCGCAAAGGGTCTGCTGCCCTGGCATCGCCCCAGGAGAGGTGACGAGCAAGCGCCTGTGAGAGAGGAGAGAAGAAGCCCGAGGCAAGGGATGGCCAAAGTCTGGAACGGTTTCACTGGCGACTGACTTAATACGACCACAAACTTGGTCCACCAGTCTTCTTAAACACACACAATAAAATCCCACTCTGAGACTGCCAAGCTGGCTCCTCCTCCTCCAAAGCGCCCCCACCAGCAGATGGCCTGGGCCCACCCTGTCCCAAGCCATGCCCCAAAGAGGAGGTTGAGGCAGCTGCCCACAGAGTGCTTTGGGGCCCAGAACAGGCAGTGGTGAGCGACTTGTGCAGGTTCCTCAGGGAACCATAACCCCGGCACGCACCCTCAACTGCCCTAGGTCCTCCTCATCCCCTCCACGACCATTCCTGGTATCTGCTCAGTAATCAGCAAGGCCAGAATTTGAACTCAGGTCCCCTGACTCCAAATCAATGTTAGGCTCAACGGAACAAACACCTAATCCTTCCAACATATCCACAAATGGAGGAGCCAGATAAGAGATTCAGCTTTTAAAGAAATCTCCTAAAAAGGAGAAAATGGGGTGTAGGGTTTGGTAAACCCAAGCACACCAACAGCAATGGGAGGGTGACACACTATTTGACAAGAATTAACGGTAAGACTGGGAAGCAACCCGGCCAAAGGGACCCAGCCTCAGGATGAAGGATCACAGCCTAACAAAAAGGGAAGTCAAGGCCACAAGCATCTAGTCATCACCTAGTGTTTGCCTGGCACCCAGCAAAGCCCTGGGGACACAAAGAAAGCCAGAAGACAGTCCCTGCCTGTGAGGAGCTTTCCCTCTAGCAGGCAAGAAACCATGCAAACATCTATGGACAGACAGGCTGGAGGTGAGCCACTGAACCGGGGAGAGTCTCAGACAGAAGGCACGCAGATTGAGGAGGACCAGGAAGGGGTGGGTGGGAAGGTGCCTGAAGGAAGTCCAGGGATCCAGGAAGTGGAGACAAAGAGGAAGATCATTCCAGGCAGCCAAGGAATATGCTTAGATTTGGGAGATAGAGGGTCCTGTGTGAGGACAAGCCTGGAGGTCAGTGTCACTGGATGAAAGAAGTATGTGTCAGAGAGGAAGGGGTAAGGAGATGAGAGAAATGGAAAGCGGCTGGGTTAAAAAGGACTTTGAATGCCCAACAGCCCAGTGTGTACTTGCCCTCAGAGGCCACGGGGAGCTCCTGGAGTTGAGTGAGTAGGAACATGTGTAACATGGTAAGATGTGAACTTTACAAAAACCATTTTGGTGGCTGAATGAAGGATGTACAGGAAGGGGGAGAGACTCCAGGCAGGCAGACCTCCCAGCAACTATTGCAATAGTCCAGGGGTGAGGAGATAAGGGCCTGCCCCAGTGGAGTAGCAGGCTCCAAAAAGAGACATTGCAAAGGTGAAATAGACAAAAGATGCTACAGAGGTAAAATCAGCCAGAGATTCTTCAGGGGGTTGAAATCAACCAGAGATGCTGCAGAGGTGAAATCAACCAGAGATACTGGAAAGGTGAAATCACCATCTTGGATCTGGGGAGTGAGAGAATGAGGAGTCTAGAATGACTCCTAGTTGTGAGCCTGCGGGACTGGGAGAATGGCAGTGTCCATGACAGTAATAGGGAAAGTAGGAGCAGGGAAGGGTTTAGAGAAAAAGAATGAGGTCTGTTTTGGACATATTGAGTGTAAGATGTGTACTGGACACCCAGTCTGAGATATTTGAAAGATAGTGAGATGTGAGATAGGAGGTTGGCAGAGAGGTTAAGGCTCGATAAATAGACTTGGGAATCATCTGCATAAATGAATCCACGGGAGCTGATGAGATCACCAAGAGAAACAGTATAAAGCAGAGGTACAACCAAGTTAAAATTAATTAGGAAAAATTTTTAAAAATAAATAAAAATGCAATAGAACATAGCTAATGTCAATGTGTTTTTCTAAGTCAACATACACCTGGAGGGATGCTTCTGTCCAGTTTGGTGGCCCCTGTTTCTCTTTGTAGCCCAGGATAATTGTGGAGGACACCCCGTTAATGGAAGCACACCTGGATGAAGGTCCAGACCAGAAGACTGAGCAGGAGTGATCAGACAGGAAGCAGTTTAGAAGGAGGCTCAATTTTTAACACTCTTTTTAAAAAATTTTTGATTTCCAAATTTTTTCCCTCCCTCCTTCCCTCAGCTCCTTCCTCCAAAAGACAGTAAATAATTTGACACAGGTTATACATGCGCAGTCATGCAAAAGATACTTTCATGTTAATCAAGTTGTGAAAGAAAACACAGACCAAAAAAAAAAACACCAGAAAAATAAAGAAAAAGTCTGCTTCAATCTGCACTGAGACACCATTAGTTCTTTCTCTGGATATGGAGAGCATTTTTTGTCATAAGTCCTTCAGAACTGTCTTGGATCATCAGCTATGCTGACAATAGCTAAGACATTCACAATTGATCATTGTACAATATTGCTGTTACCGTATACAATGTTCTCCTGGTTCTACTTATTTCATTCTGCATCTGTTCATGGAAGTCTTTCCAGGTTTTTCTGAGAGCATCCTGCTTGTCATTTATGACACAACAGTATTCCATCACAATCGTCTAACACTTGTTCAGCCATTCCCCAACTGATGAGCATCCCCTCAATATTCAATTCTTTGCCACTACAAGAAAAACTGCTATAAATATTTTTGCACACATAGGTCCTTTTTCATCACTTGGGACATAGACCTAGAAGCTGTATTGCTAGATCAAAGGATGTGCACATTTTTATAGCCCTTTGGGCACAGTTCCAAATTGTCCTCTGGAATGGTTGGATCATTTTACAACTCCACAAATAGTGCATTAGTGTTCCAATTTTCCCACACCTTCTCCAACATTTATCATTTTCCTGTTTTGTCACGTTGGCCAATCTGAGAGGTGTGTATCTCAGAGTTGTTTTGATTTGCACTTTCCTAATCAGTAGTGATTTAGAGCATTTTCTCATATGACTCATATAACTATGGATAGCTTTGACGATTTCATTTGAAAATTGCCTGTTTTTCCATCTTACTTCATCTGCAAACTGCCTTTGACTACTGAGGAATGGCTCTTATTTCTATAAATTTGACTCAGTTCTTTACACAATAGAGAAATAAGGCCTTTATCAGAGAACCTTGCTGTTAACTTTTTTTTCACTGTTAGAATCAGTGTATTTCCCTCCATCCTATTTTCCCGTTTATCCTACTCTCTGTCTCTCTCCTTTCACTCTGTCTACTCTGAAAAGTGCTTTGCTTCTGACTTTTACCTCCCCCAATCTGCCCTCTCTTCTAGGCCCCCCTAGGCTTCTCTTATCCCCTTTCCCTCTTATTTTCCTGTAGGGTAAGACAGATTTCTTTACCCATCTGAATGTGTGCACCACTCAGAACTGAGCCAATTCCAATGAAAGGGAGGTAGAGTGGCTCTTTTTGCAGAATCTGCAGGGCTGTTCATCCACTGGATACTGGCTGAACAAGCTGTGCCCTGGGAAGGTGATGGGATACTACAGTAAGAAACGATAAAGGGGATGGTTTCAGAGGGCCCTGGGAAGAGCTGGACAAAGCGATGTCCAGGAAGCTGGCAGAGGCAGGAGGACCATCTAGAAAGACAAATGGCTCTGAGAGATGTAGGAATCTGACCAACACAGTGACCCGGCACAATTCCACAGGCCTCAGAACAGTCCACTCAGGGCAGGGCCTGGGGAGGGGCATTTTCCTTCTAGACAGTCGGTAAAAAAGGCCTGGTGGAACCTCACAATCCTACAGATGCCAGGCTCACTAAGCAGGAGGCTTGATAAGAGGTCAGCCTCACCCCAGATCATGACTTGGGGCCTCTCTGCTCAAAGATCCCTCAAGGGTACAAAGGAGTCATGCCCCAGGAGGGAGTGGGCAGAGCCTGGGCAGGGATGCAGAGGGAGAGGCAGGAATCCATCGGTCCACCACAGGCTGGGCATCAGGCAGAAAAAGAGGAGGGGGCCCCAGGGCCCACTGGGTGTGCACAGGCCGCTGAGATTGGACACAGAGAAGCCCCTCTCCAGCCCCTGGCCCAGCCAACCACACGCAGTGCTAGGGGAGCTAGGGAAGCCTGATCCTAAGCACATAGCTCACTTGGTCTAGAGGCAGAGATACCCCCACAGGTCCTGATGGGCTCCCTCCCTTTTAACAGACCATACAGATGGCAACCAGAAAACACAGCCCCGCCTGGGACTGCAGAGTGGCTCCTCAGTAGTGCTATGGTGGCCTCCGAGGCCCTCCCTGCCCTCGCCCCAAGGGCCTTATCCAGGCCTGGCTCTGACTGCTCCTCCACGTGCCCACCCTGCTCAGACAGATAAGGAAACCGAGACCTGGAAGGGAAGCTTCCTGCTCCTGAGCCCCCCACAGTCTGAGGGGCAGCACCCGGCTGGCCCCTCTCAGCTCTAACCCACATAAACAAAGGCAGCCATCCAGACAAGGTCTAGCCTAGCATGCAGACTGGCAGCCTGTCCAAGCTGTACTCCAGGTGAGAGAGGCCAGTGTGGGGAGGGCACCGTTGCTCCTGAGCCCCACCAGCCTGGCCTCAGCCCCCTCACCTGTAAAATAGGGACACAGACCCCTGACACTCCTGGCCTGAGGGAACGTGAGTGATGACCGCAGGAAGCGTTCCACTTGAGAAGGCTCCCAAAAGACAGCACGGATTCGGTCAATGCCCACTAGGCCCAACCCCAGAGGCAAGAGACTGTCCAGGCCTATGGGATAGGCACGTTCAGAAAGTCAGTCAGAGCGACCCCCACCCAATCCTGTGGAGACAGATGGATAGCCCCCTTCCCCACGTCAGGCAGGGGAGCAGACACTGCCTCCCGGCACCCCTTACCAGGTCGATCAAGCTTTCCTGGATTCGGTTCAGCGTTGTCCGCAGGCGGCTGCTGCTGAGGCCCAGGCCTGTCGACTCTAGCTGAAAAAGATAGCAGGTTCACACTGGTCACACACGTGCACACGCACACATGGCCTTCTGAAGGCAGGCTCCTCAGGAACCCCCAAGAGGCCCCGGGCCAGGGGATACCACTAGACGGGCCCCACCCCTGCTGCAAGCACCCAGACACACACATGTGTACGCACAGACGAACACAGGAAATCCTGAGGTAGGGGAGTGGGGACACAGTGAGATTTACCAGGGTATGGAAGAAGGGGGGCTATCCCCCCCCACAAGCATATACCACACACACACAATACACATGCCACACATGTGCATACACCACACATGTACACACAATCATACCTTCCACACGTGTAAGTACACACACACAGATACATATTCCCACTTACAGACATGCACACATGCGTGCACACACACAGGAACACATACCACATGCAGACAAGACACACATACCACACATGCACAAGCACACACAATCATGCCTCCCACATGCGTAAGTACACACACACACACACACACACACACAATACACATACCCCCCCATATGCATATATACACTCCCACTCACAGATACATGCACACACATACACAGGAGCATATACCGCACATGCACAAGCACACATATGTGCACACACATGCAGGTGTGTGCCTTGCAGGAAGGGCACAGTACTCAGGGCCTCCTCCTGCTGACCTCTCTCATCAGGGCCCTCAGTGGGAGACACCTGTTGGCCTTCGGCCACCCCCTTCACCCCCCCCCCCCACAGGCACATCTGGTCTCCACCTCACCTGCCCGTGACCAGCCAGACTCACCGAGTCATTACGACCGAAGAAGGTGTAGATGGCATAGAGGTAGTAGTCAAATAGCTGAGACAGGAAGTGGACCACGTCAAAGGCGATGGGCTTCAGCATGCTCATCATCTGCATGTACTTCCCTGCGAGGAAGGCTGAGTGTCAAGGCCCTGACGCTCAGACCCTCCCCCAACACACCCAGAGGAGGCCACCTGCACACCAGAAATGCCTTCTTCAGGAAGGTGTGTGAGAAGTCCAGCCTCCAGCGGCACAAAGCCCACGCCTGGGCGCCGAGGAGCCCAGGGACGTGGGATGAAGACGTCAATAGGAAGAGGGACCCCTGACTGCGAGCCGAGGGGCCTCCCTGTCTGGAGAGGTCTGGCCACAGTTCTGAGCAGCCAATATGCCAAAGGCCTCGTCCATGTCCCCACCGCCCTGACCTTGTTTTCTCCTCTACGAGATGGAGGTGGGGGCTGTGTGGTGCCCTCCTGCGCCAGCCTGATACAACCTCCAGCTCTCCCCGATCTCTGTTCTTGGACCAGGGGAAATTGTGATTCCAGCATCACAGGCACAATGAGAACGCGTACCTCCTCCTCCAAGGCAAAGAGGCAGGAAACAAGCTCCGAGCCGGGCCTCATGGGAGTCTCCCCACCACCCTGGAGGGAGGTGCTCAGATGGCCCCATTTTAAGATGGGGTAACGGAGGCACGAAGTACAGGGAGGACATCCAGACACAGAAGGGGCACCTGGCCCCCAGGACCCAAAGAGTCATTCCCTGAATGGGAAGACCTCACACTAGACTGCTGTGGACTTCTGTAAAGCACCCAAGAGCCAAGCAGCAGAGCCAGGAGCAGCCTTTCGACAAGGCCTGACACCCAAGCTATGACCAGCCCCACGCCAGCAGCCCAGGACCAAGTCTTCAGAGGGCAGCGGCCTCATGCCACAGAACAGGAGGGAGCACCTCTGTTCCAGGGATTTGGGGTGGGGGTGGGGCGGCAGGGGAAGAAAAGAGATTTCTGTTTGTTAAAAAACTAACCTTTTTTAAACTTTAAAATAAACTGCATCTTTATAAAAATAAAATTGAATAAATGCTGTTGAGCTGAGCCGAGCACCCCCAAATTAGATACTTCCTGGGGAGAGCCCAGTTCTCACAAAGGAAGCCCTCCTTGCAGGCAGGGCGGCCCTGCAGAGCCCCTGCCTGTGTCAGGACCCTCTTCCTTCAGGGCAGGAGAAAAGAACAGGTCTTGGGTCCTCCACTCCAGAGTTCGGCAGCCCCCAAACCTCACTGGCGGATGAGATCCTTGGGGCAGAGGTGGGGGCCGCCAACGGGGGCAGCTCCTCAGATGGCAGTATACTTGTGCGCAGAAATGATAGGGAACAGGCTGCATCAGCCAGCTCCCCCATTTTACAGATGAGGACAATGAGGCCCAGACCTCGCTCCCCTCCACACACTCTCTCTTTACCTCAATGCATTTTTCCCTGCTCAGAAATCAAGGTAAAATGTCCCCTCTGGGAACGGTGCCTCCTCCTCAGGCACCCTGGGATCTCTGTGGCAGCGCCCCTCTCTCACCCATCAGCCAGTGCCTGAGAGCCTCTGCGGCCTCCCCCACAAAAGAGGGTCTCCCACTTGGGAAGGAAGTGGGACACTGGGCAACAGTCTCTGCTTTGGCCTTTGTTGGGGAACCCAAAAGCCACCCCAACCCCCCATGGGAGAACACGGACTTCTGTGGGGCAGGGATGCTGCTCCAGGCCTAGCCAGGCTGGCCCAGGTATCACCTCTGGAGAGCTCCAGGGGGGCTGAAGATGACACTGTTTAACAGCACAACAAAGGGGGCACCACCAGCCTGCTCTCTCTTAAGGCCTATGCAGGAAAACACGTTCTTCTGCAATCATCTCTCGGCACGTTTCATTTTAAACAGGTTGTTAAAGGTATGAAGATGGGAAACAGTGTGCACAGGGGGTGCGCCTGCCCCTCCCAGGGCTCTGCTGATCTGGCTTTCCAGCCACGTTCTTTGTACCGAGGACCAATCGCACCCAATACCGAACACTTCAAAGGCTGGAGAGACATGGCAGCCCCCCTCGCCAATTTCCTGCAATCCTGCCATCATCATCAGCCGAGGGCCGCGGACCGACAAGAACAAGCACGGGCGTACAGGAAAGGAGTGTTCCCACCATCCCCAAGGCAGTGAGGAGCGTCTCTACAGCCTCAAACTCCGAAGTTCCAAAACGCCTTTCTTCCCCAGTTCTGTGTGGGTCCTGCTCTCCTCTGAAAGACCCAGGCCAGGTCTGTGCCGCTTTAAGTACAAACAATGGGACTGAGGTGGGAGACATGAGGCGGTCATGTCATGACACGGGCGAGGGGGGTGACGAGGCCCAGTGGCCAGGCATCTCTGTGCTATTTCACCGTGGCCTGGGGAGTAAGTCTGCTTCGGGGACAGCGGCACCAATCAGGAGAGTAAGGTTGGACCGGAGGTCACACAAGCCCCAGATTTCTGCAGGCAGGATTTCCAAGATCACAAGTTGGAAGGGTCCTAAACTCTGAGGCCCTGATGAGATGCTGTGATGCCCAAACAGCAACAGGTGACCCCAGGGAGAAGAAGGTCAAGGGGACGCAGACCAGCACAGATCACAGCACGGTGGTAGGACATGAGGTCAGCGGCAGCCAGTGACACACAAGAACCCTAAACACATGCTCTTCGGGGACACAAGGAAGACAGAGAAGAGGGAGGAGCCAAGATGGCGGAGTAAAAGCAGTGACTTGCTTAAGCTCTCCCCCCAAACCCCTCCAAATACCTATAAAAATGGCTCTAAACAAATTCTAAAGCAGCAGAACCCACAAAAAGACAGAGTGAAACAAGTTTCCAGCCCAAAACAATCTGGATGGTTGATCAGAAAGGTATATTGCGCTGGGCTGTCAGAGGAGTGCAATTTGGCGTGGCAGCGCAGGCCTCAGCAAACCTGCAGCAGGCTTCAGAGGACTGAATCGCGGGCAGCCGTGGCGGTTTTCAGACTTCTCAACCCACGAATGCCAAAGACAACTTAGAAGGTCAGTGGGAAAAGTCTGTTTCTGCAGCGTGAGAGAGAAGCACATGGTCTCAGCTCTGATCCTAGAGCTCGGCCCCAGGGTGGCAGCTGCCTCCTGAGCTTCCAGCCCACAGACTGAGGGGGAATCAAATGGTTGATCAGAGGGGAATTGCAGGGATCTCTCTGCTGGTGCAGGATTCTCTTGCTTTGCCTGTACTTGGATCTGGGTTACAGTTCTGGGTGGCAGTCCTGGGGTGAGAAGGAGCGCTGGTGTGGTGGAGCTTATAGTGGCAGTGCAGAGAAAATCCTCCTCACAGTGCCAAGACACATAGGAGTTCTTGTGGTCACTCAGAGCAGAGCACAGGCCAGGAAAGGAGTAAACACTTCACCTTTGATCATACCACCTTGGAAGAACTGAAAATTTACAGGTTCCTAGAAGTATCTCTGAAAACAGCTGCACAAAACCCCTGAAGCTTGGGACAGTACATTCTCCACACTGGAAGCAGACCCCCTACCTTAACAAAGAGTTTATAACTCAAGTAATTGGCTGGAATCATGAGCAAACTTCACAAAAAGAGTCAGACTATATTATCTTACTTTGGTGACAAAGAAGATCAAAACATACAATCAGAAGAAGACAACAAAGTCAAAGCTCCTACATCCAAAGCCTCCAAGAAAAATATGAATCAGTCCCAGGCCTTGGAAGAGCTCAAAAAGGATTTTGAGAAGCAAGTAAGAGAAGTAGAGGAAAAACTGAGAGTGATGCAAGAAAATCATGAAAAACAAGTCAACAGCTTGCTAAAGGAGACCCACAAAAATACTGAAGAAAATAACACCTTAAAAATAGCCTAACCCAAATGGCAAAAGAAGTCCAAAAAGCCAATGAGGAGAAGAATGCCATAAAAAGCAAAACTGGCCAAATGGAAAAGGAAGTCCAAAAGCTTACTGAAGAAAATACTTCTTTCTTGGGAGACCCCAAAAAATACTGAAGAAAATATAGAATAGAGCAATTGGAAGCCAGCAACTATATGAGAAATCAAGGCACTGTAAAACTAACCCAAAAGAATGAAAAAATAGAAGAGAATGTGAAATATCTCACTGGAAAAACAACTGACCTGGAAAACAGATCCAGGAGAGAGAACTTAAAAATTATTGGATTATCTGAAAAACCACAATCAAAAAAGGAGCCTAGCCATCATCTTTCAAGAAATTATCAAGGAAAAGACAGAGAAGACATGTTCCCCCCCCCGCTTGGCTCTGGAAGCATAAAATGAATCGATCACTCGATCAGCCAACAAGTATCAATTACATTCCTCCCCTGGGAGATCAAGGCAGACAGGAAACACAAACACTGAACAGGCACATCACACACGGAAGGGGGAGGGCCTGCCTCGCAGAGCCTCCATCCAGCTGTGCCCGGGGAATTGAATGGGTACACTGCCCCTCAAGGGCCAGGAATCGGGGTCTGGAAGTCAGGCAGATCACCTGGTCCTGAAATCCCACAAGTACAGCAGGTGACGGCCTCATGCTGCCACATCAGGGACGAGACAAGAGCATTGACCCGTGACAACCAGCATGAATCACTGCTGCACTGACCATTCCTCGAGGCCTGACCAGCTGCCCACTCTGAGCTTCAGGAGACCATCCCCACGGGATGACACCCAGCGTCTGGGCTCTCACCCAGCCGCAGGCCTTCTGCAGGGGAGACCCTCAACCCCTGACCTGGATCTCACCAAGTCCAGAAGGACCCCAGAAGGCCAAAAGGGGGCTGCAGCTGGTGGGGTGGATGGCGCACGGCTGGCAGAAAGCCAACAAGACACATCCCCTGGGCCCCCGGACCTCCAGGGCTCCTCAGGATCATCCCTCGGCTCTCTGACCACCAGGAGGAGGGCCGGGCCTGGCAGCAGCCCAGCCTCCCAATACCACTGGCCCACCCCAACTCACCAACCAGCCGAATGACGTTCAGGGTAGTGTTGGTCAGGATGGGAGCGTTGACTTTGTTCAAGCTATAATCGGATTTCTTTCGGCTCCTTAGCGTTTCTCGGGAAACACTGAGATAAAGAGAGAGAAGGCAGAGAGCACGAGTCAGGAGAGCAAGAGGAGATGGAGGAAGGAGAGAGACGAGATGGAGAGAAGGGAGAGGAGGGAGGGAGGGAGGGAGAGAGGAGTGGGAGAGGAAGGAGGGAGAAGGGGGAGAGGGAGGAGAAGGAGAGAAGGGAGGGAGGAGGAGAGAGGAGGGGGAGAGGAGGGAGGGAGGAAGGGATATGATATGGGGAAGAGGGGGAGAAGACAGAGAGAGGGAGGAGTGGAAAGGAGGGAGGCAGGAGGGGACCATCCAGCCACAGAGGGCCAGGTCTGACCACTGGACCCCCACACCCTGCCACAGGAGCCCATGGGTAGCAGTACCAAGCGTTGAGCTGGCAGCCAATGAGGCGTGCCAGTTGGCGGTACCGGGACAAGCGGGCTTCCCCATGGATCTCGCAGGCCCCGACACCAGGGTTCCCAGGAGCTGTAGGCCTCTCCTCCTCTGTGGCTGCAGCTGCGCCATCCACCACCACCATGTCCCCATCTGTTCCTTGAGGCTCCCTCTCCCCAGCTACATCCCACAAACATGGAAGACACTGCCTGCCTGACTGGCCTGGATGCACATTCTCCTACCGCACCCCAACAATGGCCTCATGAGAGGGGGTCAACATCAGGCCTATTTTGAAAAGGGGAAACCGAGGTTCAGCCCCAAGTCACAGAGCCAGTGCCTCTGCCTGTGGCAGGATTCGCACCCAGTCCCAGCCCCTACCACACTCTACCTGAGGCACCAGGCAGTTACCTTTTCACAGGGACATCCCCGGTCTGCTCGTCCACGTAGTCTCGCTTCAGCTCCTCGGGGACGTCGCTGTCACTGTCGTAGTCTTGGTATGCGCTCTTCTCAGGTTCATCTGACTCATACTAAGGGGGTAGAGAGTGTGCAGACTGAGGGCAGGCTCTGGCCAAGACCGGGAGGGGCCCTGCTGCTCCATGGCCTCGCCCTCCCCCCCCAACAGCCAATCCTAACTCTAACCCCCTGCCAGCCCAGGGAGCCCCACTGGGTCAGAGCCCAGCAGGAAGGGCAAAGTGGGGGGGAGGGGAGGGAGGAGGGGAGAAGAAAGGGAAGGAGGGAGGAGGGGAGAAGAAAGGGAAGAAGACCTCCTCTCACTCGCCCACTCTGGGCAGAAGCAGACCACGGAGCTGGACACTCCAAGTCTGAATCCTAGCCCTACTGCACCAAGGGGCGGGGGGCACAGCAGGGGGAAGGCTCGGAGGCTCCAACAGGCCAAGGGTCAGGAAGCTCCTGGTAAACCCTAAAACCAGTGTCCTGCATGCTCCCCACACCCACCCCCCTGCCACAGCCGCCCCAGGCCGGTGGCCCACACGCACCCCGTTGGAAGCCAGGACGTCTTCGGTTTCCTCATCTTTGCTGTTGGCCTGAATCTCAAAGGGGTTCCCTCCACTGCAGTACTGTTCAAACAATGTAGCAGCTGTGGAGGGTGCTGTAGAGGTAGGCTGCTTACTCGGGGACACGGATGGGGACCGGGACTGCTCCATGAACTTAAATTCCTGCGAACAAACGGGGCTCATCACCATTGGTACCAGCCATCCCTGGACCCAGGGTGTTGGTCCCCACCCCCCCACCCCCCCACTGGGGCTGGCTCTCAGCAGGGGGCCACATCATGAGGTGGGCCAGCTGCCTGGCTCTCAGCAGGGGGCCACATCAGAGCACCCTCTGGACAAGGGAGCCCCAAAGGGGCCCAGCAGAACTCAGGCTCTAACCCAGATAGCCACTGACCCCTCCTGGGCCAGACTCCACAAACACGTCTGCAGAACCAGGCCCCTCTGCCTCCCACCCCACCACACCCTCCCTCCTTGCTGGGCCCCCTCTTCCCATCAATAGTACCCCCCCCTCGACCCCATCTGAAATTCCACTGGGATCCCCCTTCAGACCTGGGCTCCCCACCCAACCTCTGGGGGTGCACTAGAGGTGTATCCATGGCTACAAGTGACCAGCACTCAGATCTGGGGGGTGGGAGGGGGAGGAAGGGGCAAGGCGCCAGCTGTGACGCATGGGGGAGGAAGGGGCGAGGCTCCAGCTGGGGGATGCACAGGCAAGGCCGGAGCATCACCGTCCCCGTCACGGGCCCTTCACTCCCTCCCTGGTTCTCACAAGAGGGCTTCTCTTAGTAAAAATGCCCAGACACTCCGATCCTCAAGGGGCACCCAGGATCCCAGATTCAGAGCTGAAGGAGGACCCCCAGGTACCCCACAAACTCCCTCCCTCCCTACATGACCCACACTACTTCAGGTCCCCCAAGACAGCTCAGCCATTCTGGGACAGACAGCTGGCTTTGGACACTGGGTATCTCACCTTGGCCCCTGGCCTCTGTCATGGGGCCCCGCAGAAGTCCCCCCTCTCCCCCAGATATCCCTTCAAAGACCTGCAGACATTCTCATGACCCCCCAAGCAGAGAGCCGGCCTCTCTTCAGGCCCTGGGGACAGCATGGCCTCCCCTACCTACCTCAGAGCCACACTAACTATGCCCGCTGACTGTGCTTCAGGCCCCTACTCTGCCTGCCCAGAGGCTGGGGGCATAGGTCCAAGACAATGCCCTGCCCGCCATCAAGGGAGGCTGACATCCTCTGAGGCAGATCAGGCATCCACGCATACATCCACACAGGCAACTCCCAGACATGCAGAGCGCTAACACCTGGAGGGTCTGAGTGGGCACCTTCCAGAGAGCCAGGCTCCAAGCAGGCCCACAAGATGCCCCAAGGGGCACACCAGGATGGACCAAGAGCAAAGGTCTGTGAGCTGCAGGCAAACACTCACGTGAAGCTGCAGGATGCTGAAGCTTGACTTCACAGGGCACAGCTCCCACGTCTCGTTCTCCAGAAACATCCTCAACTCGTCCAGGCGCGTTCTGAAATACAGAACCTGAGGCTGGGGCCGGGCGCAGGGCGGGGCACAGTGGGCTGGGCCGGGGACACAGGGCAGGAGTCGCAGGGTCACTCCTTCCTCTCATCCTTCCACACCTGTGGCCTCCCACACGGAGCTCCTGGCACAAGGGGGCCCACGGCCACAGCGAGTTCCAATCCAGAGTGGCCCACGACAGTGAGCACTGAGCCCTGGGGGCTGGGAGAGTTCCAGATGCCTACCCCTTGCATCCCATGTGACAAGGGCCAGGGTTACATCCTCCCCAAGCCCACGGCTGACACTATGTGGCAGATGTGGCCGCCACACACCATGAGGTCACACACCAAACAGCTGCACTGCACAGGCCCAAACGGGGACACACAGGTCGCCGTGGACACCTCCTCTGCTAGCACTGCACACATGCCCACCGATGCTGGTGGCAGGAAAGAGCCACAAATCCTACCTCCTAATGCGTTCTGCGGGACCTTGAGCAAGAGCTTAATGTCTCTGGGTCTCACTTTCCTCCCAAGGGCCCTGTGGCTCAACCTCTCCTGTTTGGTGGCTGAGAAAACCCTCCACAAAGCATGCATTCGTTAGCCCAACAGATCCGCTTCTAGAGGTCAGGTACCCCAAACCCCCATCTGTCCCCATCCCTCCTCCTGCCCGCAGGGCCCAGTGAGCACACCTTGGACTTGCACTTGCCCATCCAAGGTCCCGAGGTGCCCGATTAACCAGCCACTCTGGGGGAACGCCCCAGGCAGAAGGCTGGCTCTCCGTCTGTCAATGACATAGAAGGAGGCTTGTCCGGTCTTAAAAAGCACTCGGGAAAACAGAGACAGGAAAGCCCTGGGAGCCCCCCAGGCTGTTCACCTGAGCCACTCGCTCCAGAGAAGGGCAGGAAAGGCCAATCCCTCCCAAGCACAGAGAGAGCCCTGGAAGCCCAAGGCGCTGTCGGGAGCAGCCAAAGACCCTTCCAGGAGACATAGAGGAAGGCTGGGCCCCCTGCTCAGGGGTGGCCAGCACGGGCCAGGGGCAAGAAGACGGACAGTCCAGAGGTGTTCTGAGAAAGGGCCAAGGGTCAGCCTTGGACGGGGGGTAGGAGTTGGGGGGAAGTGTTCTATTTTCTCAGAAACCCCCCTACTCCTCTGCTCCCTTAAACGTGTCCCCAAGTCCGCCAACACCCCCTGCTTGCCACACTCCCTCACCAGTGCTGGCCCAGGAAAAGGCCCAGAGTAGGTCACCAAGGGGGCTTGTGGAGGGCCAGCACGGGCGAGAGGCTCAGACTGCCGCTGGAAGGAGAGACGAGAAGGGACAGGGGGTGCCCCAAGGGCAGGGCCAGAGGTGGGGAGCCAACCCACAGTGACCTGGCAGGCATCTCAGGCCGATGACACAGAAACAGCCGAAAAGAAGGAAAAACTGGCCACTGGGGAGAAGCCGTACGGGAGGAGAGGAAGGCCAGGAACCACCAGCCGGCCACTGGACTCAGGGAAAGGGATCCCAGGGGATTCAGAGGAAGGATCGAGAGGGTCCCACGGACCGAAAAGCCAGAGGAGGCCAGCAGGGAGGAAGGAGGGGGGCCCGCCCCGGGAACCCGCCCCCCACCCGGCCTCAGCAGAGACGGAGGTGAAGGGAGCTGACTCCGGCGAGGACGGATGCAGCTGGGGCAGGGGCAGAAGCCAAGGCTTCCTTCTGTCATGTGGCTCCAGATGGGTAAGGAAGCAGCAATGACCAGGAGCCCGGTGGCAGGCCTGTCATTCTCGACCAGATCCTAGGCCAGGCTCAGGGACCCATCACCCAGAGCCAGCCACTCCAGGCTGACCCCAGATCCCTCCTGGACAAGGTCGCTGCCTTGGCAGAGCAAGAGATACTACACTTTCCATACAGAATGCCTACTGTGCATCTAGCACTGTGCAAAGTGCTTCACTAATATCACCTCACTTAATCCTCATGACAACTCTGCAAGACAGATGCTGTTGTTATCCATTTTACCCCTGAGGAAACTGAGGCAAATAACGTGAAGTGTCTGGCCCAGGGTCACACAGCTAGAAAAGACTTCAATCAATCAATTCTCTCACAGCCTCAATGACCATGAAAGTTATCTGGCTTGCCGCTAGCTGACTTTAGGGTTGGAGTCAGAGTGGGAGGCTTCCCCCGTCTGCATCAGCTTCCTCATCCGTGAAATGGGCTGGAGAAGGAAATGGCAAAGCCCTCCAGGATCTCTGCCAAGAAAACCCAAAATGGGGTCACGGAGAGTGGGACATGACTGACTGACCAAACAGCCAAGAAGCGGTTCCAGACGGTTATGTGTCAGCGAGGCAGGTCTCTAGCACAGTGCCCCAGGGCTCTGCGAATGGCCCTATTTTTATGAATTAATGAATTATTATGTTTGTTTAATGCTTCTGTTACCGCCCTGGAGAAAGGCCCAGACGTGTACCCAGCCAACCTGCAGAGTCCATGATCCAGAAGGATTTGGACAAGCTCGCATGCTGGACCAAATGGAACAAGAAAAAACGCCATGAGGCAGAGAAGCATACTTCGGTCTAAAACCCAGATCCCCAGGACAAGATGAGAAAGGCGTGGCTAGATAGCAGGTCATCTGAAAAAGATCTGGGGGCTCTAGGGGACAGCAAGCCCAAAGGAGAAAAGTGTGGCACAGAGGACCCCCTGGGCTATACCCGGCCTGCAGGTTCTAAAGGCAGAACAAGGCCGAGCAGCATCGGTCACTCCCTACGCTGAAGGCACCCCCGGCACCAACAGAAGCCATATTGGGCCTGAGGAAGCAGGAGGTCCTGATCTTTACTTCAGAGCCAGGCTGCTAGGGAGCGCCACAGTGCACAGAGCACTAGGCCTGAGTTCAAATCCAGAAGCTTCCTAGCTATGGGACCCTGGGTAAGTCACCCAGTTTCCCCAACTGTAAAATGGGGAATCATCAATAGGAAAATGTTTGTACATCTCTTAACACAGTGCTCGGCACACAGCAGGCACTTGACAAATGCTTATTCCCTTTTCCTTTCCTTCCCCTGCGCATGATCCCATGGTGAGCGCCCAGAAGCAAACACCCAGAGCGGATGAGGGCCTTGGGGTCTGACCAGGCTCTGTGAGATGTGAGAAGACCAAGCTGGGCTCAAGCTCCAGGCAGGATAAAAAACCATCAAAACGCCTGCAAATACAACCATCCGAATGACCCCAAAGAGGGAAGCTACACAGGGCCTTCCTGGGGCTCAATGCCGAGACCTCTCCCCAACTCAATGGGCAGGGCTGCATCTCGGGACCCACCACAGATGCCCCAGGAGCCCCTGTGTGCGTCCCCAAGCTAGTGGTGCTGACAGCCCTGGACCCCGGGCACCTGTGCTGGGAGCAGGGAGGAAGCTGGCCCCTAGGGCCAACGCCCAGAGAGGCCAGTGACTGGCTCCGGATCTTGACTGAGGCTGTCATCAGGAGGACAATGCTGGCTGTGGACACCAGCCCCACGATCCCTTTGGAGACACTCCAACCCTCCCTGCAACACCAGGTGCCAACACCCCTTTGGACAGATGACAAGACGGAGGCTGAGGAGTGACCTACCCAGGCATTCCTGAGGGGGTCTGTCCCAAAGCCCACCTGCCAACTCCTGAGAGAAGACGACAGACCGGGCGGAGCCCGAGAGCTGCCCTGGGCCTAAATCCAGAAGTGATGCTAAGGTTTCCAAGAAGGCAACGAGAGCAAACGCAGGCCACGCGCAGGCTGCGACACACGTGAGCCCCCTGCTCTTCCTCCCCAGCAGCCGCTGGGGAGGTTCCTGACCCTACAGATGAGGAGACAGAGGCCCCAAAGGGCCGAGTCACCTGGGACGTCTTGTGAAGAGTGGGGCTGAGATGCCAGCCTCCGGGCCCCCGGAACCCAGGCCGGCCTCCTGGCCGTTGGACCTCCTGGCCAGCCTCTGGACCCTAGGCCGGCCTCCTGGCTGCCAGACCCCAGGCCAGCCTCCTGGCCACCTGACCCCAGGGCAGCCTCCGGGCCCCCGGACCCCAAGTGTAGGCCTCCGGGCTTCCCGACCTCAGGCTAGCCTTCAGGACCCCAGACCCCAGGCTGGCTTCCTGGCCTGTGGACCCCAGGGCAGCCCCCAGGCCCCCGGACCCCAGGTGCAGGCCTCCGGGCCACCAGACCTCAGGCTAGCCTTCAGGACCCCAGTCCCCAAGTGCAGGCCTCCACGCCGCCAGGCCCCAGGCCGGCCTCCAGGCCGCCAGATCCCAGATGCCCCACTAGACAGCGTGCACACAGCCACACCCGCCCTTGCCACGCTACAAGCAGTGGCTCACCTGTGGTAGTTCTTGAAGTAGTTAATGCTCTGCTTTCGGATGGAATCCTGCAGAACTTCAGACTTGCTGCCACAAAACTCTTCACCCACTTGCATCAGCCTGTCCAAAGAAATGCTGTTTCAGGAAGCTTTAGTAAACCACCACAGCACAAGCACATGCACAACGGTCAGAAATGCACGCGTGAACCCCACAGATGCTCACAGTTCACCGCAAGAAGGCACGGCCCTCAGCCCTGAATAAGTGTCTCCTGGGAGCCACACCCTGTGCAGAGCACCAGGGTTAGGAGACAGGCAGAAGACGTCTCTGCCCTCAGGGAGCTGCCAGTCTTAGTGGGGCAGGGGGGTAATCTCAGACGGAGGGCCTGGGAGGGGAGGAGGAAGGGCATTCCAGGCCTGGAGAGCAGGGGTGGAGGGTCCTGTCTGTGGAGCAGCCAGGAGGCCCGGTGGTGGGGAGGAAGGTGGGAGACGACTGGCAAGGGAGGACAGAGCCAGGTTAGGAAGGGCTTTGAAGGCCAAACAGAGCATCTGACCCTGGAAGCGGCTGACTGGGTGAGGGGTGATGTGTTGGAGCTGCACTGTAGGAAAATCCCTCTGGTAGCTGACTGGGGGGTGGGCGAGAGGGTGAGAGACAAGGCAGGCAGACCCCCCAGCAGGTGTGGCCACAGTGCAGGCATGCAGTGACGGGGCCAGAAGAGAGAAGGGGGAGTCCTGGCACCACCTTGGAGTTCAGGACGACGCCCAGGTGGTGAGCCTGGGGGCCAGGGAAGATGGGGGTGCCCCCTCCTGTAACAGAGAAGGTGAGAGAGGGGGAAGCGCTGAGTTCTTTTTTGTATTGTCTGAGATGCCTCCTGGATGTCGGGTGCAAGACGTCAGAAAGGCCGTCCGAGATGGGAGACCAGAGGTCAGCAGAGGCCGGGACTGAGAGTCCTCTGCAGGGAGACGACAATGAAGTCTGTGCATTTTCCGACCAGAATGCCAAGGCAACAGCAGAGAAGGAGGAGAGGGCGTGGTGCAGAGCCTGGGGGACGTTCTTTAGCTCCATGAACTCTATGTGGAATTCATTCCCGTGGACATCCTGCCAACGCAGCCGCGTGGAAAGCCATGCTCGCTTTCCAGCACTTCTGGGAAGGTGTCTCCCCGAGGCTCCTGAGCTGCCTGGCCGGGCTCCTCTTCGCCACTCCAGGGAAGCCTCCTAGTTTCTGAGTTTTTCCTCCTCGGCTCCTCTTCCAAAACTGTCGCTTTTCTGAGTCATTTCCTCTCTTTCTGCCATTCCTTCTCCATCTGTGCCCCCCAGAACCCCAAAGCTCATGATAAAAGGGATGGCTCCAGAGAAACCTTGGAAAACTCCCAAGAACGGATGTAGTGTGGAGCAAACAGAACCAGCAGAACAACCTCTGCAACAATAATGGGACCATCCAAAGCCACAGGAAGTGGTCCCCGCGGTGGCCGCCACGAGGACAAGCTGCCCACCTCCCGACGGGGAGGGCATGCACTTGGGGGACAGCACGCACCATCATCTTCAGACACAGCCCACACGGGGCTGTTTAGCTCGACTGCGCATATGTTCCAAGGACTTCCAAGGATTCTAGGGTTTGTTTTTTCCCAGTAGGGAAGAAGAAGAAATAGATTTTTGTATTTTTTTAAATAATAATTTGTTTAATAAATAAACAAAACGGTACGTTTCACTAAATCCGTGATTGTGAGTAAATTTTAGTGATTTGCTTTTGGGGTCTAAAACCCAGACGTTCTGGTTCATCTCCAAAACCTTCGGTGTTTCTCTATGACCTCTAGGATGAAAAAGCACCAAATCTGGTAGACTCCAACCTCCGGAAAAGGTCCCCTAGACCAGGAGTCTCCCACACGCAGGCCAAAACCATCAAGACACTTGAGATGCAACAGCAATAACCTGGCTTGAAATCCCTCTGATTGTTAAGACCACACCAAAACTAAAACAGGGAGAAGCGTCCTGGCCAACCGTGATCCCCACTGACAAAGAGAAGACGCAAGACAGAGCGTGACACAAGAGGACCTCCCTGGAGACAACAAGAGCTTCCCGACGCTGGCGATCCGCCCACACAGCAAGCCCAGAACACCGCAGAGCCTCCAAGGAGGCCACGTGCCAGTGCCAAAGCGGCGGTACGGGGAACTCCAAGTCCAGGCCAGCCACCCCCCACGCCTCCAGTGGGATGGACAGCCTGCAAAGCCTGTCCCTCGGGAAGGCCCAAAGAGACGGACACTGAGAACAGGTAATGGCACAGGAGGAGGACGCAGGCACTTCCTCACTTTTTAATGTGACCTTTCTTTTTATTTCTAATACAAAAAAGGCACTTCCATGTACAAAGTAGATGCTGCTTATGAAACTGTGACACTCTATTCCAAAGCGTTTATAATGCTACAATCAATCCTCACTGCTGCTTTCGGAGCTGTCCTATCTGTCTCTGCCTCATTCTTTTCTCTCCTGTGTATTTCTGGGGTTTTTTTGGCTTTTTGGTGAGGCAATTGGGGTTAAGTGACTTGCCTAAGGTCACACCGCTAGTGAGTTTCATATGTCTGAGGCCATATTTGAACTCAGGTCCTCCTGACTCCAAGGCCAGGGCTCTATCCACTGCACCACCTAGCTGCCTCTACTCCTGTGTATTTTTAAGAAATGTTTCAGTACCTGTCTTTCCCCCCTTCTTTTGGTATCATTGTGGCTAGCCCCTACTCCCCCCAACTCCCACATAAGGCCCTTGTAACCAATAAATAAAGCCACGCAGCACGAATGGAGGTGGCCACGGCCACATCCCAACAGCCCACGTCTCCCTCTGAATTCTGCTCGTCTCATCCCCGGTGGCCAGGCTGTTGGTCGTGACGACGCTGATGTCTCCGTACGCGCCGTGCTCACGGCACTCTCCCTCGGCATCAGTTCAGGCAAGTCTTCCCCAGGCTCTTGGGCGCTGGCCCTGGTCACTCCTCAGAGCGCGGCCGCATTCCATCACTCCAGTACCTCCACAGACCGTCACCTGATGGGCCACTCCCCAGCAGATGGGTGACCCCTCCATTTCTAACATTCTGCCACCACAGAGCCGCTACATACGTTTAATCAACGGGGCTCCTTCTCGCCCTCCTCTCATTTCTCTGGGGCTTAAGCATGGCACCATGGAATCAGAGGCAGAGAGGAGGGAAATACACCCTCGTATCTCTCCATGTCTACGTGCATGTACAGCTGCAAGCCACACACCTAACAAGCTCTGAAGGATGGCTGCAGAGATCCCTCCCCCACAAGGGAGCACGGTGCAACAGGACCCCGGGAGCACGTGCAGGCTTAGATGCTCTGTAAACAAGGGAGCCATGGGAGAAGCGGCATGAAGGAGGCCATCCTCCAAGGGCTGGTGGGGCAGGAAGAACAAAGGATGGTGGACCCAGCCAGCTGGCCCCGCCCAACAGCCTCCCCTCCACGGAAAAAGCATGCCCTTCCAAGCAACCGCAGGTTGCTGGTCTGAGAGCCACTCCTTTCACTCAGGAGAAAACGGCCGTGACAGGTGGCAACACACATCCAGTCCAACTCTACCTGCTGATTATGTCCAAGACAAAGATGAAGTCATCATACTTGAACGTTGACATGTCAGTCCCAAATAAGTAGGTTTTCACTTTGAGCTGCACGTCCTGTAAAAAAAGACATTTCCCAATTAGTTCTGCCAGAAAGTCTGCACCAGGGACCGCCTCTCTGAAGGAAGGGGCTGCTTCCTAGCATGCTTGTGTCAGCATGTGCATGTCTGTGCATGGATGCGCACGGGTGCACAGCCCACACATTTATGTGCATGTGTGTGTCCTGCGGTTTCCCTGGTCCGGAGAAGTACCCAGTGTAGGGCGTCTGTCCTGTGTTCACCGGCAGTCCTGGAGAGCTGCCTGAGCAGGGCATGCCCACAGCCACAGCACTTAGGAGGCAGGCCGTGAGCCCAAGCCCTCCTGGATGACTGTCCGCTCCAGCACAACACTTCTCCACAATTTATCAAGAAGAACAAAGGGGAGAAAGTGGAGAAATCACCCCCAAAATTGACACTGATCCAAAGTGAGGATGTTCAGTTCTTCATAAAAGGAGAGCTCTCTGTGACCTACAAGTGACCCGCCCCCCAACGTACAGAAATATCAGAACATCCAAACGTTCGTCAGCCGTTACTATGACAAAAAGGTCACGCGTCACATCTTCAGCTCTCCTTAAAATTCAGTTGCTCCTACTTGAAGTATGACTGAATTTCATTAGAGCACGGCCCATCCAATTTACGGCAGGCACCAATCACGGCCACACCTGGGGGAACAGAAGGAGGAACCGGGCGCTCATGGAATCTGAGGACACCCGGGTCCTCTCCAGCTGCCCCTCTCAGAATCACAAGTCTCGTGTCCGGCCATTGGGCCCCTGGCGCTTGTCCCGAGGCCTACGCCTGGCACTCACCACACCCACAAGCTCGTGAACAAGGGCCACACAGATGCCGCAGTCTGAAGGGAAAGCCCCAAGAACAAAGGCTCGGCAAACACCTCCCCAACACACCGGGAAGACCTCTCCTGCCAAGATGGCAGCCAAATGAATGAAAGCCCTCAGAGGGACTCCCGAAGGACACTCACACTTCACACACAACGATGCTCCACCTAAGGAGAAAGCCCCATCGGTCCCTTCAACCGCTACAGCAAAGGGAGGAAAAAGCTCTCTGACGAGAGCTGTAGGACCCACACTCACCTCACCAAGCCGAAGACAAAGGGGCCTGTCAGGTGCCAGCTGGTCCCTGGGCTCAGGCCGCACAAGTCCCATCCCATGCACATGCGTGCATGTGTGAATGAATTGTGTGCACGAACATGCATGTATCTGTGTGTGTGTGAATGGGTAAGCACATGCGTGCGTGTGCGCATGACTGTGTCCGTGTGCAAATGTGCACACATGTGGAAGTATGCATGCAACTGTGTGACCATGCATGTGAGCAAGTGTGTGTGCATGTCTGTGTGCGTGTACTGTACAAGTGTATTGTGAAGGGGTAAGCACATGTGTGCACAAATGTGCGTGTGTGTGCACAGACACGTGTACACACGAATGTGTATGTGCAGGCATCTGTATGCAGATACACAGGTGTGTACTGGTCTCTGTGTGTGCAAATGGGTATGTGTGCTTGTGCGTGCATATGCATATGCATATGCCATGTGTGTGCATGGACCCTCGTAACAATGACTCCAGACCCCACAAAAGCACAGGAGAAACAGCAGAGAGAAAAACAGGTGGCCCAGCCAAAGGCACCATGCTGATGATGCTAACGTAATAATAATCACAGTGATGAGTGAAGCGCCTACTGCGTGGTAAGCCCTTGCTAAGTGCTTTACAATCAGTATGTCATTTGACCCTCATGAGCATCCAGGGAGAGAGGTGCTGTTACTATCATAACCATTTCACAGCTGAAGTAACTAAGGCAGGCAGCAATGAAGGCAGCACTGCCTATCAGTGGAAAGCCTGGGAAGAGGTACTGTCCAGGGGTGGAGGCTCAGCTGCACTGAGGAGACTAAGGGGTCATCGATGACTAGACAGGAAAACCCAACTCTGGGGCCCAGGACGAAGAAGCGACCAAAGAAGCCCTGAAGCTGGGCAGAAAGACGGAGAGCAAGTGTGAGTCCCACGAGCGCAGGGCAGCCGCTTCCATCTCCGCTTTATGGGGGCCTGTCAGGGAAGCACTGAGGTGATCGCTGACGCCAGCGAGGCTGCCGGACACCCAGCCCCAGAGCTCCTGCAGACGTGTCCACAGACAGGAGAGCAGACAAACGGGCCTTCACAAGGGGCCCAAGGCCCCCACTGGAGGGGTCCTGCGCACACACACACACACACACACACACACACACACACACACACAAAACGTCAACACTGCCTCAGAATCCTCCCATCTTGGAAAACCAACCTGCCATATTCGCGACAGTCCATGTTCAAGCTTCTTCTTCACGTAGCTGCGGTCAAAATTGCTCTCCTCAGACCCTGTCGTACCACCCCCTTCTGAAACGAGAAGATGTGAGAGATCCCAGGTTGGCTTCAGGCCACCGGGAGCCAAGAACGACGCTCTCCTCTTCTGGAACAAGGACTCTCCCAGGGCTTTCGTCGGCCTCCTGGCTGTTTCCTACAGAGAAGCCACACAATAAAACAAGGATGACAAGAATAATGATTGTAACACCAAATGAAAGCCAGCGGGAGGCACCCGGGGCATCTCCCCGATCCCCACAATGATGGGGAGCTAAGTCAGGCCACAGCCGTGCTGTCCCCGAGTCCACGCGGGACTCTGCCCGCTCCTCAGCACCACACCGGCCCCGGCCCCACACCCGATGCTCCGTCTCCCCTCTCAGACCTGTCTCGGTACTGGCTCTTCCTTCCCAACCTCCCTCTCTCATCAGCCCTCAGCTCACCCCCAGTCCCTCATGTGTCCTCCTCTGCATCTATTGTTATCTCTCTCATCTCCTTACTGTTTGTTTCCTATTTGTCTGGGCACCTCCAGCTCCCACTACAGTGCCTGGTCCATAAGAGGACCCTGATGAATGCACACTAAAGGATGGATGGACAGATGGAGAGAGGGAGGGAGGGAGGGAGGGAGGGAGGGAGGGAGGGATGGATGGATGGATGATGGATGGAGGGATGGATGGAGGGAGGGAAGGAGGGAGGGATGGATGGATGGAGGGATGGATGGAGGGAGGGAAGGACGGAGGGATGGATGGATGGAGGGAAGGATAGAGGGATGGACGGAGGGAGGGACAGATGGATGGACAGACCAGCATTTAGTGTGAACTAAACAGTGTGTGCCCTTTGACCCAGAGATGTACCTGCAAAGGGACCAAAGCAAAAGGAACAGCTAAATAATTAAGACGTACGAACGTGCTGAAAGAAATGATGAAAGGAATAGTTTCAGAGAAGCCTGACAGGATCTGTATGAGCTGATGCAAAGTGTTTGCATGAGAACCACAATGCTGGAATAACGAACCACTGTGTACAAAAACTCCTGAAATCTGATCAACTCAAGGACCACCCACAATTCTACAAGAGCAGTGAGGAAGCCTGCTGCCCGCCCCTGACAGAGGTGCAGGAAACATACGTTTGGACATGGCCAATGGGAGAACTAACTTTACCTGACCTGGTGTATCTGCTGGGAGGGGCTTGTCTTTTGTTTTTTCTTTAAAAGACGGAAGTGGGATGGGAGAAAAAAAATGCTTATTACTTGAAAAGCAAAATCACATTTAATATGAACACAGTTACTGGTGATCCTCACTCATGCTGACTGACTGACTGACTGATTGACTGATAACCCCTGGCTCTAGCAGCAGCTCCTGGAAGCTGAGCAGGAAGACAAAGGCCTCAGGCAAAAGGGTCCAAGGCCATGGACATCTCCCAGTGTCTGAGGAGCTGCTGTGGGCAAGAAGATCCCCATTCACCTTCCTCAGCCCCAGGAACAGAACAGGACCTACCCGGGGAGTGCAGGGAATGGTAGTTTTCACATGACATGAGGAAAATGCCAGCATTAACATCTAACCACACGAAGAATGGGGAAGGTGAGGGACACAGCATGGAGGGTTCTGGTCTAGGTACAGCATTCATCACATGCCCACTGAGGTCCCTCCAGCCAGCCTGAGATGAGGCTGCATGTTGGCCAGCCCAGGGCGCCACATGGCTGGGACCCCGAGGGGATCGGGAAGGGAAGGAAAGGTGTCCTCCCCATCCACCAGAGCATGCTCCACTCAGTACTGGCAGAAGGAACAGCTACACTGCCCAAAGTACAGGACCTCCCTGCTCTCCCCCTGCAGCGGAAGAAGGACAAACAGCCTGTGTCTGAGACTCACACCCAACAAGCTTAAAGATGCAGTGCGATGTGAAGGCACGCAGACAGGGAGACAGTGAACAGAGGAAGAGGAGGCCCCACCCTGCCCCTGGGAGAGACAGGATAGCACTGATGTGATGATGGGACAGATCCGTGAGATCCTGGTCAGGCATGAGGAGGAGGAGCAGAGCCAGCCCCCGGGCCAGAGCAAAGAGGCATGGTAGCAACACAATGTCCTGCCCTTACATGGGCGGGCACAGGACAAAGGACATCATGGGGCAAGAGCAGGCCAGAGGCCCTGTGTGGAAGGCCTTGAGTGACGAGCTAAGGAGCTCAGACTCGACATGGAAGGCTAATCTAGAAGCGACCTGAGATGGAGAGGAGGGGGACAGGCTGGGAAGTGACTAGGGTGGGTCAGGGAAGAAGAAGTAGCCAAAGAAAAGGGGTCAGGGCAGAAACAGACTAGGCAAGGCAAGGGGATGGGGGGGGGAGTCAAAGAGCTCACTCTAGATCTCCAAGTCAAGGCTTCAGGAGGAGAAAAACTTCTGGGGAAAAACGCTCAGTGTGGCCTCAGGCAGATCAAATTTAGGGGCCGAGCAGACACCGAGGAAAATGAGAACGGAAGCCACAGTTATGAGGCTGGAGCACAGAAGCTGCGGCCGCACCGAGGGCAGAACTGGGGGTACCAACATTCAGCAAGCAGAAGGAGGGAATGCAGAGGGAGAGAAGAGGCCCACAGAAGGAGGCCCCAAAGCTGTGAAAGCCCCGGCCACAGCGAGGGGCCCCAGGCCAGGTCACTGAGGCAAGGCTGAGAGAGAGGGACAGAAACCACAGAGACATCTGGGTAGAGAGAGGTGCCCTTGGGTTGAATCACCAGCAAATAAGAACTCTGGAGGAAAGAAGCAGATGGGAAATAAAGAGCTTAAAAGAGAAAGTTTTCCCAAGAAATGGAATCTCTGAAAATGAGGAGAGACTCCATGAGACAGCAAGAAATATGAGAACAAAATGAAACTGAAAAAATCCTGGACACTATAAATAAGAAATCATAAATGAAAACTACCCAAAGCTATTAGAACCAGAGGGCACAGCAGAGACAGACAGAATTCCCTGAAACCTTGAAAGAAAATCCCAAAAGAAAAAAAGTCCTAGGAATGTCCTAGCTCAAATCTATGATTCCCATGTTAAAGTAAAAAGATCACAAATATCCAGAAAGTAACAGTTCAAGTACAGTCAGGATCATAGGAGACCAGGTAGCTTCCACTATGAAGGAGAGGAAATCCTGGAATACAATGCTGCAAAAGGTAAAAGATGGAGGCTCATGACTAAGAATAATTTAATCTGCAAAGCCGAGTATATTCCTATGGAGGGAAAAAATGACCTTGAATGGAAGAGAGGATTTTCAAGGTTTTCTGATGAAAAGGCAAGAGTGCCTAGGATCTTTGAAATGCAAACACACACAGGAGTTCAGAGTAGTCTGGAGGGGTCAATCTACTTGAGCAATTGGAAGGACCTGCAAGATGATGTAGTGCTAACATTTTAATAGGAAGAAAAGAAACTGGGGCCTCAGAACCATGATGGCTTCAAATGACACTGAAGGAGCTAGGAAGACAAGCACAAGTCCTGGGGTGGATTTGTTTGTTCTCAGTTTGGAATGGGGTGGAATCTAATACTTGTCATAACTGGGGTGAGTGAGAAGAGAAATGTAACAACATGGAGGACAGTGCAGCAGACAGGGCATCAGGTGACCCTCCCTCTTATCTGAAAGGACAAAGGAGAGGTGGACACACACACACACACGTCCACATCCTCACATCCCTGAATCTGGTGCACAAACACACCAAACTTTTAAAGGAAACAAGCAGAGATGGGGAGGGAGAGGAAGCAGAGTCTCCTGAGCAAAACAACCTTGCTGAAGACCCTGAAGGGAAGACTAAAAGGGAAAAAAAGAAAAGCATACACGTGGAGCCAAAGGGTCACCCTGTGGTTTCTGCGCAGCTCCCAGCTGATGTGGGCGGCAGTAGGAAAGCCATCCGCCTGCATGCAAAGCCAGACCCCAAGACCTTGAGCAGAGCAGGGCCAAGCCTGTCTCCATGGGCTCTCATTCTCGGGACACGGCCACAGCCATGGCTGGTTTTGCTCCATGCCTGTCATCTCGTACCAGGCTAACACCACCAGGCCTAAGAATCGGGCTCAGGCTCAGTGAGCAAGGCCAGCCCCAGGGCAAACCTCCCCAGGCTCAATAGGGAGGCAGTGGCTGGTAGGGCTGGGGGCCCAGCAGCCTGGGCTCTCAGGCCTGCCTCTGCCCTGCCCCAGGAGCCCAGGTCCCAAAGACATGGAGAAGAGCCACAAAAGGATCCTACCGGCCACCCTGGTCGTGTCCTCACTGTCATGTGCTTCATGCCACTCCATGGTCCTGTAATAACTGAGCATGACTTCCCACAGGGCTTTGCAGAGGTCAGCCAGGCATGGAATGTAGCTGTCTGTCGTTACGTGCTGCCGAAGGAAAGAAACGCCCATGAGAACCGGCAAGACCCGAATTTAGTGCGGCAACGCTGCTGAAGGCTCACTACAATTCATACTGTGGAATCCCAGAAAGCACATTGAGGCCTAAGAACAATTCTAAATATAAATTATTTTAAAAACAATCATAAATGCACACTTACTGGAGAAGTTTTCATTTGAGCATGTCATTTTAAAAAAATATCACTTAATCACTAAGCTGTCTATTCGGGAGGAACTTCCTCCCTCCCTCTCGCCATCTCTCCTTTAAGGGGGCCACTGACCTCCTTCCTAGTCTGTCCACCCTGGACACACACGACAGCTGACAAAGGTGACAGGGCTTAAGACCTGAAGGAAACTTTGGAGATCAGCAAATTCAGGCCCTCATTGTAGAGACAGGGAAACTGAGGCCCAGAAAGGTTAACATGCAGAATTTCAGCCCAGCCTCTGTCGCCCCAAGCACTGGCTCTCACACAGAGTCACAGGCCCGAGCAGATAGCCCAGCCCCATAAAAGGACGCACCTCCCTGAGCTCTGGAATCACCGGCTTAGCTAAAAGGTCTAGTCCAGAAAGGAATTTCTGATAACCTTTAGTAGACTGTACGGTGATGATGCGAATAAATTCAATATACTGAATCTTCACCCTTCCTTTCAGGTAGATAAGAAGGCGGCCCCATGATCCTGCTTTCATCAAAGAACAAGTCACAAGACATGGCACAAATAAACATGTCACAGATGCCAGGGACAGCTATCTCTCTTCCACTTGTATTGGATTAACAGACCAGAAAATGAAAACTTCAGGCCACAAGCACCACTGCCACACTCCGGGCTGCCACCGAAGAGCTCCCTGCCTCAGGACTGACCGGCTCTAATGCCCTGTGCTTCTTCATCAGACCAGCACCGGGTGATGCCAAGCCTCTTCAGGAAGTGCATGTGGAGGGCTCTGAGACTTTTCAAATGAATTCTTATTCATTTCATTAAACACTTCCCAATTACATGTGAAAAAAAAATTGAACATTCATTTTTTAAAACTGAGTCCCAAATTCTGTCCCTCCCCCACCCTTGGAGAAAAACAATACATCAAGTATACACGTGAAGTCATGTAAACACACTTCCATATTAGCCACGTTTCAAAAGAAAACACAAAGGGGGCAGCTAGGTGGCGCTGTGGATAGAGCACCAGCCCTGAAGTCAGGAGGACCTGAGTTCAAATCCGGCCTCAGACACATAATACTTCCTAGCTGTGTGACTCTGGGCAAGTCATTTAACCCCAATTGCCTCACTAAACACACACACACACACAAATTTTAAAAAAACAAGAAAAATAAAGAAAAATGTAAAAGTCCCCTCCATTTAGCACTCAGAGTCCATTAGTTCTCTCCGGAGTCAGACTATTTTTCATCATGGGTCCTTTGGAATCACCTTAGATCACAGCTGGGATCAGAGTCTCTCCCGGTTGCTCATCATTACAATGTTGCTGTTACTGTGTACAACGTTCTCCTGGTTCTGCTCACTTCACTTTGCATCAGTTCATGTAAGCCTTTGCAGGGCTTTCTGAGAGCACCTGCTCATCATTTCTTACAGCACAGCAGTATTCCATCCCAATCACATGCCACAGCCTGTTAGCCGTTCTCCAATTGATGGGCATCCCTGGAGGGCTCTGGTTGAAGGAGCATGAGCTCAAAAGGAACACTGAGGTCGAGGCCTCAGGGAGGAAGATAGGCAGGGAGAGAGATTTAGGAAGTCACCTTCCATTTCAGAAAATAATCACAGAAGGACTCCTAGGTTAGAACCCCATGGAACAGAGGCTCTGTCTCCAATTTATGGTGCTAGCTTTTGTCGTTACATTTTACTTAAATGTCAAACTTACAAAAAATTATAAAGGCTACCAATGCCTGGGTCAAGACCCCAAAGACCATTCCAATGTGCAAGGAAAACCAGACTGAAGAGAAATGAAAAAAGACCCAGGACAGGGACCCACAGAACCCAGGGCTTTCATCTTCTCCAGGTTCCAAGTCCATGGTGAGCAACTGGCAAGGCCAAAGCTGGAGAAGACACTATAGCTTCCATGACCACTCTCGTAGGCGGGGGTCAAAACCCTACAAGAAACTTTTCAAGAGCGGGCCATTCAAGGAAAATAAGGCAATGTCTCCATTCTGAGAAAGAGGAAGCAGGAAACACCATGGGCATCCTCATCCTCAGGCCACCATGCCTCCCCGCTGCCTCCCAGGCATGCGGAGCTGGGTCATCACAGACAGGCCACTGAGTCCAGTCATCATTCTCAAAGAAGGCAATTGAGACTCAAAGACAAATGTCACGAGTTTGCATCAAATGACGTTCTCAGCTAGCCTCGAGTCTTCATCGCGGACCAGGAGAAACCATAAAGACAGGCTAGGAGCTCATCTATGTGCCAGTGAATAAACAAGCAACATGGCAGGACCTGAGAACAACCAACAGAGGGTGGAGGGGGTCCTGAAGCAGGAAGAAAGAAGCTGCAGTGCACAGACCATCCACCTCCCTCCACTCCCCAAATCTTCCTCCACCCGCTGCCCTGGGCTTCCAGTCCTGGAACCTTTTCCAAACAAGGGCCCCCTTCCAAAAATTACATTCAGTAAAGGGCACTGGAAAGACAGATTAAAAATTAACTGGAAACTAAATAATCTTTTCCTAAAGAATAAATAGGTCAAAGAATAAATCATAGAAACAATCAATACTTTCATTACAGAAAATGACAACAATGAGACACCATAGCAACAACAACAACAACGTAACCCCCAAAGCAGCACTTGGGGAAATGTGCATCTACTTCCATCAGTAAAACAGAGAAAGAGCAGATCAAGGAACTGGATGTGCAACTGAAAAAAAACTAGAAAAGGAACAAATCCAAAATCCCCAACTAAACACCAAACTGGAAATCCTAAAAACTAAAGATGTGATTAATAAAACTGAAGGAAAACTATTGAGCTAATAGATAAAACTAGGAACTGGTTTTATGAAAAAAACAATGAGATAAACCATTGGTTAACTTCATTTAAAAAAAACAAAGAAGCAAACCAAATTACCAGTATCAAAAAATGAAAAGGGTGAATTCGCCACCAATAAACAGGAAATTAAAGCAATTATTAGGAATTATTTTGCCCAATCACATGCCAAAATCTGACAATCTAAGCAAAATCAATAAATATTTACAAAAATATAAATTAATAGGAGGAAAGGAAGAGGAAACAGAATACTTAAATAACCCCATCTTAGATAAAGAAATTGGACAAGCCACCACTGAATTCCCTAAGAAAAAATCCCCAAGGCCAGATGGGTTCACAAGTGAATTCTACTCAACATTTAAAAATCAACTAATTCCAATACTACATAAACCATCTGGAAAAACAGGCAAAGAAAGAGTTCTACCAAATTCCTTTTATGACACCTAAAGCAGGAAGAGCTAAAACAGAGAAAGAAAACTGTAAATCAATTTCCCTAGTGAATATCAATATAAAAATTTTAAATAAAATAAAAGGAGACTACAGCAATATATCACAAGGATCATACACTATAGCCAGGTGATATTTATACAAGGAAAGCAAGACTGGTTCAATACTAGGAAAACTATGAGTATAACCAACCATATCATAACAAAACCAACAGAAATCATATGATCATTTCAACAGATGAAGAAAAAGCTTCCGACAAAATACAATACCCATTCCTATTTAAAACACTAGAGAGCACAGGAATAAATGGAGCTTTCCTTAAAAGGATAAGTAATAACTATCTAAAATCATCAGCAAGCATTATATGTAATGGGGATAATAAGCCAGGAGCCTTTCCAACAAGATCAGGTGTGAAGCAAGGATGCCCATTATCACTCTATTATTCAATATCATACTAGAATGTTAGCTTTGGCAAGAAGAGAAGAAAAAGGAATTGAGAAAAATTAGAACAGGCAACGAACAAACACCACTATCACTCTGCAGATGACACAATGGTACACTTGGAGAATCCTAGAGAATCAACAAAAAACCTAACTGAAATAATTAGCAAGTTGCAGGATATAAAGCAAACTTACGTAAATTATCAGCATTTCTACACATAATTAATAAAGCCCAGCAGCAAGAGACAGAAAGGAGAAATTCCACTTAAAATAACTGTAGACAATATAAAATACTCGGGAGTCTACCTGACAAGACAAACCCAGGAACTATATGAACACAATTACAAAACACTTTTCACACAGAGTCAGATCTAAACAATTAGAAAAATATTAATTGCTCATGGACAGGCTGAGCCAATATAATAAAAATGACAATTCTACCTAAATTAATTTACTTATTCAGTGCCATACCAATCAAACCACAAAAAAACTATTTTAAGGAGCTAAAAAAATATCATAACAAAATTCATCTAGAAGAACAGAAGGTCAAGAATATCAAGGGAATTAATGAAAAAAAAAAATACAAAGGGAAGTGGCCTAGCCATACCAGATCTCAAACTATATTATAAAGTGGTAATCATCAAAACCATCTGGTAGTACCCGAGAAATGAGTGGTGGATTGGTGGAACAGATCAGGTTCACAAGACATAGTAGTCAATGACCACAGTAAATCCAAAGATTCCAGTTTCTGGGACAAAAACTCACTATCTGACCAAAACGGCTGGGAAAACTGGAAAACAGTATGGCAGAAACTAGGCACAGACCAACATCTTACACCATATACGGTCAAAATGGATATAGGATTTAGACATAAAGGGTGACACCATAAGCAAATTAGGACAGCAAGGCCTAGTTTACCTGTCAGATCTATGAGGACCTAAGAAGAGATGGACAGCATTACCATATGTCAAATGGTTTAATTCTGATTATATTTAAAGAGGTTTTGCACAAACAAAACCAATGCAACCAAGGTTAGAAAGAAAGCAGAAAACTGGGAAATAATTTTTAAAGCAAGTGCCTTTTAAGGGGCTCATTTCTCAAATACATAGAGAATTGAGTCAAATTTATAAGAATACAAGTCATTTCCCCAATTCATAAATGGTCAAAGAATATGAACAGGCAGTTTTCAGATGAAGAAATCAAAGCTATCTATAGTCACATGAAAAAACACTCTAAATCATTATTTGAGAGAAATGAAAATTAAAACAACTCTGAGGTACCACTTCACACCTATCAGATTGGCTACTATAACAGAAAAGGAAAACAATAAATGTAGGAGGGGATGTGGGAGAACTGGGACGCTAATGCACTGCTGGTGGAGCTGTGAACTGATCCAACCATTCTGGAGACCAATCTGGAACTGTACTTCAAGGGCTATAAAACTGCATACCCTTTGACCCAGCAAGAGCAGTTCTAGGTCAGCATCCCAAAGAGAGCAAGGGCCCCCTTCTACCAATGAACTGACAAAAACAAGAGACCCAGAAAGGAAGAGCGGACGTACCACTGAACCGCCCCATCCCTAGCAAAGCCATGCTATGACACGCTTCTGTAGGCTGGAAAAGGTGACCCAGCTCAGGGCAGGGCCAGGCGAGGCAGGGCTTGCCAAAACCCCCATGACACCTACCACAAGGCTCCTCTTCCTTCTGAGCCGGGCAAGGTCAGGGGAGGGATCTCCGACCTGGAGGGACCACGTGTGCCCCCCCCTTTCCCACCATTCCCTACTGTACGCACTGGCACCCACACCCTCTGCTCTCTCCCTGTGGGCGATAGATGACTTTCTTCCCATTGCGGCTGCCCACCCCACCCCTTTCCCTTGACTCCTCCCACCTTCAAAGCTCGCCTCCATTCTCAGAGGGACTCCTCACTGCCTATATACCAGGTGCCTCCCCTTTCTCTCCTCTCACTCTCTGTCTGGCTCCCGACTTCATCATCCCACCCAAACTGCCCTTTCTAGAGAGGCCAGTGATCCCTTAACTGCTGAATCCTGTGGTCTCTTCTCAGTCCTCCTTTTCCTCCTCAGCCTCCTGCAGCCTTACACACTGTGGGTGCCTCTCAACACTCTCTCCTCTCTAGGTTTTTGGGACACCCTTTTCTCTCCTGGTTCTCCTCCTCCCTCTCTGTCTCCTGGGCTGGAACCTCACCCAGGTCATGCCTCCTAACTGTGGGCGTCCCCCAAGGTTCTGCCCTGGACCCTCTTCTCTTCTGTTGCATTCCATCCCCTCCGATGGACTTAATAATATCTCTGCAGATGACATCCAGCTCTGTGGTGCAGAGAGACTGCAGAACTTGGGAGTCGGGAAGACCTGCATTTGAATCCAGCTGTGTGACCCTGGTCGAGTCACCTGACCCAGTTTGCCTCAGTTCACTGTAGGAAGGCGGGGCTCAGAAAGCCAATTTTCTTTATTTCATTTGGCTGCCCGCCTGGAGGAGCCCAGGTACCCATCAGCCAAGTGGCAAGCAGGCCTGTGCCAGGCGCACACTCGCCAAGCAAGCAACGAGGTTGCAGGCTTGGAAGAGGACGTGGCCCTGCTCCAGGCTGAGGCCAGACCTGCTGCCGATCAGGCCTGCTCCGTCATCCACACCCCCTCTCCATCTAGGGGCTGTCGCCCTGTGGCCCACAGACACACCAGCGTCTCTCGACCATCTCCTCGAGCTAGCATCCGATCTCCCACCTCCCTGTCCCTGCCAAGCGTCTAGAAGAGGCTAAGAGAAAGGGTGTTAGAAATAACTGTGGATGTCGACAGGACTCACGGGGGCAGCTCTGGCCTGTGTGAACTGGCCACGGGGTGCCCCTAGATCCCACATCCTGTCTCCTCTCTCATGCACCCGGCCCAAGCTCACTCGCCACATGCCCCCCAGCCAAGCTCTCCCTTTCTGCCCAGGGTCAAGCACTGGACAAGGGCCCGGCTGCTCATCACCACACACCGTGCAGAGGTCCTTGTACTGAAGCTTCTGGAACTTGGTATCCGTGTTGCCTGCACACAGCTCCACATAGCCCAGGACCACCTGGAACACGGTGTTATGGATGGCCTGCGTAAAGTGCATGTGCAGCTGGTCCATCGCGGTCTACAAGGCACAAGAAGCACGTCACTCAGCTGGCCAGTGGCACCTCCCCCCACCACACACACAGAGGCCCATCGCCCCCGGGCTCGCCCGGGCCACGCAGGCAGGCCTTGGCAGCCCCCAGACACACCTGTGTCTTCCCCAGGAGCCTGTAGGCCTGCTGCACCTTGGTGTAGTGGGAGACATCAAAGTTCTTGCAGATTTTGGAGAGCGCCACGTCCAGCTGCTCCTAAGGGGAGCACACACGAGGAAGGGCTGGTGAGAAGCCCCCAGCAGGATGCCAACAGGATAAGTGGGCTGACATTAAGACCCACCAACCCTGGAGCCCCCTGCCTGAAGTAGAATCCTGGGCAAACTACGTCCTCCCCCTCTGTACGACAAGGGCTTAGGCAGACCAGGTGCCCTAAGGTCCCTTCTGGGGCCAGAAAGTCCAGAAAGATGGATTCTTAGTCACTTTGAGACCAGCTCCCGGAGCCCAGGGCCTGCAAGGCCCTGAAAGCCTAGCCTCTGCTAACAGCCCAGCCAGCGTCAACGGGAGGCCGCAGAAAGAAGCAACCGCAGCTTCCCACGGCGGCCGCGGCGCCAGGCTGGCTCTGCCGGCCTTGAAGGCCTGAGCGTCCATAACCCTTATTTAAAGCAGGATCTTCTTCTGTGGCAGAAGGGACAAAGCACCCTGGTGGCAAACACAGCATTTCTCACTCGAGCCTTTACTGGGGGGATGGTCCCCTGTGCAGGGGAGTGGCTCAGGGCCTGGGTCCGAAACAGACACCAGCCTCGGGAGACCAGTCTCGGCTTCTGTACGGGAAGAGGCGAGAGGAGCCCAGCCCGTGCCAAGGCCCCATCAACGCCTTTCCTGGAAGATGCCGGCAAAGGAGGCAGAGAAGCCCGGGACAGCGGGTCAGCCCGCGGGCTCCCTGTGGCCTCCGACCGCAGCCAGGTGGTACTGTGTTATGTCAGGCTGGGCGGAGTCTTGCTGTTTGTGTCAGACTGGACCAAACCGTGTCGTGTTCTGCACCTTGTTGTACTGGACCGCGCTACACTGACTTAGGCTGGGCTGTTGTTTAGTGCTACATGGCATGTCGAGCTGTGTTACTGTTTGGTTGTGTCATGCTGCCTCATGCTGTGTTGTGTTGTGTTGTGTTGGGCTGTATCCTGCTATGTCGCACCGCACCTGTCACGATATGTTGTGCTGAGCTGCATCACACTGCGTTTTATTGGGCTGCACCAGACTGTGCTGTGCGGTGTGGCGCCACCCTCATCTTGTCCTGGCGGTTCCCATACTCCTGCCCCGGAGGCTGGACCACGTCCCAGTCCCAGAAGCGCAAGTCAGAGGGAGGTCCCGCTCCCACCCACCTCACCCCCCCCCCAGGCCAAGGCCTCCCTTCTCACCTCGATCTGCTCCAGGGTGTCCTGCAGCTTGGAGTCCAGCTCACTGTTGGACAAGAAGAGATGGCTCAGAGATTCCTTACCTCCTGAGGAGCAGTTTGGGCCCTGGAGACCTCCCAACAGTGACAGCAGCACTTCCCAGGGGACGACCCTGGCACTGCACCCCCCACCAAACCATCAAACGGCAAGGTGGTGGAGTGCGGAGGCCCAAGATCCCTGCCCTGCTCCTAGCTGGGGAAGCCTGCATATTCCACCAGACCTTTCTGGCACATCAGAGAGTTGGGCTGAACCTTTCATCCTTCCTCCTCTTTGTTTAGGCCCTCAGTGGAGGGGATGGCTCAGTGAGAGGGGGAAGGAGACGGTGGAAAACAGAGGCAACGTCAAAAGTGAGGCGTTATCTTCTAAAAACCAAAAAAAGAGCTACCTTCCTTCAAGTCAAAGCTCCCAGACACTCTCCAAGCCTCTGTTCAAGGAGCAGATGCACACCTTGGCTTCTGAACCACTCATTTCTTTAGAGGCAAGAATCAAGGAGACAATCAGGATCACCAGAGGGCCAGACAGCACCACTGGGCCAGACACCAGGCCAGAGAGCACCACCAGGATGGACAGCACTGACCGGCTGGAAAGCACTGGGCTGGATGCCACCACCAGGCTGGACACTGGACCAGACAGCACTGCCGAGTCAAAGAGCACTACCAGGCCAGACAGCACCGCCGAGTCAAACAGCACTACTGGGCCGGACACCACCGCCGGGCCGGACACCACCGCCGGGCCGGACACCACTGCCGGGCCAGACAGTAAAGTCTACCCTCACGGCTTAGGAGGAGCTAACTAAGGAAGGTAAAGGGACAAAAACCCAACCAAAGTCATCTTGCTGGCGCCTGCCGTGAAACAAGACAGGGCCTTCTGTGGCCCAGGACCAGCAAAGAGGGACAGCCTGGCCATGCCAGACCTCTGCGGGACCGCAGCTTGACGGGGCAGCCTGGTAGTGTGTCCCTCTGGAGAGAGGGCGACCAGCTGAGCCCAGAATCAAACAGGATGAGGAGAGCAGGCATTTCAAGGAGCCGTCTTCTGAGCGCAGCTCCGTCGTGGGAGACCCCAACCTCCCTCACAAGAGCCTGACTTACAGGGGACATCAGGGGGACAGAGAGAGCCCAGCAGTGCGGGACTGGGCAAGCAGGGGACTCCTGACGGCCCACAGGCCTCCCACCCACGGGAGGTGCAGTGGATACCTTCACCTCAATGTGTTCAAGACAACCATTCTTTCCCTGCAAATGCTCCCCCTTCCACCTCCCCCCCATTCTCTAGTCCCCAGGGCCCTGGACTCTTCCCTCTCTCTCAGGCCCAGATCCCAAGATGGTGCCAAGGCGTGTCGATTTCACCTCTAGAGTACCCCCCAATTTGCCTCCTTCTCTCCTCTGACCCTGCCACACCTGGTACAGCCGCTCAGCACCTCACATCGGGCCTACTGCCACAGCCTGCTGGAGGTCTCCTGCCTCAGTCTCTTCCTTCTCCTGCTTCCTGACTGCAGGTCTGATCATCCAACCCCACTCCAACTCTAACCCTGCTGACTCAATAAGCCCTAGGGGCCCCCTCTGTCCTCCAGGATCAAATACGAAACACTCTCCTTGGCATCCAAAGCCCTTTGTGACCAAGTCCCTGCTTCCTTCTCCAGGCTGCTTACTCCTCACCACGCACTCCTCGGTCCAGTGACCCCATCCTCTATCTCTGCTCTAGGTCATCTCTCTGGCCACCCACCAGGTCTAGGACACTCTCCCTCCTCTGCTCTGACCACCGACCTCCCTGGCCTCCTTTAAGTCCCAGCTAAGATCTCACCCCTGCCAGGAAGCCTTTCTACCCTCTTTCCAATTCAGCCTGTCTGTAGCTTTGCACACTGTCTCTCTCAGTAGGCTGTGCACTCCTGGAGAACAGGGGCTGGCTTACGCCTCTTTCTGTACCCGCAGCACTGAGCAGAGGGCCTGGCACACAGTAGATGCTTAATAAATGCTTCCTGACTGACTGATTAAAGGTGGCGAAGAGGAGTGCAGAGTGGCCCAGATGTCCCCAAACCACGGATTCAAAAACCTTTTCTAGAGATTGGCCTGGACTCTGGATAGGCCCAAGGATTCACAAAAAACTGAAAGACACTAAAATTAACCAGCTATCCCCTAGCAAAATGACCTGTGGGACACCCGACAGCAGTCTTCCCACTAGCACCCAAAGAATCTTGGGGAACTCATTCCACAAGTTCCAAAACGCCAGCATCCCCTTATCAAAATCATCAGAATGGTAACAGTACCAGCCAAGAGGCTCTATTTAGCAGACAGGACGTTTACATCTAAGACTCATGAAAACTTCACTGTAATAGATCACACACCCCCACCCCCGCCTCGGTCAGCACCCCCAACGGTCTGAACACATGGTAAGAGAAGATACTGGTCTTAGGGTGGGGGTGCCAGCCCCGAACCCTCCCCCCTGCAAAAGCAGCCCCCTGATGGACCTCAGGCCCTGGGCTGTGACTATGAAGAGAAAACCGATTTTCCCATTTCAAACTATGTCCTAATGAAACAGTAGGCTGCATCGTCGCATTCTTAAAGCGGCGATAAAAAATCTGACTAATTCGAGTCAGGAAACAAAAACTGGCCACCTCACCTGTGACAATCACTTTCGCACAGGAAATTTACAAACAGAGCAAGTGTCCAGACCCCACAGAACACAGCGCAGACCGCGGAGTCCAAAGACCTGCATTCAAACCCTGCCTCTCACCTCGGCTTTGGGGCTGCCCCGGGCTCCTCCGTTTCCTCACCTGTCAAATGAAGGTGGAGTCCTAAGTGGTCTCGGAGCTCCCTCCCAGTTCTCAAGGTCTGGGATTCTACTGGCAAACTGAAAATGCTGCCTCTACATCCCTCAACCAATAAACAGTCAAAGGATCTGAACAGGCAGTTTTCAGATGAAGAAATCCAAGCTATCTCTAGTCATACCTCACTACTGACTAGAGAAATGCAAATTAAAACAGCTCTGAGGTACCACCCCCCACCTATCAGACTGGTTAATATAACAGAAAAGGAAAACGAGAAATGTTGGAGGAGATGTGGGAAAACTGGGATACTGATGCATTGTTGATGGAGCTGTGAGCTGACCCAACCACTCTGGAGAGCAATTTGGAACTATGCTCAAAGAGCTATACAACTGTGCATGCCCTTTGACCCAGCAATGCCATTACTGTATCCCAAAGACATCCAAAAAGAGGGAAAAGGACCTATACGTACAAAAATGTTTACACCAGCCCTTTTCGTGGAGGCAAAGAATTGGAAATCAAAGGAATGCCCTTTGGGAAATGACTGAACAAGCTGTGGTATATGACTGTAATGGAATATTATTGTGCCATAAGAAAAGACAAGCAGGAGGATTTCAGAAAAACCTGCGGAGATTTACTTGAACTGATACAGAGCGAAGGGAGCAGAACTAGGAAAAGGCCGTACCCAGTAACAGCAACACTGTAGCAATGATCAGCAGTGAATAACTGAGCTCTTCTCAGCAATGCAATGATCCAGGACACTCCCAAAGGACTCCTGATGAAGTATGCCATCCGCCTCCACGGAAGGAAGTGATGGAGTCTCAATGCAGACCAAAGCAGACTTTTCCTTTACTTTCTTTCTTTTCCTCATTTTTAATTTTCTGTCTGTGCTTTTTCATTTTTTTTCTTTTTTCTTTTAGGCAATTGGGGTTAAGTGATTTGCCCAGGGTCACACAGCTAGTAAGTGTCAAGTGCTTGGTCTGAGGCTGGATTTGAACTCAGGTCCTCCTGACTTCAGGGCCAGTGCTCCTGTGCTTTGTTTTTCATAACATGACTAACACAGAAATCTGTTTTGCATGACTGCACATGTATAACCTCTATGAAACTGCTCGCCTTTCCAAGTAGGAGAAAGGGTGAGTTGAGAAAGAGAGAATGTGGAACTCAAATTTTTTAAAAAAATTGTTTACATGTAATTGGGGGGAAAAGTAAAATATTAAATTTAAAAAAAATAAAGACTTCCACAGTCGGGTTGGAAAAAAAAAAGCTGTCCCCAAGGGAAGGAGCAGGGCTGCCTCTTCCAATGGACCCCTCCCTGGGCACATGGTAGGCACGGCTGGACAGACATGGGCACCTGGTCTTTCCAACACACTCAACACTTGTGGAAATGCCCCTGAAGACCCTGGACTCCCGACGACCCACCAGACCATCAGGAAAGGGTATTAATCACATACTCCACCTGTACCCCCCACCCCCCATGACCGCTCTGCCCACTGGGCCATCAGGAAAGGGTGTTAACCACATGCTCTGCCTGCTACCCCCTCCCCCTATCGCAGGGCCACCAGCCCCCCATACCTGATACAGCTGTAATGTCGGAATGTGCTGGCCGCCTGCTGACACTCCAGGCAGAGCTGGATAGCGCCAGGATAATCTTCTTCCTTGGGGGAAACAGTGGTGCGAGGCTCCACTCAAGCCCAGGTGCAGCATTTGTGTGGGGAGAGGGAGGTCGCAGGGAGAACAGAGAGGTCCCGGGGCAGGTGCTAGCTAGGGGAAGGAGCATGTCCCAGCTGGGGAACAGGGCCTAAGGTCCAGGGGGTGCTTGTGGGGACCCAGAGCAGAGGGGGAAGCAGAATGAGAAACTGAGGCAGGCCAAGGTGTGGACTTGTTCCTGAGAAGAGACAGAACATTAGGGAGTGCCTGTGAGGGAGCCACGGCCTAGCCAATTCTGTGCCTGAGCCAAGGGATCTGGAGCCAGGGGTTTCTTTACCACTGCACCTCCCGAGGCAGGCTCTGCAGGATAAGACCACGTATGTCTTCAAGAAAACTCACTTTAACGTAAAATGAAAATACGAGGCACTCAGTAGGTGCCTTGGTTTCCCTAGCCACACTGATGTGGCACCAGGCCCAGTGACAGTCATTGTCACTGCCATGGGAGGCCAGAGAGGGCAGGTCCCCAGGGCCTGTTCTGGGCCCCCAAGCCCCAGACTTAGGTGGGAGGCCACCTACCTAAAGAAACCTCTGCTCTGGGGCACAGTCCACACACATATTGGGGGGGGGGCTCAGCGCTATCCCACGACTTCTCCATCACCCTCACTTACCTCCAGCATCTCACTCAAGCGCACGTCCGTTCTTTGCTGGAAAAACAAATAGCAGCAGTGAGATCATGGCCCGACAGCAGCCTGGCAATGGCAACCGCTCCCCGAGCCCCTAGACCCACCAGCGTTTTTATGGTCCTCAAGGACTTCAGCAGGCCGACCAGCAGCTGACGCTTCCTCTGGTTCGCGAGAAGGCCCAGACTGGCCTGAGTAAAACCCTCCTTTGCGATATTCAGGTGCCTGCAAGAAGAAAGAGCAAAGATGTTGGCCAGGCCAGGCCAGGCCTGCCACCTCCAGGCTTTGTGACATGAGCGAGACCCGCATCAATCTCAGGAAGCAAGTCGACATGAACGAGGGGGCTGGCAGTGCAGGGGACGCTGACCGGCAGGGGCAGCACGCCTCAGAGCCCTGGGACCACAGAGCCCGAGGATGGAGGCCCTGCAGCCCCTCGGGCCAGCCCAGAGTTAGGACCCTGGGGAGTGCCCTGAGGAAGCCCCCTTGGGCAGTGTGGGGAGGCCACGGAGGAGGCCAGGAAACAGACACGGCTGAGCCCTAGGCATGTGCTGGACCAGCCCTGTAAAAGTAGTCTCTGAGGTAGGGAGCTCAGGTTGTCTGCCCAGAAAGAGGACAGCACGAGGCCTCGTGCTGCCCATGAAGTTACACCAGCACGCCCTACCTTCTTCCGTTGGTGCAGATGACAGTCGCCAGCTGAAGGCCCGTCTGCAGAGAGGTCACTCTCTCAAGCTCCTGCGGGGAGGCACAGAGGGGGTCACTGTTCATCTCCAGCTCCTCTCTGGCCAGTGGCTCTAAAGAGCCGACAACCAGGAGAAATGTGCCAGGCCAACCTCAAAGACGGAAGCTCGCCTGGCAGCCCACGAGTGGCCCCCACACGTCCTGGGGTTGGCATTCCTAATGACGAAGTTTGGGCCCTCCCAGCCTGGCATGTTTGAGGAAGGCAGGCGGCCTCTGCCACCTCCAATTTAAGGCCTGCTCTCACCTACCTCCCTGATGGAAAGAAAAACAGAACCCAAGTCCTACTCTGAGGCCAACCTGACCGGTGAGCCCTGTCAGCCTTTGGCCCAGCCAGGCCCGGACAGCCAAGAGGTCTCACCTCAGAAAATCTATGAGAATGATGTGAAAGGATCTGGAGACTGCCCTGTGATGGCCCAGGCCCAGGTGTTCATGGAGGGGCAGCCACCAAAATACAACACACCTTATGGCTTTCAGAAAAACACACCCCAGCACAGACATGGCTTGAAGATCTTTGGACTGTGTCCGGCTCGGAATTCGGACCAGCAAACTCCCCATGCCAACCCTCTGAGACAGGGTGGAGGGAGGATGCCTGACCCAGCCCACCTCGGTCCCCCCTGAAGACCTAGCCCTGCCCTGCCCCCACTGGCCTCCCCCGCCTCCCCATAAAGGTTCTCCAAGGACCTCCTACCTTGACATAAGCCGGCTGCTTTTCAAGGATCAAATCTGCGACTTTCTTAGAGACCTGTTCGAGTCAAAGACAGGACAGACAGACAGGGAGAGCCACCATCAAACACAGCTCACTGGGGCCTCCCAACACACGTCCAGCCTCTTTGTTCATGTCCCACCTCCCCTCGCTGCCACCCCGACCCTACGGGCCCCAAAGCTACCAAGACCCCACCGGCCCCAAGGTCACCCTGACCCTGCAGGCCCATCCGCCACCCTGACCCCATAGACCCCAAGGTTACCCTGCCAGGACCCAAGCAGAAATGGCTTCCCAGACTGGTCACCAAGGACCAGGGGAGCCCAGGGCTGGGAGATGGCCGGCCCTCTCTCTTCCTTCCAGGCCCCACTGACCTCTGACCACAGGCAGAGGATCTAAGGACCAACGACATGAGGGAAGGCCTCCCACCAAGTGAGTCATGGTGCCCTGGAAGCAATAAGCCAAGACCCAGGAGGCCGCACTTGGCCGCCACATCTCACTGCACTCCCCCGGGCCTCAGTTTCCTCATCTGTAAAATCAGAGGCTTAGGCTCAATGCCAGGATCCGTTAGAAAGGAGAAACCTTGGAGCTCAGCCCTCTCATGTGACAGGGGAGGAAACTGAGGCACAGAGCCTTGAAGGCCTCAGCCTCACCCACACAGCCCTCTGGTACAAAGACTAGCCTCGGGGTCCATTCTGGCTGAACTATGGCCAAGAAGGTCCCTGGACACAGGTGACAAGTGACCCCAAAGGCCTGGATGAAGCCCTGCCCACCCCAGGGTCCGGGACAGATGAGGAAACTTCTGCTCAGCATCAAGGTGAAAGGTCCCACTCTGAGAGGCTTTCCCTCCCTCCCTGAGGCCAAAGTCAATGCCCCCTTCACCCACCACCCCAGCCCCCCACAGGCCAGCCCCCAGAAGTCAACAATCCCTCGCCTATACTTACAGCGGCCTGCTGCTGTTTCAGCTTGTCTCTGTATGCCTCCAATTCTTGCAAATTGAGAATAGGAGGGAGCTTCTGTGGGCAAAATCAGCAACAGGGATGAAGTTTTGTTGGTTTGGGGTTCTGTGGTCAGCACAGCCGTCTACACCTCCCAAATGAGCCACATACACACTCCCCACAGGGGACTGCGAGGCCCAAGCCCCAGGGACGAGCCTGGCTCAGGCTCCCCAGCCCCTGGCCCAGCTCTCAGTCCGGGGTCTCTCCCCGACCACCAGCCTTCTCTGGCTGTTGACTGCCCCTTGCCACCATGCTCCTTCTCCTTCAAATTCATGGTCCTCTCAACCCTGAGTGGCTGATGCCCCAGCCCCAGTGCCCTCAATGCCTACCCTCCTGTCTCCTGCCCTTTAGCTACAGAAAACAAGGCCACACAGCATATGTGTCATTAAAATGACAGAGGCCCAGCTTCAAACCCCACTCCAGATCACTGTCTCACTCTGTGACCTTGGGAAGGTCACTCAGTCTAAGCCTCAGTTTCCTATATATTCCTATAAAATGGGAGGGAGGAGGAAGGAGGCAGCTTCTAAGGTCCTTCCATTACATTCTCGGGGTCACAGATTTAAAGCTGGAAGGGTTCTCACAGTCCAGCCCCTTCATTTCACAAATAAGGAAATCAAGGCCCAGGGAGGTAGACCTGCCCAGAATTATTGTAGTATGACGGTTCAGAGGCAGGAGCCCAGGCATCCAAAGATCTCTGCCTCTGGGAGCGACGATCTAAGCTCTTGACCAATGCCCATCCGCCCACCCTGGCCCATCCCCATCAGCAGCTCTGTCCAATGACTGTCCCCTCTCTTACTCATATTAATCTCTCCCAACTTAACTGGGACTGAACCCTCAGGCCACAAACATCCCAGGATCTATCCCACCCTGGAAAATCTTCCCTTGACCGTGCCACCTAGTGAAGCCATCATCATCGTCAATGCTATCATCATCATAGCTCCCATTTATAGAGCCAGGCCCCACAGGCCAGGCCTCGCACTAAGACTTTACAAATATGATCTCATTTAAGATAACCCAGGGAGTCAGTGCTGTTATTATCCCCATTGTACCGATGATGAAACTGAGGGAGTCAGAGGTTAAATGCCTGGTCCTGGGCTACACAGCTAGGAGGTCCCTGAGGCCAAATTTGAACTCAGCTCTCCCTGACTCCAGGCCCAGCACTCTGTGCTATGACACTCCCTAGCTGTCATCCCATCGATCTGCACACACTCGCTGCCAAACTCCAAGAAAGAATGAGGGAGAACAGTCAATGCCTCTCCTGCCTCCAAGGCTGCTCATATCTCTGCCCCTGGTGATGAGCCTGCTGCCTGACACTGCCTTCTCCAAAGGCCCCTGAAGCTCAACATGCCCACAATGGAACTCACTCATCACCTTTCCATAAACCCTCCAGCCCCTACCCTCCCTACTACTGTGGAAGGCATCTCCGTCCTCTAAGTGTCTCAGGCTCCCAGCCGAAGAATCATCCTGAGTTGACTCCTCACCGTCCACCCCACCTCCTGACATGGTGCCAAAGCCTGCTGATTTCATCTGAACATCTCTGGTCAATTTCACCTCTACAGTATCTCCCCAATACTTCCCTTCTCTCCTCTGACCCTACCCCCAATCCTAGTGCAGGCGTTCAACACCTCACTCCTGGACTACTGGAGTAGCCTGATGGGTGGGGGTAGGGGCTGCCTGCCTCCAGTTTCTCCCTACTCCAGTCTATGCTCCATTCAGACACCAAAGGGATCTTCCTAAAATGCAGATCTAATCATGTCACTCTCCCCTACTCAACAAACTGCAATGGCTCCTTATGGCCTCCAGGATCAAATACAAAATGCTCTGCTTGACATTCAAAGCCCTTTAGTACCTACCCCCTCTCTTCCCTTCCCAGTTTCCTTATACCTCACTGTACTCCACATATCCTATTATCCAGCTATACTGGTCTACTTCCTTGTTCCTCACGCCATCTCCCATCTCCACACCTTTGCACTGGCTATGCCCCATGCCTAGCATGCTTTCCCATCCTTCACCTCTACCTCCAGGCTCCCTTCAAAGCACACCTTCTGTAGGAGGCCTTTCTCAGTCCCTCTTTTCCTCCATTGTAGTGCTGTCCTTCTGACTTTACCCCTATCACCAAGCAAAGTGCCTCACAAACAGAAGTCTGGCCCAAGTTCCCTCCTTTGTCAAATGAATGGATGGAACCAAGTCTCCTCCAAGGCCCTTGTCCAGGTCTCCACCAGCTCAGAAAGCTCAGATTTTTGTCAGAGCTACGGCTGCCGCCAGCACCCCCACCCCCAAAGCACTGAAACCCTCCTTACCACCAGGGCCCCCTGCAGGCCAGGCCCCAGAGCCTGCCCCCAAAGCCCAGTGGTCAGTAGCTGCTGCTGTCCACACGGGACAGGTGAGCTCCCAGGGCCAAATGGCACGGCAGCCATGCTTTCTCCTACAAACATGGTGGGCAGGGGCCACGAGGACAAAACTGACCATGCAAAGCCACCCTCGGGGACTGTGTGGGGATAGGGAGTAGAGGCTTCCCTTCCCCCAGCTGCCAGGCATCCCCCAAACTTCTCACACCGCAAACCAGGAGCACGAGGACAGTGTGGGAGGCAGCTGAATGAGGGTGATCCAGGCCCTGGAGCTGCCTCTAGCTGTGCACAGCCCCCCCACCACCATCCCCGCAGAAGCCACTGCCCTTACCTCCATCTCATACTTCACAATATCAAACGAGTCAGTTGAGAAGTAGACGTCCTCAATGCTGTTGATGATTTCCTGCTGGGCTTGGGGGTCGATGGGCTGTTCCCGAAGCTCCCGAGACTCCTCCTTTAAAAAGCCACAGGGCCAGGCTGACCACAAGCACAACCAAGCCCTGACTGACCAGTGAGCCTCAAGCCAGGGGCCGACCCTTGCTCCCCCCACGACAGATACCACGAGGCCTCCAGGCCCCTGAAACCCTGGAGTTTGGGGGATGAAGAGTGCCTACAGCCCGCCCCGGAGGCTGCTCCCACGTGCCACGGCCCTCCTATACCACCAACGGCTCCCCATTGACCTCTGGATGCATCCCCTTCCCAGCCTGACAAGCCACGGCCCTTGTTCCTAACATACAAAAACCCCCCATAAGCGAGCCCCTGAATGAACAACACTAACACAGCCCTTTGGCCGACCCTCAGTCCCTTCCCCACTCCGGCCCCAGACCACTCTGGGCTTGTTTTCTATCTGTCCTGCACACACTTATTACGCAACAGCCGTTTCCCCCCAACAGAAGGGAAGCTCCTGGAGGGAGGGCCTATTTCGTCTCTGTCTCCATGTCTCACACCCAGCCCATTCACATCCCTGTCTGGGTCTTCAACTGTAAAAGAGTCTGATGCCCCTCCAGCTCCAAGGCTGTGACCTGGTGGCCTCTGACCCAGCAGCGAGGGAGCCCTGTGGCAGAGGCTCCACAGGCTTCCCCGTGGTTCTGCTCTTGCAACCAGCACAAATCCCTAGGGAATCAGACTCCACAGACTTTCTGCCTAGGTCATCTCTCATTAAAATACTCAAAAATGAAATGGCTTATTAAAAGGCCATTGTCGTTACCGCACAGCCCTCATTCACTCTGCTCCGTGAGCACAACAGACTATCTGTGACAAGGGGAGGGAGGAATAGGAAGGCCCAGAAAGTTAACTCACAAATCACAGATGTACAGAATAACTCAGCAGGAAACTCCCGAACCCAAGACTCGGGCCCAGAGCCGAAAAGCTCCACGGGGAAGGGCTTGGGGCCAGGCACAGGCAGGGAGCAGCTGCTGGGGGCTCTGCCGTCTGGAGCCGGGGGCAGGGGCTGGGAAGCAGCACCCCCCCCACACACACACATATGTACACACATATAGACCACACATATAGCATAGACAGACCATGCGCATCACACACATATACACATACACAGACCACACACACATTTATATACACACAGACCACGCACATCACATACACACACACACAGACCATACACATCACACACACACCCCATACACATACATATACACACATGCTGACCACACACATCTATACACACAAACCACGCGCATCACATACACACACATATAGACCATACACATCATACACACATACAGAACACACACACATTTATATATACACAGACCACATGCATCACACACACATATACACACACAGACCATGCGCATCACACACCCCCACACACATACAGACCACACATCACACACACATATATATACACACATACAGACCACACACACACATATAGATACATACAGACCACACACACACACACACAGACCACACACACATTTATATACACACAGACCACGCACATCACACACACACATACAGACCATACACATCACACACACACCCCATACACATACATATACACACATGCTGACCACACACACATTTATACACACAAACCACGTGCATCACATACACACATATAGACCACACACATCAATAACACATACAGACCACACACACATATAGACACATACAGACCACACACATCTCACACACACCACACACACATATACACACACACAGACCACGCGCATCACACACACACACACATATACACACATACAGACCATACATACACATATACATGCATACAGACCACATACATCACGCACACATACAGACCACACACATCACACACACCACACACACATTTATATATACACAGACCACATACGTCACATACACACACCACACACAGACCACACAGACCATACACACATATACACAGAGACCACACACATTCATATACACACAGACTATATACATCACATACACACACCACACACACACACACACACATACACACACAGACCACGCGTATCACACACACACATATATACATACAGACAGACCACACACATCACACACACATATACATGCATACAGACCACACACATATACACACATACAGACCATACACACCACACACACACACATCACACACACCACACACATTTAAATATACACAGACCATATACGTCACATACACACACCACACACACACACACACACAGAGACCACACAGACCATACACACATATACACACACAGACCACACACATTCATATACACATAGACTATATACATCACATACACACACCACACACACACACACACACACACATATACACACACAGACCACGCGCATCACACACACATATACACACACAGAGACCGCATCACACACACACATACCGCATCACACACACACATATACACACACACAGACCACGCACATCTCACACACACATACATGCACACATACAGACCACACACATATACACACATACAGACCACACACATCACACACACATATACATGCATACAGACCACACACACAGAGACCACACATACATATACACACATACAGACCACGCGCATCACACACACATATACACACAGAGACCGCATCACACACACACATATACACACACAGACCGCATCACACACACACAGACTGCATCACACACACATATACACACACACAGACCACGCACATCTCACACACACATATACATGCATACAGACCACATACATCAAACACATGCAGACCACACACACATACACACACAGACCACACATATCACACACACATTTATACACAGACCACATACATCACATACACACACCACACACACATAGACCACACACACAGACCACACACATTCATATAGACTATATATATATCACATACACACACCACACACACATACATATACACACATACAGAACACACACATCACACACCACACACATATACACATACACCACACACACATCACACTCACATACCACACACACACACCACATATATCACATACACGACACACATATACACACATACAGACGACACACATACCACACACACACTTATACACACAAAGACCATGTGCATCACACACACCCACACGTACACACATACAGACCACATACATCACATACATACACCACACACACGTATACACACATACAGACCACGACCACACACACCACACACATTTATATATACACAGACCACATACATCACATATACACACACCACATACACACACGCACACAGACGGCACACATCACACTTTTATAAACACACAGACCACACGCATCATATACACACATACAGACCACACACATATCACACACATATACACATATACACACATACAGACCACACACACATTTATATACACAGACCACATACATCACATACAGACACACCACACACACTTATACACACATACAGACCACACACACCACACACATACACACACAGACCACGTGCATCACACACACACACACACACACACATTTATACACACATACAGACCACACACATCACACACACACACCACACACACACACACATACACACACACCATACATGTTAACACACACACACACACACACACACATACACACACATACATCACACAGCACAGCATACCCCCAGGCAGGCTTAAGAGTTCCAGCACTTCTGCCCCTGGCACACAAAGCCCTGCTTCCCTGGGGATTCCCTGACTTCCCCTCCAGGTCACAGACTCCCACGGGAAGTTCAACCTTCCCTGCCCACAGAGCTTGGGTCTGAGTGCACCTGGAAGAACCAGCCAACCAATTAACAGAGTTGTCTGATGACGCTCCATGGGCCAGGCCCCGTGGCTGGGACAAAATTCTAAGGGGCTCTCCCCAATCTAACAGAGGAGACAGTCTGCACAGGCTGATGCTTGCATCACATAGCACACATGACAAAGAGAAAGCAAAGTGTGCGTGTGTCTGTGTGTGGGTGTGGGTGTGTGTGTGCGTGCATGCTGGGGAGGTCAAACAGGAAAGAACTACCACCTCCCTGGCTCTAGAGCCAGTCTCCAAGAGGCAGAAGAGAGGAGGGAAGGTCTTCCAGGAAGGAGGGACACTGTCTGTGCAAAGGCCCACAGGTGGGAGATGAGGTGCTCCACATAAGAGGAACAGTAAGAAGGTGCACCTGAGACCGCAGATGGAATGACTGAGGCAGGCTGGGGACGGGGCATCTGCCACCAAAGAAGGAGGTGGTCAGTCCACCCTGTGACGAGGACACAGAGAGTGAGGCGTCCTGGACGACCCCCAAGGACAGGACCTGAGGGACTGGAGCAGGAGCTCCTCAGGGCAGGCGCCTTGGGGGCAGCTGGGAGGAGTGCAAGCCCTCCTCAGCTCTCTTCCTGCTGAGACACATCAGGGTTTGCCAATCACAAAGCTCCATCTTCAGGGCACTTCTGAAAACTAATTTTAGTTTTTTTTAATTACCTCACGACTGTCTTCAAAATGACATTCAAAACAGATGCCACAAAGGTCATAATGCTTTATAAAAATGGGAAGAAAATCAGATGCCAATCCTCCCACAGCTGTGGGGCCGGATTCCGGCCAGCGAGGGCAAGGTGCCTCGACCGAAGGCCTCACAGAGCCAGACGTTTCCCAATGCATCTGGGATGAGGTGGCGAGCCATCGATGGGGAAAGCTCAGGACACACGTTCTCAGCTAAGAGAGAAACAAGAAAACAAGAAACCTCCGTCCAGTGGAGAGTCAATGCCCAGCAGATGAGTGGCCAGGCACAGGAGCCTCGTCTCGTCCGACGGGACTGCGCGTGGACTGCCTGCAGCCCATAACTTACTGTCCAGGGAGGCCAAAGAGAATTTGGAACTCAAAACTTAAAAAAAAAATGAGTTTTACATGAATTGGGGGGAAATGCTATTAAAAAAAGAAAGAAAGAAAGAAAGAAAGAAAGAAAGAAAGAAAGAAAGAAAGAAAGAAAGAAAGAAAGAAAGAAAGAAGGAAAGAAAGAAAGAAAGAAAGAACTGTAAACCAGGAACAACCATGTAAAAAAATGCTCCCAATCATCAGAATGAAGAGAAGTGCAGAGCCAAGCCCAGCTGGGGCACCCTGCGCAGTGCTGGAGGCTGGGGGCGGGGCGGCCCAGGAACAAGCACTTCCAGAGCACAATGATTACCTCAGCTCAATGCTGCTGTTATGCCCACTGCACAGCTGATGAAACCGAGGCAGACGGAGGCTGGCTGACTTGTCCAGTCACACACAGCTAGCGTCTGAGGCTGGATTCGAACTCAGGGCTTCCTGGGTCCAGGCCCTCTAGCATCCGTATTTATTATTTTCTTTTTTTGTCTTTAAACAAATCCTGTGTTGGACGGTTCTCTGGGAGAGGAGGGATACTTGGGAAAACCAAAAGACATCAAGAAAACCATGGAACATAAACACATGATTGTCAGTCCATCACTGCAGTCATGCCCAGCTCTCCGTGACCCCCTTTGGGGTTTTCTTGGCAGAATGCTGGAACGGATGGACATTTCCTTCTGCAGCCCATTTTACAGAGGAGGAACTGAGGCAAGCAGGGCTGAGTGACTTGCCCAGGGTCACCCAGCTAGGAAGTGCCGAAGCTGGATTTGAACTCCAGACCCTGGGCCGGTGCTCTACCCGCTGCAGCGCCCCATGATCACTTATACATACACAATAATACCTATAAAGAACCAAACGCACCTGGCCCTGCTGTTTCTGGGCCTCATCCTCCCTGACAGACAGGAGCAAGGACACACGGACAGAGGCAGACCCCACGCGTGCCCTGGCCTGTCACAGGCCCAACCCAGAGCAAATCCGGAGGGAGGAGCCTTTGTCATTCCCAAGAGTATCCGAGAATGCTACGGAGGCCCAGCCCCGATGGCTTTAGATTAGACTCTTAGTTAAAAACACAGAAAAACCCAACAGCCAGGCCGCATCACTGATCTGTTCATATTAAACTCATCCCTAAGGCAGGCTAAGGAAAACCAGAGAAAATGAGGCAAGAAAACAGAGGGCTCATGGTGGGGAGGGCCCCAGGGGAGGACAAGGTGGGGCTAGGGTGGCAGGGGGAGAAAAAGGGGGGCTAGAGGGCTAGGGGAGGACAAGAGAGGTCTAGGGGGTGGGGGGTAGGGCAAGGAGGGCTGGAAGAGGATAAGTGGGGCTGGGGGGGGCAGGGGTAGGACAAAGAGGGCAGGACAAGGGGGCTAGGAAAGGACAAGGAGGGCTAGGGGGTGGGCAGAGGACAATGGGGGGCTGGGGGAGAAAGGACAAGGGAGGTCGGGGAGGTGCACTGGGAGATAGGGTCTCATCATGGCTCTGGCACTTGCTAACTATCTGGCCACAGGCAAATCTCTTCCTCCCCTGGCCTCAGTTCACCCATCTGTGCTCACCAACCCTGCACGGAGGTAAGCTCCCCTCCCCTTTCTTTCACTCCTGTTTCAGTGGGGGTGTTGGGGAGCCCACGGCTCTGGCAGGTGGGTAGAGACAGTGACAGCCCAGGCTCCAAACCTTCCTGGGCTCTCGGTGCCCTCCAGAGGGCCTTCTCCCATCCAGGACTGGCCTGCACCATCAGGCTGGCGCTGCCAGGAAGGACCCAGGAGACCCCGGGCAGCCATGCCGGCCTCTCCAGCCTACCCCTTGGGGAGGCGGGCCCAGAGGAGAACGAGAAAGCTGCCTACGTATCGGCGGCCCTGCCCTCCAGGAGCTTTTGATCTAAGAGGAAGCCCCCAAAACCCTCCTACAGGTGGCCGTTAAGGCCAAGTATGGCTTCTTCAGACCGTGAAAGGCCTGTACGCACACATACAAGCACATATACACATGTGCACACACGCACATACACACAAGCATACATGCACACAAACACATCCACGCACATGCGTAAAGGGTCTACAGCCTAAGCCCCCTCTTCACAAGCTGAGGCTAGACTCCCATACCTAGACGACAGACCCCTTCAGTCTTCCTTGACCCCGGCCCCACCCCATCCACCCAGCTGCCCTCCCCTATGACTCCCCCACACCCACTGGCTCTTTCTCAGACCCGCTGAGGGGGCTTCCCCCCTGTTGAGGGTCAGCCCTAAAGAGTCCAATCCGGGTTGAAGATCCAAGACAGAGCTTGACTCTTGCCCAGTCTTAGCCCCTAAGGCTTAATCTTTAGGAAGGCGGCTCTCTGATCTCCCATGCAAGGGAGGTCCCTGAAACATTCCTTCCTACTCTTTGAACCCTTAGATTCATACACCACTCCTCTATGCAGGTGGCACCAGGGTGCCAGAGAAAGCCTTGGAATATACTGCCCTATCTAGGAACCCTGATAGCTAGGAAATATATGTTGTCACATACACAGCAGATGTTTGGGGAGTGTCTCACGGGGAGTGTCTCTTTGAAGTTAGGGTAGGTTTTTTCTACATGTGCTGTACCCTCAGATGAATAAACAGGCTCAGTTCTTCACTGACCCGTCTGGCCCACGTTTCATTATTTTGCACTCTCCCGTCCGGTGCCCTGCTTGATTGCTGGGAACAGGTGGCGCCCGAGACAGGAACTTGAAAAAAAGTATGAGGACAGCGGCCCTCTTAGGACTCTGGAGAAAAGAAAAGCCTTGACAAACAAGGTCCTTGGCAGCTCGACGCCATAGCAACAAGGTAAGAGACTGAAGGTCTTTATACCCAGTCCTCTGGAAGTTTTAGGGCCGAAGGGGACACCAGGCTTAGTGGGATAGTAGGGAAAAGAAAAAGAATAAGGCTTGGTAATAGGAGCATGAGAAAAGAATAGAAAAGGGCTCGAGCATAAGAAAACAGTGTCACTTTGGAACGGCCCGCACACATACTTTCGGTTTTAAGAGGTGCCTTTGGGATCAAGAGTATGGGTCAAGTACAAAGTGGGGAAAAAAGATCAAGATTATTACCTGAGATTGCTAAAGAGAATAGTGAAAGAAAGAGGTTTAACCATTACAAACAGTCAGTCACAGGAGTTTTTAGAACATGTGGAGAAATGTCGTCCCTGGTTCCCACAGGAAGGACAGCAGACTTAGAGAAATGGGAAGTTGTAGGTCAACAAAGGAGTGAGTACTACAAAGAAGTGGGTCCCAGGGCATTCTCGATTGCTACTTTTTCAGTATGGAACGTGTTAAAAATATGTCTTATGCCCCCGGAGAAAGTACCATTAGCAACAAAGGTGCTCAGGGTAAATGTGGGGGCAGGAACAGAGGAAGAAGAAGAGATGAACAGAGTATTTGATGAGAAGCTTAGAACTGCAGAAAAGGATGAGGTGAAAGATGTGTATTCCCCCTTTACTTCCCTTCTCTTAAACAACAGAACTGGAGAAAGCTCATTCTCCAAAACTGAAAGGAAATTTTTGCCTGGTCTCCATAAGATCTGGAGAACCACTAAAAAACAAATTGTGTGATCTGTACAAGGAATTTCTACCAAACCTCTCTCAGCTTTTGGATTTTCTCTGTCACATTTTTTCTATATTTGTTTTATGTTGTCTGTGTGGGTATGAGTGAGTGTGTAATGCGTGTAATCTGAAATCCTTTTGCAGCCAGGCAGGCAAGGGCTGCAGCCGGACTCTGAAAAGCAGCTTTCTTTCTCTCCCTCTCCCCCTCTCTGATAACATTATGCAGCCTCAGAGAAGCAGGTGGATAGGAGAGAGAAAGAGAGAAAAATACTTTATCATTTAGGTTATATGTTTGGAATAAGACAAGACTAGAAAGTTTAGGCATGCAGGAATGAAAGAAGTAAGAGTAGAAAGAAAAGCATAATCTGTTTGCATGCTGTTTGCATGAACAACATGAATAGAGGGTTTGAGAGTAAAAGATTTGGAAACTTTTGGAGAACTGTTAGGAAGAAATTCTTTTTCTTTTTACATTCTAAACCATGGCCAAAGTTTTGAAAAATTATCCAAGATAAGTTGTGGGAAAATATTCTCTTCCTTTCTCTTGCATTCCAATCTTAGCCAACTTGGGGTGCGGGAGGAAGAACGAGAAAAAGTGAAAAGGAAAAAAAGGAAAGTGAAAAGGAGGGTGAATTTTTTCCCCTCAGATCATACAGAAAAGTTTTTATGTATTGGAATGCAACCAAAAGATAATTTAGCTCATTCAAATTAGTAATGTGCTTGTTTCAAGTTTTAAAAATTTAGTATTGTTTCCAATTGGTAAACTTTTGTATTGTTATGTCAAGCAATTTTTCATAATTTGGATGTTATCAAAATGTGAACAAAAAAAAACTGAAGAACAGTGGGAAAATTGTGTAAAACCAGCTAAACTATTTTATCAAGCCATGCTAATTCCGTCTTATAATGTTTTATAACTGTCAATTAGAAAATCAGGTATTTCCATCTTTACCCGTAATTTTAAAAATAGCTTATAGTTAAAACAATTTGACTATCACTTATGCAAGTTATAAGACTTTTAACTAAGTTATTTGAAGTTACTGTTTCAATGTTAAAACCTAGAATTTTTAATTACTTATGAGTGAAAAGGAGGGGCACAAGGCAATTCTCTTTACTTTGTAAACTTGCCAAAGCTCCTAGAAACCACCTGTTGTGGGCAAGGTCATCTGCCCTGAGAAAAGAACTTGTTAGGATTATGCAGTTCCTAAACAATAAACTTAACTTGCTGAGAAGTTGCAACTTTATGTACAATAGAAATGATTTCTAATAATTGGCTTCTACACCAGAACAAATTTAAATTTGAGAAAGAAAGATGTTAAGTGAAATCTCTTATATATGTGAGTCTTACTAAATCTTTATTACTTATTACAACTCCATGAGAATAAAATTAACTGTATCTGGCTTTAAGCTGTGATTAGTAAAACTTGCTGTTTCAGGTAAAAGACTCTTAGGACTATAATTTTGTTTTGAGTTTGAATTTGGGTATAGTTATCTCTATTAAATTAGTATTTGAAGTTTCCCTATTAGGTTCCTTTAAGAAGGAATATTTTCCACCATGTGCCGAAATTTTGTTCATAACACTATTAAACTTGTTAGGTAGAAATATTCCCAGGCAAAAAAAAAAATTTATTATATGGATGATAAATTTTGCAGTCGTTCTATTACTAGCGAACTCTCCTTATTAATGCCTGAGCTTTAACAAGCCCTTCAGTCTCATAGATTTATAATTGCCCCTGACAAGTTACAAAAGAAATCACCCTTTGCTTACTTTAGACATACTGTTTCACAGTCTACAATTAGACCCCCAAAATGTTACAAATTAAAGCAAGATTCCTTAAAAACTCTTAATAATCTTCAAAAAACTTCTTTAAAATATTAATTAGCTTTAGCCTGCCTAGTAGATCACCATTAATCAATTATTTAATCTTTTTACCACCCTCAGACACCTCACCAAAAATATTTACACCTCAAACAAAAAATGAATTTAAACTAGTAGAGTAAAAGATAGCTGAAACTCAATTAATTCCCCTTAGTTTGTGGGGGTGCAACATTTTACATCTAATGAGAGCTGTTATTTTCTCCCACCCACTGTTTCTGCTTTTCCTATCCATAAAGCTGATAAAATACAATAGAAATCTGATAAACCTGTCTGGGTTCCTTAAAATTCACCTGTTTTTATTATTAAAAAGAAGTCAGGAAAATTGATGATGCTTTATGACCTCCTAGACTTTGATAGTTATTGATTTAAAAAAACTGCTTTTTTGCTATTCCGTCACAAGAAGTTTAAAATGATACATTACATGGTGATATATTTTGTAGCTGTTCCACTAAAAATGAACTCGCACATTTATTATCTTAACTTTAATTAGCTTTACAGGAATATGGGTTTATTATAGCCCCAAATAAAATTCAACAAAAATCTCCATTTTCCTACCTAGGTCATATTGTCTCCGAAACAACAGTAAAGCCACAAAAAGTACACTTACGCCTTAATTCTTTAAAAACACTTAATAATGTTCAAAATACTCTTGGGGATATTAACTGGCTCCCACCAGCACTCCAAATGACTACAGAACAATTAACTAATCTCTTTGTTACACTTAGAGGAGATCCTGATCTAAATGACATTCAGACATTTTACTCTTCAGCACAAAAGGCTAATTTAGCAGCTCATATTATTTCTTCAGCATTTTACTGAGCCTATTAATGTTGCTTCTAATAACAAATACTCTGTTTATGTCTCTCAAAATATAGAGACTGCAAAGTTAAAAAAGATCACTAATACACAATTATATACTGAAAGCAATGCCATTATTGATTCTTAACTACAATGCTCCCCAACACTTTAACCCTTACCATACAACAAGCTATATTATTTCTCATTTCCAGTTTCGCCAAAATGCTGCCACTTAACTTTTTATTAAGCTTTTATTGAGCCTTTTATTAACTATATTCTGCCAATACAACAATCTTAACAGTAGAAAGGATAACATTTGGTGACTATTTTTTAAATAAACATATTAGTATTAGAAACACAGTACAAAAAATAATATAAATTTTTTTTGAAAAGGCTGTTCCAAATGTACCACTTTTTTTAACCCTCCTTCTTTTGCCATTAATCCCAGAGGCTTTTCTCCCAAACATAGTTGACAAATAAATGTAACTTATATGACTTCTTTTGAAAAGCTTTCGTATATTCATGCTGTAATCGATACTCTTCTTCTTTCATTTTTTTACCACTTTACAAACAAGTGGAACAATTAAACATGTGATCAATCATATTTTACAAGCCTTCGCAGTTATGAGTGTACTTAAACAAATTACAACAGATAATATTCCTGAGGAGCTTACATTAGCAAAACATTTTCTTCCTTTTATGCTTTTTATAACATTTCTCTGATCACAGGCATTCTATATAATTAAAAACAAAGATATTAAAATTATTCTTCTTAAACAAAAAAGGGGGTATCTGGGCTATTATCCCTCATCGACAATTGGCTATTAATTTTTTAAATATTAACAAAGATGGATACACTCCAGCTGAAAAACATCCAGAGGCTCGGATCCATTACTAACAAGGGGACAAGGGTATGCTTGTATTTTTTTAGAAAACTTCCATAAACCTGTCTGGATACCAGAGAAAAATGTCAGAGCACGTGCCACAACTCACAGCTCGAATGGAGAGTATGACGATTCTGGGAAAGCGCAGAAGGAGCCAATCTGCAGTGAGGAGTCACCTTCCCACGTGGGGTCCATTGAAAGCTCCTTCTCACTGAGCAATGGAAGACTCCTGAACTTCTATTTTTAGCAATAGTAGCTTTACTTTCTGCTCGAGTGTGTTATGTACAGAGTGCTCAGCACTGGACTTATTTTCCTTTTCCACCCTGGATGCAACCCCTCACATACATGGACAAAATTGGGAACTATATATACTAATAACACCTGTATATCCAAAAGATAAGAATATCCCTTTCTCCGGGACAGAGCCAATGGTACAATTACCCTCAGATCTCCAGCATCCAGGACACCTATACGGTTTTTCAAAATTTAGCAACAATATTGAATCCTATCTTTTTCTTGTTACATCATTTTTAACATCAGTTCGTCTAATGGATATGTAAATTTTACTCAATCTAATACTACTTTTGAATAGAATGTTACTTGTGTCAATTGTACTCTCAAACAATGTATTGATAATAATGACTATATTGGACTTTTGGTAGAACAACCATCATTGGCTATTTTCCTTACTACATTTCACATGAATGGTTCCAGAACTCTGATGAACATGCTCCTCAAATTATTACTTCCTCCTTAAGTCAATCAAAACAATTTATTGGTCTCCTTATTACTGGTTTAATCATTGTTGCTTCTCTTATTGTATCTACTACTGTTTCATCTATTGTGCTACAATCTGAAATTCAAACTGCACACTTTGTAAATGACTTAGCAAAAAATATATGTTTAGCACTTAAAGCACAAGAAGCTACTGATATATTGTTTAAAGTCAATTTATTAGAGCAATCAGTATTGTATTTAGGAGATGAGTCAGAACCCTTGAAAACAAGGTTGCTATTGCAATGTGATTATAGATATTCATATATTTACATTACCCTGCTACCCTGTGATGCTTCAGATCCTAATATCTCATGAGAGAAAATACGTGCCTGCCTACTGGGGGCCTGGCACGATTCTAATATTACCCTCAATATTAATACCCTTCATGATATTACTTTCAACTCTGAACTGCTCAGTATGCCAACAATTTAGCTCAAAATATGTCTGCGGCTTTATGACATCAAATTGAAAAAGACGCTTTGACTCAACAAGAGCTGGATGTTTTAGAGCAGTCAGTGATAGCATTAGGTAGACATATACAACAGTTAGAAATGCACTTCAATTTGAAATGTCATTGTCACTATTCTTTTATCTGTGCAACTCCGTATGTGTATTCAAATTTCACTAATGTTAATGTAACCATTGAACAAATATTAAATAAGCTCCAGGGTGCATGGCACACTGAAAATATTACATGGGAAATTAGCTTGCTATTGCATTTTCTACCTTGGCTATGTTTTGTGTTAATTTTGTGTTTCCTCCTTCCCTGCCTCTTAAGATACACTCACCACATCTTAGGTGAGATTCACGCATTTTCCTGGGCAGTATTATTCATCATATGATGTTTCACTGATTCCTTGCATTGTCACCTTGATTCAATCAAGGGTCAGAGTGTTAGCAATGGATGTTCATCGCCTCAAGCTGCTTGCAAAACAGAAAGGGGGAATTGTTGAGGGCCAGCCCTAAAGAGTCCGATACAGGTTGAAGATCCAGGACAGAGCTTGACACTTGCCCAGTCTTGACCTCTCAGGTTTAATCTTCAGGAAGGCAGCTCTCTGATCTCCCATGCAAGGGAGGTCCCTGAAACATTCCTTTCTACTCTTTGAACCCTTAGATTCATACACCACTTCTCTATGCAAGTGGCGCCAGGGAAGGCCTTGGAATATACTGCCCTATCTAGGAACCCTGACAGCTAGGAAATATATGTTGTCACCTACACAGCAGAGGTTTGGGGAGTGTCTCACGAGGAGGACTCTCTGAAGTTAGGGTAGGTTTTTTCTATATGTGCTGTACCCTCAGATGAATAAACTGGCTGAGTTCTTCACTGACCCACCTAGCCCACGGTTCATCATTTTGCGCTCTCCCCTCCGGTGCCCTGCAATCCCTTGACTGCTGGCAACACCACCCCCACTGGGAGAATCCACCAGGTGCCTCCCTTCTCTCCTGGGTCCCCTCTGCTCCCTCAGGGACAAATCTATTCCTCAAGCATCGAGAAAGCACCTACTATGGGCCAATAAGGCATCCGCTATAGGCTGGGCACTGGGGCATAAAGACAAAAAACAAACCCATCTCCACTCTCAAGAACTCCTGCTCTAGGGATCGTTTCTGCGCCACGATTTCTCTCCTGCACGCCACCCCCTCTTTCAGCCATCCCTCCTCCCGGGCTCCCCAGGCTGTGGGCCGGGTAGGGCAGCTCCTGCGTGCTCTCTCCCCTCTCAGCAGGCCAGGGTGCTGGTACAGGATGACTTCTGCTCCTGGCCTCCCTTTGCAGAAGTGCTCCCAGCGCCCTGACCACCACGGGGCCTAAGCCTGGCCCAGCCCACCATAGCCCAGAGCCCATGCGGTCTGCTCTCCCTCCCATTTGCGAGCACCTGGAACACCTCACTCTCCCTGTCTCTCTATACATCTCTCATTATCTCTCTCCACGACTCCTGAGCATCTCTATCTCTGTGTCTTCACTGATACAGCCCCCAACGCATTTCCCTATTTCTATCCTCTGCCCCCCATGTCAATAATCTCCCGTATGCCAATGGGTTGGGGGTCCAGGGGCACCTCTCCTTGTCTGATCAGCCACACAATCCTTGTCCATGACCAAGTCCTACAAACCAATCCCCAGGGGACTGTCCAGCTCGATTTCCTACAATACGACACAACAGACATTTCCTGAGCTCCTACTGTGTGCCAGGCGCTGAGCTAACACCATGACACAACAAACATTTCCTGAGCTCCTACTGTGTTATGTCTAACATAGCCAGACATAAGCTCCCTGCCCTCAGGAGGCTGCCCATCCCACCGAAGGAAGAAGGGGGTGGAGGAGGTGCCAGGACCACAGAAGGCCGCTGGGTTACCCCTACATCTCCCCCATGGGGCGGGGGGCTCCCACAACCCTAGCCCGTCCCCCCACGCCCCCTTCACTGGCTCTGCTCCCAGCTCCGGGGAGGGCTGCCTCCTGCTAACTACGAGGCAGAGAGGGCAAGCTCCCTGAGGGCAGGCCAGCCTCCCGCTTGCCTTGGGAACAGAGCGGGCATAGACCGTGCCGCCAACTGGCCGGCCCAGCAACAAGGACTCTGACTAGCTGGGGACGCAGGGCACACGGCCTCCCTGCTGCCTACCTCAGTGTCCTATCTGTACAGCCCGATGCCTGGCAAGATGGGAGGAAAGGGAAGAAAGGAAGAAGGGGAAGGTGTGTGTGCAAGAGTGCATGAGTGCGGGCACACAAAGGTCTGCGTGAGCAGCAGGCACCAACGCCAGGGCCACGCCCACAGGCGGACCAAGATCTGGACCAGGGCAGGGAGGGTGCACCTGGCGGGGGGCCTGCGACCTACCTTGCTGGGCAGCCGGAGGTTCTCGATGGGGCTCAGGTCACTAAGGTTGTCCTGGGGGCTCTTGAGACCCTGGAACACAATTTAAGGGGTCAACTGGCATCTCGATGCAAGGGAGTCCCTGGCAGCACCTCATGGGCCACTCTCCGCCCCTTTATCTGGCTGCCCAAACTGAACCATGCACGCCCCCGCCCCCCCAGGAGGTATGCCAAGCCCTCCCCACGCATGCTCCCAACAGCCCTTGGAGGAAACTGAGGCAGGCCAGGTCTGGCATCCCGGAAAAACAAAGCGCGAGGCCTGAGAAAGTGCCGGGGCCTGAGGAGACCAGGAGCCAGAGCAAGGCTGAAGGCCCACTGACCCACGGCCTGACCTCGCGCCTTTGTCTAGGCGTGGCCCCCCCTCTGTCCTCCGTCCCTTCCGCGCCCCTGACTCACCTGGCGGGCCATGAGGGACTTGATCTTCTGCATGGTGGGGACGGGGCGGGCGAGGGGCAAGGGGAGAGGCGGAGGAAGCTCCGCGACCCCGGGGTCAGGGAGTGGAGGTGCCGGGGTACAACTCTGGGGTGCTCCGATCAGGGCCCGCGCCGGCCTCGTCCCTAGCCGCACCAGGAAGCCATGGTGGACGGTCACGTGACCCGCAGTGGAGGCCGGGAAACGTAGTTCTCAAGTAGGCACATAGGACGCGAGCCGGAACTACAATTGCCAGGCCGGAACTACAACTCCCGAGAGGCACCGCGAGAAGGGCTATGCCGGTACGGGGGGGGGGTGAGGAGCCGGAGTCGGGGAGGGACCCGTGGGCTACGCCGAGGGGAGAAGGCCCAGAAGGGGGCAGGGCCAAGGCAGGAGCGAGCCCGAGAGTGGCGAGCATCGAAGTGAGGGCGGGGCAAAAGGTCCGGAGAGCTCGAAGAGTGGAGAGGAAAGGAAAAGAGGCGGGACTAAAGCACGGGCGAGTCCAGAAGGAGATGGGAAGAGGCCAGATAGTGGGGGCTGGGTATGGGCGGGGTCTGGAGTGGGTGAGACCTGGGCCGCAGGAGCCACCTTGACCTCTCACTCCTCAAGGCTGTGACAGCGGGGGGCGGGGGGGGTGGGGAACGAGGGGGCTGGAGGGATCCCCAAGCGCCATTGGAACCTGGTGGCTCGGCTGAGGAGGAAGCTACAAGTTTGGGCTCCCGAGGCATCAGCGGGGGGGGTGGAGCACGAGGAGACCCAGGATCCAGTCTTACCTGGGGACGCTGAGCACGGGAACTCTGCCAGGGCTTCCTGGTGGCTCCCGGGTGGGCCATGCCCTGGGGAGAGCAGGGGATGGGCAGCTTCCGACCTCATCCATATGCAGGGAAGAAAGGACCCACAGTGGCCCCAGGGACTGAAACCCAGATCTTGGGCTCCAAGCCCAGAGCTCTTCACTACCTGCACACCAACCACACAGGGTTGGTGGCATTGTCCTCACTTTTATTACTGTCATCTGGAGGCTGAAGGACAATTCCACATTTCAGCTGATGCTCAGAATTCACGTGCACATGTCTGGCTTCCTGGTGACCCTGAGAGGACCCTGCTGTCCACACAGATACACAAGCACCCACTCCCCAACATACTCCTGTCTGAGAGAGCCCCATCCACCTGAGAAGACCCAACCCCCACCCACATAAGAGAAGCCAGTCTCCCACACACTTTTCTATAGGAGGACCGCACCCCCTACTCCCACACATCCAATCTGCCTAGGGGGTGGTCCAGAGAGTAGCCCCTTCTGATTTCCAAAAGGACTCCTTTCCTTCAGATAGTGGTTCAGAAACCCCCCAGTCATTCGGCCATGTTCAAACCCTTGGCCTTGGGCAAAGGGATCTCAGTGTTTCCAGACCTGAAGAAAGGTGAGGCTGATTGCCCGTGCGGGGGTCTGAGCTTATAAACCACCACTCAAACTTCCTGCAGCAGGAATCTGAGCCATGGATGTGCCAGCCCACAGGGCCCTCAGCAGCAGTGGCCTAGGGTCCCTTTAGAGGACGTGGGCATCTGCTGTCTCCCAGCTGCCTTTTGCAGTCTGAAGCCCATGGGGATGTCCACAACTGAGAGGTTAGTTCTGGTCCCTGTCAGGCATGGCCCACAAATAAGGCAGGCATCGCAAATTCCCATCCCACTCCCCACCCCCAGCACTGTCCAGCCCGCAGGTCCGTGTCACAGGCAGTCAGCAGAGATGTGGAACAGTTCCCTTGACAAAGACAATCCATTGATAAACATTTATCAAGAGCCGATGTGCCAAGCACCAAGTGAAGCTCTGGGCTACAAAGAGAGATCAGAGACAGTCTCTGTCCTCCAGGATTTTACAATCTAAGGAGAAGGGGACTCTCCCTCCCCAGTCCTTCTTTGAGGCCAAGCCCTAATCCAAGCCTCCACACCACTGCCTCTGGCCCCCTGGCTGTCTCCTGGCTGAGGCCCAGGCACTTGGGAGGCAGGATTCACCAGCGTCCAGAAAGGAGGCCAGGGACGATTGCAGCCACACAGGGCAGGCTGACCCCCTCCTCAGAAGCCTCAGGGCTCCCTGAGCAGATGCACTCAGAACCGTGGGTGTCCAAATTTGTATGCACTGTGAGCTTTTCCCTGTGCTGGGCAGAGGAGGCCCAGAGAGAGGAGGGGCCCAGAACAGGGCTCCACCTGTCTGCACATGTCAGCTCGATGACCACTGCACTGCACAGCTTCCACTTGCTGTATGAAATGACCCCATGAAAGGGTTGCCTCTCTGCAGCCTGGGCACTGGGGAAGTCAAGGCCCTGGCCATGGGAGGCAGGCACCCTCCTGTCTGACAGGTGTTCAGCCCTCCCCCTTTGTCCTTTGTATACACACACACAGGCCATATTCAAGTCACAGAGGGAAGAGGGTGATTATCTCAGGGCTCATTTCCCTAGCAAATCAATCTGCAGCTGTCAGCCAGAGCAAAGGGCCGTCGGAGCAGGGCCCTGCCTCCGTAGGCCCAGCCGCTGGCATGGAGCCCACTGAGCGACCCAGGCACTGGAGGGGAGTTCTGCGCTGCCAGCTATGCTACCTGCTGCTAGGTAAGCCCCCCTGCACCCCACAGACTGCTCCCGGACTGCTTCGGCTGGGGCCTCGGCAGCCCCGGAGCCTGGCCCTCTGGTCGCCGTGTCTCAGCTCCCAGGAGCTGTGAGTGGTCTGGAGCCCAGGGTGGGTCTGGAAGTGAGACCCCAGGGCTAGCCAGGAGCCAGCAGGCACTGCTGGCCGATGGTCCTGGGTCTGGAGGCAGCAGGCTGTCTGGCCCCAGTCAAGCCTCTCTTCCTGTACCCGAGTCTTGGGGTGGGGCAGAGTTGGGGGGTAGCCTGGGTCAGTCAGCCAGCACTGACCAAGAGTCTGCTCTGGGCCTGAACCTGCACCAAGCATGAAGGAAGGCAAAAGCAATCGTATTCAAAGAGTTCACAACTGGAGAGGGGGGGAAGACAAGTGCACTAACCGAGGCAACCCAAGCTACTCTCAGGATCAACAGGACATAATTAGCAGAGGGAAGTGAGATCTCGAAAGGGTCCTCGAGGGTCTGGGGCTTTAGTTGGGACTTGGAGGAAGCCAGGGGGAGAGCATTGGGGTTGGGGGAGGGTGGTGGAAGGCAGAGTGTCACAGGGAACACTCGAGAGAATTCCCGGAACTCGGAAATGGAGGGTCTTGTTTGTGGCCCAGCCAGAAGCCAGGAGTATCCATTGAGATGGATGGTTTATGAAGGCTTTGATGGCCAAGCACAGCAGCTGCATTTGATCCTGGAGGCCAGGAAACCACTAGGGATTAAGTAGGGGGTGAGGGAAAGGGGTCAGAATTTGGTGCTAAATGGAAGATGGATGGGAGTAGGGAGAGACTAGAGGCAGCCCCCCCCCATCAAGGCTATTGCACTAGTCTAGGTGTGAGGTGATCAAGGCAGGCACAAGAGGGTGGCTGTGTCCGAGGAGAGAAGGGGGAGTACATGAGAGATGATCACTGCTAGATTGTGAGTCTGAGGCATGGTGGGGGAGGGTTTGGGTATGGCCACATTCTGATGTGTAGCTAGACCTTGGCTGCATCTGGTACATGGAGCCCAGTGACAAAGCTGCCTCCTCCTGGAAGCCTAGCCAGATTTCCCCTAGCAAGAAGTTCTGTCCTACATGATCTCAAAACATTTTAGGTGCCCCTCGGCTATCTGTCCCATACACATCAGGGTTCTGATTCAGAGGGACCACCACCATGCCTGCTTTGCTCGGTTTTGCTGTCCCAGCCCAGGTGCAGCTCTGAGCACAGTGCCTGTCCCTTAGTGGGAGGAGGGGAGGACTGGCATTTATTAAGTGCCTACTAAGTGTCTCCAGAGTGCTTTACAAATATTGTCTCAGTAAGTGCATTGGAGGAAACCCATACACTCTGCAGCCCTTGTACTGTAGGCTGGAAAGTCCTGAACTCCCAGAAGGGCGAGATGCAAATGAAGCCACTTCCTGCTTTATATCTTCGCCAGACAGAAAAGTGGCGCATAAAGTTCCTGTACCAGGCCAGAAACCCAGGACTGGCCCGGGATACCCCATGTCATTCAAGCAGTCAACAGGCACTAGGTGCCTACTGTGTGTACACAGGGGAGGGGGGCACGCAGGAGGCCCCCACCCAGGACAATTCGGACTCGCAGCCTCCGGTTCTCCTCCCCAGGTCACGATGTTTGAGCCTCTGTTCGGCCTCCCCTTCCAGGAGCAGGTCTGAGGTGACTTAGTCTGATGGGGTGAGCTCAAAGGAGCTGCTGAGAAGCCCCTGACGCAGTCCCTAGACTGGGTCAGCCACCGGCTTGAGTGGCTCCTGCTGCCCCTGCCCAGTCACCATCCGGGGTCCCAGGGCCCTGGCCGGCCTCCCCACGCGGGCAGCGTGGTGCGTGAGGTGGGGGACGATGAGGTGCGGATAAGGTGTGGGGCAGTGAGACGTGTGAGGGGTAAGGAGGGTGTGAAGCACTGAACTTCGAGGTGGGGCCGGTGAGGGGCAGTGAGGGACGTGCGTGAGGTGCGGGGCAGCGGCGCACCCCTCTCCACCCCACCCTGCCCACATCCCCACAGGTGCGGGGAGAGGTGCGGGCCTCAGCCCCCACTGCGGGAGGCCAGCGGGCGGGCACTCGGGCTCCAGGTGCTTTCTCTTCTAAACTGGAGGGAGGAGGAAAGTCCCCAGCAGCCCAGCTCCAGGGTCTCAATGAGCTTCCAGAGTTCCTCTCTCCCCACTCCTACCCCAGCCCACTCCGGAACTTGTTTTCTCTCAACAGATAGCCAGGGGAGGGCCGAGTGTTTGGGGCCCCAGGTGCCCAGCGGTCACTTTGGGAGGGGACGGAGATGAGGCCCGCGCACGGTGTTTGTATTTAACACAGGGCTGCGGGGGCTCCCAGAGCTCTTTGTTTGCTGGAAAACAGGCTGCCGGGGAGCAGAGGAGCCCTCGGCTTCTACCTGACCCGGCTCTAGGCTCTGGCTGGGCAAGGAAACTCCAGAGAAGGGAGGGAGGGCCCACCACCCCACCGCCCTGCCCTGGCAGCGATCCGAAGGAGCGGAGGCACCTGGCTGCCGGGCAGAGAGGGTAGCCAAGTGGTTAGCCATGGGTCACTGGGGACCCAGCGACCCGCACACTCCAGGAGCCTGCAGCAGGATCCCAAGGGCGGGTCGCCCCTCGTGCTGGGAGCCACGCACTGGCCTCGCTCAAGCTGATGCAGAACCCGAGGCTTGCTTGGCTCCCGGCATGGCCACTAAGAGCACCTGGGGCCTCGCCGCCCGTCCCTGTCTCTCCTATAAACGAGGGCAGATCCCAAGTCGGGAGCAGCCGCCGTGGTCCTCAAGGACCGCTCTTCTAATCGCTGTGGCTGGGCTCCCCTCCCCCCTTCCCGGGTTCTTGGTATCACCAGGTAGAGAAAATACAACCAAAGACGCCAGGCCGCAGGTTGCCATGGTGATATCCACCCCAGCAGATTCCTTGCTAATTTGTTGCTAGGAAACACCATTTTAAAAGGTCATCCACAGAATTCGTTTTCTTATTATTTTGGAAAAACCTATAATCAAATCTGATGCAAAAGCTGAGCTTCGAGGTGGGGACTTCCGGTCAGTGCTTAAGAGAGTGGTAGTTGCTATTATGTTCTGGCAGACTCTTCGAGACCCCATTGGGGATTTTCTTGGCAGATACTGCAGTGGTCTGCCATTCCTTCTACAACTCATTTTACAGATGAGAAAACTGAGGTAAACTGGGTGAAGTGACTTGCCCAGGGTCACACAGCTAGTAAGTGTCTGAAGTCAGATTTGAGCTCAGGAAGATGAGCCTTCCTGACTCCAGGCCCTGCAGTCTCCTAGCCACTGTCAAGAACACCCCTTCTCCTCTTCTTCCTCTTCTTCATCATCATTGGCACTAAACATTGGGGCCCCACTCTGCCCACAGGGCTGCCAGGCTTGTTGAGTGGTGACCCTTCCCAAATCCCCAAAGCAAACCGAGGCACTGCTGGGTGGAGGTCTTTTCAACCTGGCAGCAGCTCTTGGAATAGCTGGAGGCTCACCGAATAAGTCTGGGGCAAAATCATCATTGCTAACGTTTAGGTCAAACTTTAAGGTTTATGAGGCACCACAATCATCCTGAAAGGTAGGTGTGATTATTAACCCCATTGTACAGAATGGGATAGGGAAGTGACTTGCCTAAGGTCACACAGCTAGGAAGGATCCAAGGCTGGATTTGAACCCAAGACTGATTCCAAGTCCTCTAGCTACTGCACTAGCCAGCCTCCTGAAAGAACTGCTAAGTAAGCAGAGTAGCCTGCCTTTACAAGCATGGCCCCTTGGTTCTGGGCGGCTCTGCAGAAGGCACAGCTGGCCAGCAGATCCTCCCCATGCCACACCTTTGGGCAGCCATCACCTTGTATTTTGGTGGAGGAACAATAGAATGAGCCTTTGGCCTAGAGGTTTCTTCTGCTTCCTGGGAATTTGTATCAGAGGAAACGTTGGTAGCTAAGTCAGTACTAGCCCAGAGCCCCCAGTGGGAAAATTCCTAATATCCAAGCAAAGGTTTGACTCTGCACTAATTTAAACCTGTGTTTATCCCTTGCTGACCCCTGGCTTCTTAATGTCTGAGGAGACGTAGGATGCTGGTGTGTCCTTTACTGCACAGGCACCCTGGAACACAGTGCACAAAGTCAGTGGCTTCTTCTTGGAGAGGACCCATGGCCCTTCTCTTCCCTACCTTTCCCTTTTTGTCCCTCACTCTCAGCTGCCAACTCTTCCTGACTCAGGGCTCAGCTCATTAGGATGTTAGCACTGCTGCTGCTGCTGCACCTCTGAGGTCCCAACTCCTTCCTCTACTTCAGAAATCAGGGGAGTCCCAACTGAGTCTCAGGGTGCAGAAGGCCGTAGCCCATGTATCTCCCACTCTCACAGATAAGTCCTGGGTGCTAGAAGAAGGTGCTGTTTCCCCCTCAGAGCTCTCAGGGAGCCCCTGGTGCGTCAAGGGTCACTCTCCACTGCAATCATTGTGAGGCCAGATTGCTTCCTCCCAAAATGAGCAGCTGAGAATCATTTAGTCGGCCAGACCACAGGATAAACTCCATCTGCTCCCTATGGCCTCCAGGATCAGATACGAAAAGCTTTCTTTGGCATTCAAAGCCCTCAATCCCCAGCCCCCTCCTCCCTTTCCAGTGATGGGCCTCGAAGCTGTTCCATACCTCTCTCTGCTCTGGGCATTTTCTCTGACTGTCCCCCAGGCCTGGAATGCTTTCTCTCCTCAATCCGACTGACCTCCCTGGCTTCTTCTAAGTCCCAACTCAGCTCCCACTTCCCAGAGGAGGCCTCCCCCTGTGCCTCTTCATTCCAGGGCCTCCCTTCTGTTAGGTTATTTCCTCTTTATCCAGGGTGGAGCTTGTTTGAACCTGTGGTCTCCCCATTTGATTCTAAGCTCCTTGAGGGCAGGGAGTGTCTTTTGTCCCTCTCTGTATCCTCAGCACTTAGCCCAGGGCCTAGCACACAGTAGGCCCTTGACAAATGTTTATTGATGGATTAAGTAGTTTTTGGTAAGGAGTATTTACTACAGCGGTATAGCAGGAACAGTTGTTACCAAATGCTCCCCACAAAAGACCGTAGCACCTTCTCCCCAAGTAAGTGATGAGCCTCAGTCAGTTGGGGGCTGGGGGGAGGTATGACAGTAAGTAAACCCTTGTCCTTCTGATGGGTGGGGCCTAGGAGGCCACCGACACTCTGTGGTCAAACCCCTAGGACACAAGCCAGGGAAAAGGCCTTTAGCCAAAAAGCCACACTTTGTGCATCTGATCATCGGTTCCCCACAGAGCAAAGAGCAAGTAGGCTTCCCAAGGCACCAATCCAGGCAGGCACTGGGCTTCTCCAAAGCCTTCAGATGGTGCGAGGGGGACCGAACTCGTCAGGGGGGCTGGGAGCGTGCGCTCCAGCGCATGTGGGTGTGTGTGCGTGTGTGGGCCCTCGAGTGAGAGCACGTGTGGGGGGGTGTAAGTGTGTGTGTGTGTGTGTGTGTGTGTGTTTAAGTGTACACGTATACCGTGTATGGAGTGCTCAGGGAGGATCAACCACTCTGGTGTGAGGGTGGCCCAATCCTTCAGGCTGCTCGGGCACCTGTAGCCCGGTGCTCACCTGTGGCTCCAAGAAGCTGGTGCATACCAGCGACCACACCCTGTCTCTGGGCAGTGCGTGTGGATTCCAGTCCAGTTGACTTCAGGGCCGGGTCCTTTCTGCTCTCCCAAGCTGCTTTGCAGAGGCACTTACTGGTCGGAGGACGTAGGAGAAATGGCAGAAAGCATTTAGACGGGAAGCAGATGGCAACCCTCAGGGTCTCCCTATTGTCTTCAGGATAAAGTGCAGCTTCCTCTGCCACACATCCCAGGCCCTTTGCCATCTGCTTCCTGCGTCAGGGTGTCTTGCAGGCAGGCTCTCCGTCAGCCAACAAGCATTTGTTAAGTGCTTACTGTGTGCCAAGCACTGGAGACACAAATAAAGGTGAATACTGCTTGCACATAAATGATATCATTCTTAAAATGTATGTTTCTGCATCCTCCACCCTAACATTTTTTCCTTTTCCTCTGATGGGAAGCCCCCAGACTTCCAGGAGATTGGTGCCTGGCTTGGGGGAGGGGAGGAGCTTTCCTTGGGCACTGACTTAAGACCATTTCAAATGAAAATGCTGTTAAAGGGGGGGAAAAAAAGGAAATAGATGGAGTTGGGCCATGGTAGCAGAGCCAGGAGGAAGGTGTCAGAGGCAGTCTCAGAGCTAGGAAAAGGCCGATCCGATGCGGGTAATGCTGACTGCTAAGAACCCCATTGGCTTTGACCCGTGAACAAGCCGATGGCCCTTTTAGAGGCGGGCTCCGGGGCAATCCGCAGCCCCATGGGATGCCGCGATTCCTAATCGTGCTCGGCATCAATCAGTCCACAGGCTGGAAGCACGTGCCCGCCGCTGACCTGATGGCTGTAATCTGGCAGGTCTCACTAACGTTTCTGGATTTGTAGAAGGTTGGCGCTGGGCGTTGCAAGGAACCAGCCTTCCCAAGGGTCCCAGCCTGGAGTGGGGCTGGAGCCAGGAATGCCTGCTTTTCCTCCTTCTTGCTCTTTGAAAGAAGGACCAGGCGTCTGCCAGGGACGGCCGCCGTGGCTTAGACGCCACTTCTGATGGGGGCCTCCCGCGTTTTCCTTTCCTTCGCAGGCACCTGTTCTGGGCTGACAGTGACCGTGCCCTCGGCCACGGTCCATGGCGTCCGGGGTCACGCGCTCTACCTTCCAGTGATCTATAGCTTCCAGACCCCAGCCTCAGACGTCCAGATCATATGGCTGTTCCAGAGGCCTCGGACCACTCCCAAATACCTGCTGGGCTCGGTGAACAGATCTGTGGTCCCCGATCTGGAGTACCGGCACAAGTTCGCCATGATGCCGCCCAACGCCTCCCTGCGCATCCAGCCGCTCCATTTCAGCGATGAGGGCACTTACATCGTCAAGGTCAATGTGAACATGCGAGGAAACGGGACTGTGTCTGCTCACCAGAAGATTCTCGTCACTGTGGATGGTGAGCGCCTTCCCGTGGGCAATGTGGCTTAGCTAGTCACGCTGACCCCTCCTCCGGACGCCTCAAATCATAGACTAGTGACTACGCATGAGCACCTGGCAGTCTGTGGCTCGCAAACCCATCCCCCTGGCCGCTGAGCAGGCGAGAGGCCTTCCTTCCCTCCTCCAGGGCCCCAACCCCACCCCTCTGCCCCCCAGCTTCCTGGTTCTTTTTTTTATTATTAATTTATTTTGATTTATCAACAATCACTTCCATATGCTTTTGAGTTTAAAATTTTTCTCCCCCTTCCTCCCCACCACCCTCCCCAAGATGGTGCACAATCTGATATATGCCATACATTTACATTCCTATTAAACATATTTTCCCATTAGTGAAATTGTAAGTACAAATTCTCATTAGTGTTTTGCTTTTGCCACCACTCCTCAGTCCCTCCCTCCCTTTCCCTTTTCTTCCCCTTTAGCCTTACTGCTTCTTCCCTCCCTTCTATTCCCCCTCCCTTTTCTTTCCCCTTTTCCCTCCTACTGCCTATAGGGCAAGTTAGATTTCTATACCTAACTGATTATGTTATTCCCTTCTTGAGCCAAATCTGATGAGAGTAAGGTTCAAACAATGCTCACCCCCCTCCCTTCTTTCCCTCTGCTGTAATAGGATTTTCTGTCTTTTCCTGTAATGTAATTTACCCTTGTCTGCCTCCTCCTTTCTCAGTACATTTTCTAAGATCAGACTAATCCACTTACTTGGATCCATTTAACCCACTTGATTAGATTTTTTTTTATCATTACATCAAAGTCAACTAATATCCACCCTTTATGTATACCCCTTTAACATGGTGTAATAACAATACAGTTCTCAAGAGTTAAGTGTCATCTTCCCTTGTAGGGATGTAAACAGTCCACCTTATTAACAACATATTGTATCTTTCTGTCCCATTTACCTTTTTATGTCTTTCTTGAATCTTGTACTTGAAGATCAAATTTTTTTTGAGCTCTGGTCTTTTTATCAGGAAGGCTTGGAAGTCCCCTATTTCATTGAATATCCATCTCCTCCTTGAAAAATCATGCTCATTTTTGCAGGGTAGTTGATCCTTGGCTGCAATCCAAGCTCCTTTGCCTTATGGAATATCATGTTCCATGCCCTGTCTTTTAATGTAGAAGCTGCAAGGTCCTGTGTAATCCTGACTGTGGTTCCATGATATTTAAATTGTTTCTTTCTGGCTGCTTGCAGCACCTTCTCTTTCATCTGGTAATTTTGGAATTTTGCTATTATATTCCTTGGTGTTGTCAATTTGGGATCTCTTTCAGGTGGTGAGCGGTGGATTCTTTCTATGGTTATTTTACCTTCTGGTTCTAGGACTTCAGGGCAGTTTTCCTTTATGATTTCCTGAAAGATACTGTCCAGGCTCTTTTTTTCATCATGATTTTCAGGTAGTCCAATAATTTTTAAATTGTCTCTCCTGGATCGATTTTCCAGGTCGGTTGTTTTACCGATGAGGTATTTTATGTTTTCATTCTATTTTTTTTCATTTTTTTGTTTCTGTTTGACTGATTCTTGCTCTCTCATAGAGTCATTAGTTTCCATTTGTCCAATTCTAGTTTTTAACATTGTTTTCTTCTGTTAGTTTTTGTACTTCCTTCTCCAATTGGCCAATTGTATTTTTGAGGGATTTGTTTTCTTCAGTGTACTTTTTTTCCAGTTTGCCAATTGTGCTTTTTAGGGACTTGTTTTCTTCAGTGTACTTTTTTTCCAATTGGCCAATTGTTTTTTAAGGACTCTTCTACCTCTCTCATTTGACTATTAAAATCCTTCTTGAGCTCTTCTAAGAAGGCTTTTTGGGCTTCAGACCAGTTCATATTCCCTTTTGATGTTGCAGATGTGGGTTTGTTGACAATGTTGTCCTCTTCAGAATTTCTGTCTTGATCTTCACTCTTCTCATAATATGAATCTATGGTATGTTTCTTTTTACTCATGGTGTTTCTTTATTCCCTGGCCTTTAAAGAGATTGAGCTCTCCTGCTGGGGAACAGAGGGCACTGACCCAAGCTTCTTGTGTTGGGAGCCTAGGTCTTGGTCACTGGCTTTGCGTGCTGGGGCCTCTTATGCTGGCAATTGGAGGCTGTAGGTTTCTGGCAGCTTACCTCGTGTTGGGCTGGAATCAGCAAGGCTGGAACTTTCAGGCAATTCTAGGTTGCCTGCTTTTCCTTTCCTTTAGCTTTCTTCAGCTCCTTTTAGATGGGTGCTGCAGGGTGTTTATCTGCCAAACCCACCGTGCTGCTTCCCTTATTTTTGCTGAGGCACTGGGAGACCCTTTGCTGGGCTGCTGCACTACTGTTCCCCATCTTTCTTCTAATTCAGCTGTTCCAGGGTTTTGTTGTTGTCGTTTTTTTACTGGGGTGATATTTTCTGGGTTTTCAAAGGTTCATAGGGGAGGATGAGAGAGATTACCTTTTTACTCTACCATCTTCCGGCTTCCTGGCTCTTGAGGGGCAGGCAACATAAAGAAGAAGGAGAAGAATAGCTAACATTTATATAGTTCCTACTACACAGTGCCAGGCACTGTGTTGAACGCTTTACAATTACTGTCTCGTTTGATCCTGGTAGGAAGGTACTATCCTCATTTTACAGATGAGGAAACTGAGGCGGGGGAAGTGATTTGCACAGGGTCACACTGCTAGCAAGCAGCTGAAGCCACATTTGAGCACCTGTCAGAGGCTAGGATTGTGGGGGATTGGCCAGGGTGACTGAGCCAGTCAGAAATCCTGAGTGGACACCCAGTCTGGCCACAGCTGTCCAAAAGTCAATACCCCAAATGAAAGTGTCCAAGCAGAGGCAATCTCACCAGAGAAGCACTGCAAACCCCATGCCTCTCAGGGACACGCAGAGTGACGGGGAAGGAAGCAGTGACAGATTCAGGGAGAACTCACTCACTGTCTTGGCCTTGCAGATCCTGTGACCAAACCCACCGTGCACACTCACCCTTCCTCTGGGGCCGTGGAGAACGTGGGCAACTTGACGCTGACATGCGTGGTGGGCACAGGCACACGGGTCACGTACCAGTGGCTGAAAGATGAGAAGCCGGTGCAAGCCGGCACGACCTACATCTTCTCTCTCAACCGCAGCATCCTCCACATCGCCCCTGTGACAAAAGCCGACATTGGGGAATTCCGCTGCCTGGCAAGGAACGCCGTCAGCGAGATGTGGAGTGAAGCCCTGGCGCCCGTCATCTACTGTGAGTATTCCGCTCCTCAGAAGGAGGGCACACAAAGAAGGCCAGGCTTGGGCCCACCTATGGGCTCTCCCCTCTCATTTCCTCTTCTGTAAAATGGTGAGGTTGGAATGATTGCCTCTAGGCCTCCTTCCACCTCTAGAACTAGGGTCCCAGGATCCTCTGAGCAGGGTGGTCCAGCTCCTGGCCTCCATGACAGAGCAGAATGGGCTTGGAAGGCCTTCCCTCCTCTCCACCCATTGGCTTTCTGCTCAGCCATTCAGAAGGCACACCAAGGCTCTTTCCTCCGGAAAGCCGGCCTTGATGCCCCACGTTAGGAGCCCAAGTTAGTTACCTTCGGAACTCCCTCCCTTTTCCCCGGAACTCCCTCAGCAGGATGGTCTGCATCTTCAGCTTCTCACAGCACTATGCTGTGGACCCAGTGCGAGGCAAGAGTGTTCCAGGGACAGAGGGACCAAGTCAGGAACTGAGGAAGAGGGGATGCTCCGTTCAGGGAACGAGGCAGACCCATTTGGCAGGAAAAATGGAAATGGCAGAATGGGCCAGACCAAAAAGGTCTTTGGGTATCAAACAGAAGTTTTATATTTGACCCTGGAGGCCCTAGGGAGCCACAGCAGTTCCTATTGAGTAAGGGAGGGACGCTTTTAAAAAATCACTTTGGAGTCTGAATGGAGGATGGGTGGAGGAGGGAGAGCCTGGAGGCAGGCAGACCCCACCCCCAGCAGCTAGTGCAGTTGTGTGAAGCGATGAGGTCCTGCACTGGGTTGGGGGGGGGGGTCCAAAGGGTCAGAGGGTAAAAGGGGCCTACAACCAAGAGCAGCGTTAACCAAATGACAAGGGAGGGCGGCGTCAGTCCTGAGCCTTCTGAATGGCCTGACCCAAGTGGCCACTGAGTCTCTGTCTGCATGGATTTCGCAGCAGGGAAGAGGCGTAGAGGGAGGGGGATGCCCTTGGACTGGGATGCTCAGGACAGGCTGTCCAGGGGGGCAGCAGAATCGCAGGGCAGAGGGAAGAAGGCCCAGGGCCTTCCCAGATGTCCAGAGGCCTGGTCTGGCCCCCTCAGCAGCACCCCTCAGAATCAGCAGCTGCGCTGGGGCCGTCCCTCTTGCCCCCCATGTCACCAGAGGTCAACCTTGGGCTCAGGCCAACTGGGGGAAAGCCAGTCTGACTTCTAGATGGACCTCCTTGCCATGAAAATAATAATTGATGGTAATGACAGCGATGGTGATGATGGCGGTGCAAGAATTCCTATCCCCACCATGCTCCCTGGAAGGGTGAGCCTGTTTTATAAATGAGGAAGTCAAGGCTCAGAGAAAGGAAGTAGGTCAGCCAGGCCACACCATAGGTCAGGGTCTCATCTGGGATTCACACCCCATAGATGGTTGGTGGTCCATATGCTGCCTTCATCATCCTCATGGATGTTCCCTAGGCAGCAGCCCCGAGCCCCGTGGAGGTATATGCAGCCAGGGTGGTGCAGCCAGGAGGGCTCCCTGGGACTGGCTCTCTAGGGTGGCCAGAGAGCTGACTCTCCTATTGGCTGTGCTTCCTCAGGCCTTCTCCTGTATGTGAGGACGCTGGGATGCCCAGCAACTTTGCTAGGCTGGCCCAGGAGGACCTAGGTAGCTCATTGGGCAGGGCCGGTGTGAGACCAGGACTGGGAAAGGATCCCCGGATTGGAAGCTGACTGCCCTCGGCCCCAGGGCTCCCACAGAAGTAAGTCCTTTGTCCAGGGAGAAGTGTCTACTTCCTCAAGGACTGCCCGCTGATGAATCACCTGTTCCCATTAACCACTGGTGACTGCGTGGGCATGGCCACCACCACCCTGCTGAAAGCAGATGGCAGGCGTGGGGTGTCTTAATCACCCTGCACTAGGGAGCGACATCTGCCCTATGGAAACCCTGCAGCCTGTGGGCAGGGATCCTGGGAGGCCCCAACCCATGTCCGGGACAGGGGCTGGCATTCAGCCAGGGTCCCTGGTCATCATGCCTCAGAAATACGGGGCTGGGCTCAGCCTTGTGGTGTTCCCACCAGACTGCCTCCCACAGATGGAAACCCGAGGCCTCCAGGGAGGGGAATATGGAGATCAACACAGAGTGGGAGTGGAAGGGAGCTGGGATTCCCAAAGATCCCATTCCAGGTGGGCACAGCCAGGAAGGATCAGAAGGCCCTCAGGACGGGCCATGCAAACAGCCCCTTTGACAGAAGCGTTCCAAACCTTTCTGGAAGATGGAGGTCACAGAGCAAGCAGCTATTGGACCAAAGTTCCTTCACTGGAGATTAGCTGCCCCAGCTCGAGCCTGAGAGCCGGGGAGTCTGTCTGCCCTTTGGATGGTAAACACTTGCCAAACCACCAGGTGGGGAGACCTGGCAAACATCGGCCCCCCCGGGGCACAGGAGATGGACACTCCGGAAATCCTCTTACAGAAGATTTGTAGGGCAGGCAAGTGTGGGCACAGTGCCTCATCAAACAGTGAGAAGGCAGAGGGAAATGAATTCAAGGCAGCTGGGCAAGAGACCCCTCGGAGGCCCGAAGCCTGGCACAGAGCTTGTGGACTTATCTCCAGGACAGATGCTGCGACTCTGACATCACGGGCTCAGACATGCTTCCAGGAGCAGAAGGATTAATGCAGAAGATGAGAAGCGTGGGAAAATCCGCTGACCAAACGGACCCAGAGAAGCTCTGTGCAGGTGGGGGGCAGCAACATGGTGCTGTGGGTAGTGGGGGTCAGAGGAAGACAGACCAAAGTGGGGAAGAGAAACCTCTGGCTTTTACTATAGAAATATGTAAATGTTTCATTTTTATTAGTGGTACTATTCATATTTAAATCTGTTACTCCAAGGCACTCCACTGACTCAACTGGACTGGTTTCCTCCTGAGGGTCTGAGCCAAGAGGACTCATTTTTTTCTTTGACTCTCTGCCCTGATCCTGGAATGTTATTCCAGGAATGTCTCCAAAACGAAGCTTAGGTCAAGCTAATATCTAGGGCTTCCCAAATGTGGGAAGCAGGGTCCCCAGCTCCTGCCCAGGCACTTAATATGAGTAGCAGTATGCAATGGCCTCCATTTCCCCCTGAAGAAAGTGCATGGGATGCTGGGCACTCAGCAGATGCTCACAGACAAATATGGAAGCATTAAGTATTCAAAGTCCATCACGTTCCCCTCCCCAAGGGTATATGTCCTTGGGCTGCTGAAGAAGGCCTCCCCTTCAAGCCAGATTCCTAGTGTCCCAGCAGTACATGGTTCATTAGCCACAGAGCTCTCCTCTAGTGACACATCTCTCCTTCCTAACAAGCACACTGTTGAGAAATCTTGGTCCTCCCAGAGGCCAGGGCCCAAATGCTTGGACTCAAGAATTTTTTTTAAATTTTCACTGACCCCTTTGGTTTTTATATCACTTCATTTCCCTTCCTCCACCCCAAGAGCCATTCTTTCCAACAAATGATAAAAGAGGACAAAAGGTCAGTTTGTGCAGAGCTAGCCAACCCATCGGTCAAACTCAGGAACTCCTGAACGTGGTGATCATCCATGAAGCAACTCTCAGAACGGGTGCTTCCTTGGTGACCTCCCTTCTCAGGCCAGAAGGTGAGATCCCAAAATAACCCTGCCTGGAAAATTAGATCCTCAATGTCCCCTTCTCTATGCAGGAAGTGGGATTCAGGAAGTATCCTTAAGTATCCCACCACCACCACCAAGGCACACAAGCACACACTGTCTTGTGCTTCTGCTGAAAGTTGGCACCTCCCACCCCAGGACAGCTCTGCTGTTGCACTTGGTTCTGGAAGTCCAATGGGGGAAAGCAAGAGAGAAGCACAATCTTCTCACTCTTACAGACCACAGGGAGGGAGTCAGTCCTTGGGAACCAGAGAAGTCCTTCCCCATGTCCCCTCATGAGGTGGCAAAGACCATGCCAGCCTTCCTGGGAGGTGCCCTCCCACACCCTGCTTTTGCATCAAGGGGAATAGAGAACTCTCCATATTGATTGAGGCCTCCCCAGTCTCTCCTAATATCACGCCAACAGCAAATGACTCAGAGCATTAAGCAAGACTCCTGACCAGAAGGGTCCGCTTTCCCACCTCTGTCATTCCTCAGAGAATCCACTAATCCAGAATCACGGGCCCCTCCGGGAAGAGTCAGGAGGAAACTGGATGGCTCCTCCCATCACTCTCGTACAGGAGGACAAGGGGTCCCAGCCATACCTACATAAATGAGCTCCTCCACAAACCATCTCCCATGCTGCCCGCAAATGTGCAATATTCCCTGGAAGAAAACCCAACAGAGACACCCTTGTTCAATGTAACTTTGATCATAGGTCTCAGATGGGGGACAGAAGGTGCTCACCAAAAGCATGAAGGGGGTCCAGCACCGAGTCTTGGTGGAAAATACTATAGTGATGAGCCATTAAAGGAGACTGAGAAGAAGCAGCCAGGCAGGGAGGGGGGAAGGAGAGAGGAACAAGAGGGAGGGAAGGAGAGAGAAAGACAGAGAGAGAGAGAGAGACAAAGACAGAGAGAGAGGGAGGGAGGGAGAGAGAGAAAGGAGGGAGAGAGAGACGCAAACACAGAGACAGAGACAGAGAGAGAGACAAAGACAGAGAAAGAGACAGAAAGGGAGGGGGGAGAAAGAGAGAGAGAGAAAGAGGAGGGAGAGACAGAGACAGAGAGAGACAGAGAGACAAAGACAGAGAGAAAGACAGACAGAGAGAGAGAGAGAGAGAGAGAGGAGGAGGAGGTGTCATGGAAGCACAGTGTCTATGAGCAGAAGGTGATCAATAGCATCACATGCAGATGGGTCCTCTCTCTTCTCTCTCCTCCCTCTGTCTCTGTCACTGTCACTGTCTGTGTCTGTGTCCGTCTGTCTGTCTGTCTCTCTCTCTCTGTCTCTCTTCTTCTGAAATCCCAGCTCCAAAGCATCACTGTCTCAGTGGACACTCTGGAGACATACCAGGGTTGGACAAGAGGTGAGGCCTCCTCCTCCTCCTTGGGGTGAGCAGCCGAGCTCAATCTGCCTTTGCCAGTCCTGAGCCTTTTGGCTCTGCCGGCGTGTGGGCAGGTAGTGCTGTCCCTCGGGAGGGCTGAAGGCATGTGCTAACCCTAGGATCTGGGCAGAGCTCATTTCTCTGCATATGGCAGGACAGATGCTGAAAGGGGCCTGGCCTTGATGTTGGAGAGGGAGCTTGGTTTTGTCCTCTGAACCAATTCAGGAGCTAAGAGGTGGGACAGTGGTGGGTCCAAGGAAGGCGGGACAGCCTCCCTCTGCTCCTCCTCCTCTGCCCTAGACCACCAGCACCTTTCTCCCAGCAGTGCCGATGGGTCAATCTGAGGGATGGGGGCAGGCAGGGGCGCTGCCAGGGACCCTTTCAGGGAGGGCCTGAGCATTTCCGTCACCTTCAGAGCCCTTTATCCAGCAACTTTCCCGTTCTGCTTGTAATTCCCTCTAGTGGCTCTAATTCCCACACTCCGGGCAGCTTCTCCACCCACCAAAGTCTCCCATCCTACAGCACTGAGTCAGGGGCTGTGGGCCCAAGAGAACTGGCCTGTGGTCTGCAATTAAGACAGTGTGAAGGAGAGATCCTTGCCAGGTCCTCAGCAAGGCTTTGGTATAAAGGTCACCCTGGTACAGGGAGGATTGGCAGCCAGTATGCCCAGAGGCAGAGCACATCACAGGGGTCATCCAGCTTGGCCCCTCACTTTACCAGTGAGGAAACTGAGGTGCAGGTGGGGAGGGGACTTTCCCAAAGTCATACAGCTAAGTAGTAGCAGTGACCAGGACCTCAGTGTCCTACAGGCTCGCCCTCATCACAGAGCCCTAAGCTTAGGGAGCATGGGGGCCTTGGATGCTTACTAGCTGTGTGACCTTGGATAAGTCCTTAACCTCTTTGCCTCAGTTTCTTCAACTGTAAAATGGAGATAGTAAGTACTAGCACCCACCCCCAGGGTTTTCATGAGGCTCTAATGAGATAAAATCTGTAAGATGCCTAGCACAGTGCCTGGCACACAGTAGGTGCTCCACGGACGCTAGCTCTTAGTAGCATTCTTCACAAAGACAATGATAATGACAAATCACGGGGACATTTGTTCCAAGATGACCTTCTTTCCGGGCACACAGCTCAGCAAGGATGGTTCTCCCCATCCCCCAGCTGCAGTTCTGGGTGCCAGCTTTGGGGGGGGCTCTGGCACGACAGCCTGAATTTCAGGCCCATCTGACCTGTGCTTCTTCAGCTCCATGACCAGAGGCTGAGCTCACAGGCTCCACACTGGCTGTTCTAGGGGACAGGCGTGAAGGGGAACCACTGGCCAACCCGATCTGGTGGGCGCCTCAGCCCCTGTTCTCCTCAGCCCCCCCCCAAGTGCTGCTGCCCAGCTAGCCCCTAGACTCGTCCAGCTGACACTCCACTTCTCCTCTGGTCTCCCTCTAATGCAGATGGACCTTATGGACTCACAGTCAATTCTGACCGAGGCCTGAGAGTGGGAGAGGTATTCACTGTTGACCTTGGGGAGGCTGTCCGGTTTGACTGCTCTGCAGACTCCAATCCCCCCAACATTTACTTGTGGATTCAGCGGGACAACAATTCCACCCAGGTGATCGAGCACGGGCCGCACCTGGAGGTTGCTTCAGAGCACATGGGCCGCAGCACCGATTACACGTGCTGTGCCTATAACAACATGACTGGGCGGAGAGGAGAGGCACGCTTCACGGTGATCATCACATCTCTAGGTAAGAGTCCTTGGCCCAGGGAAGGTGCAGATGTGCCTCGGGGGTGGTCGCATACGTGGGCGGCACTCTGACCTCACGCTCTCCATCCCGAGGGCTGTAGGAAGTGTTGAGCAGGGATTTGAGCTCAGATCTTCTAGCTCTGATGCAGCACATGCATGGAAGCTCATATCCTTTCTCTTGGCTCGGGACAGCTTGCTGTCTTAGCCCATTTCCAGCGCTCTTATTATATGTCTGTGCTAGGAAGGGATGGTCCAGGGGGCAGCTAGGTGGCACAGTGGATAGAGCACCAGCCCTGAAGTCAGTAGGACCTGAGTTCAAATCTGGTCTCAGACCAAACACTTGACACGTAAGAGCTGTATGACCTTGGGCAAGTCACTTAACCCCAACTGCCTAAAAAAAAAAAAAAGAAAGAAAGGAAGGAAGGAAGGGATGGTCCAGGCTCAAAGCCAGGGGGACCCAAGCTCAGATCCCCAAGTGGGTATCTGATACTGAATAGCAGTGGCAGCCCAGGCAAGTTACTGAGCCCTGGACAAACTCCCCTGACTTGCAATTCACTCACAGATGGGCCATAGTCTGCCTGAGGGGGGGCAGTTCCCACACTGGGAGCTCCTCATAATCATGGGCAGATGGGTTCCAACGAGTTCTGTGGAGGAGTACGTGGAAGCATTCGCTTCTCTTTGGATCTGCCATTCAGCAGATCTCTCTGCTGGTGCTATCTTCTTGTTCATATCCCTCCATCTCCCCAGGAATAGCAGGAGAAAGCCAAAGACTTGGCTGAAATCTTGGCCTGCTCTAGCTCTATGTCGCCTTGCCCCGAATACTGGCTTGGTAACCTAGTGCTGAACATCTCTTCCTCGTGTAAAGAAAGGCAGCCTGAGAGATTCAGGTATTTCCCTGATCCCACAGGCTGGTGACCCCTTCCCTGAAAGGAAACGAGGCCAGGCTGGCCTGACCATCCCTTCAGAAGGACGTTCTCACGTTTTGCTGATGATTGGAGTTAAGTTCATGGCCTGTAGTTGGAAGATTATACTCTTTTCTTTTTTTTTTTTTTAGGCAATTGGGGTTAAGTGACTTGCCCAGGGTCACACAGCTAATAAGTGTCAAGTATTTGGTCTGAGGCCGGATTTGAACTCAGGTCCTCCTGACTCCAGGGCCGGTGCTCTATCCTCTGTGCCACCTAGCTGCCCTGATTATACTCTTTTCTTTAAGAGACATTTTCCCTTACCAAGTTCTAGTTGTCTCTTCAACCTTCAGTGAATTTCCAAATGGTCTTTCTGCATCTCCAAGGTAAGAGGGGAGCTTGCTGATCATCTGGTCCACCCTGTGCCTAAGCCATCATATATCCTCAAAGTGGTACTTGGAGACCTCCAGGAAAGGCGGAATCCCCTACCTACAGGGATAGCCACCCCCCTTCAGAGCGCATTCCTTAGCAGGAAGTTCGTCTTGATATCAAACCTAACCTGCCTCTCCACAGTCTCCCCCATCGCTCGCAGACCAACAGACCATTTCAGTATTGGAGAGCTTGTCACTGTTAGGAAGGGCGGCTAGGGGATGCCATGCTGCACAGAGAACTGGGCCTGGAATCAAGAAGACTCGTCTTCCCGAGTTCAAATCTGGCCTCCGACACTTCGTAGCTGTGTGACCCTGGGCATGTCACTTAACCCTGTTTGCCTCAGTTTCCTCACCTGTCAGATGAGCAAGGAAAAGGAAATGGCAAACCTCTCCAGTATCTTTGCCAAGAAAACCCCAGGTGGGGCCGTAAAGAGTTGGACATGACTGGCTGGGGTTTCTCTTTTTAACTGTTGGGATATGTTTTCCTTCTGCCACACCTACATTTGTATCCTTAAAGCTTCTCCCCATTGCCCCTGGTTCTGTTCTCTGGGGCCAAATAGGGCCCTCGAGGTAACAGCTTTGCACAGTAATCATGGGATCCCTAAGGCTTCTCTTCTCCAGGCCCAGCCCTCAGGATCATGAGGCCTTTTCACCTCTCTAGCTGCTCTCCCTCCAGAGTCTCCAGCTTATCAAAGACATCCTTCCTAAAACGGGCACGATACTTCATCCAGTGACAGAGAGGGGCTGCGGGCTGGCAGTGAGGGTGGGGGGGACATTTAGAAGGGGGGTTCCAATGTGTGAAGAAGTCCAGGGCTCGAGAGGATTCTGAGCATTGCAGAGGGGCCAGGAGGAGAGTCGGGAATGCAGCCTAAAGAGGAAGAAGGAATACTGTGCTGTCACTTTCTGCCTCTCCCAGAATGGGTTCTGCAGCCTCTACTCCGTGAGTTCCAATGGCCCAGGGAGGAAGAGGTTTAGCATCAGGACAAAAAGATACCATAAGGGCCCTCTGAAGTCCGGGATTCTCTCTGTGCTTCCCAACTGTTTCCACGCCTTGTTTTCTGAGTTTAATGGGGTTTAGGGGATTTTTAGCCATTAGTAGTAAAAAATCCAAATGTAAATTCTAGCCTGGCTTTATTTCCTTTGAATGAAAATTGACCAGAATCTACAGGTTGAGCCTTGTTTCCTTTGCCTGCCCCTTTCCATTAATGTTTAGCCAAAGTATTTCCCTGATGCTACAGGCTCCTAATATTTGATTAAGGTCCGATTACCAGGGACCCCAGATGACTTCAGCCTTCGTGTCAGACAGTTGCCTTTTTGAGAAATCCAACAAACCTGTTTGCCTTGTGCCTAGATCAGCCATCTGTGATGATGGTAAACAAGGGCAGCAGGTGGGTGTGAGGGGAAGGACCAGGAGCAGAGGCTCTGAGGCTCCCGGAACCACAACGGACCATCAGCAGGGCCCTTCCTGGAAACGGGCTGCATTATTCAAGAGCCAGTTGTGGAGGGGGTTAGGGAATGAGCGTTTACAGAGCGCCTGCTATGTGCCAGGCACCAGGCAGAGCACTTTACAAGTGTTATTTGATTCTTACAGCAATCCTGGGAGGTAGGTGCTGTTGCTTCCCACTTTACAGATGAGGAAACTGAGGCAGATAGAGGTGAAGGGACTTGCCTGGGGTCACCCAGCTTGTCAGTGTCTGAGGACAGATTTGCCAGGTCTTCTCAACTCCTGGGCCAGTGCTTTGTGCATTGTGGAACCCCCTAGCTGCCTCTCATTAATTAATTAATTTAGGTTATTCTAACCTAAGCATCCTTCTTAAAGAGAGAGGACAGAGAAGGATGCATTAGAAAGATGGACAGTGCCAACCCAGGGCTCTGAAAATTGCCATCCGTACGCCCAGACAGTCAGCAAAACTCCATTGATTGATGTGATTCTAGGCCTCAGGGTCAAGTTCAGTGACCCCAAGTAAGAAGGATGCACACACCCTTGGAGAATAACGGTCCTGAAACTCCTCCTCCTGTCCAGTTGGTCCAAGGTGACCACGAGAGATGCTTCCAGTAACCAAAGGCATCAGAAACACTTCTTGCTTTTGATTGTGACCCTGGTCACGTCCCAGTGACTTGGGGGAGAAATCGTGCACTGGAATCGATAGGGAGAGAGACTCATCTCTCAGGTGAGTCCAGAGGCTTCAATGAGGATCACTGGGAATTGCTACCTTAGTATTTCTGAGCATCCCCAAAGGGCAGGTTATGCCTTAGGATGACCTTCCCCATGGGCTCCTTTTATGGGATGCTACATGCACCATGAGATGTCCATGGGCCTGTGATCTCCTCAGCGAGGGCCATCCCCCATCCACGGCTCCTCCTCTTCCCTCTGTATGCAGGAGGCCTCCCTGAAAGCTGCCGAGGTCTCACTGAAGGAGACTGCCCCCACCCTGCTCCGGTCAAGTTGCTCAAGAGTTGTTCTAGCCTCTTTCCCATCCTCAGGGTCTCCCACCGTTCAGATTCTTCAGAGATCTTGGTGCTCCATGTTCTGCAGCCACCCAGCCCCACGGAGGAATTGTTTGTGTGAAAAAGCTGGGATCATTCCCCAAGCACCAACTCTGGGGGGTGCCCTTGCCCCTGCGGTGTCTGTCCCAGACCCGTGGACCGCTGTGGCGGCATCGTGGGCTGGTGGCAAACGGCTGTCTGTAGTCTGGACGGCGAGTCTCCTTCCTCCATTTGGTTTCTCCCACGTGGATGATCAGGGCGTCGGCCTCACTCAGAAAGCTCCTCTCCGTCCCTGTGCTTGGGCCAGCGAGCAGCCAGGAGCTTCTGGACGCCCTGGCCAGGGAAGCCCTAGGCAGCCTCCACCAGGATGGGAGCAAGCTCCAAGTTTGACTTCCGTCCTGAAGATGATTGAAAAGTTGTCTACAGTGCTGCATGTTTCTTGTATGAGTGTCTTGTATGACTTCAGCATGTTGAGCCACTTCCATTAATTTAGTAATTGTTCTTCCCTGTTATGCCACTTGGCCAACCCTGTTCCTCAGCTAGTCCAGGCTTTTGAAATATTCATCTATGGCTGCTTCAGATTCGTCTGCCATTCCCAAATCTCTGCCAAGTGACCTGAGTACTTCTGAATCTGTGCCGACCCTGGAGAGGGGTCTCCTCCCTTCTCAGAGGGTCTTCTCCAGCCAGGTTGTCTGGGCCATCCTGTGGTCTTCATTTTGTGGTCAGCTGTGTCCTCCAGCCTTGGGCACTGCTTCCTTCCGCTGGGGTTCACACTGACTGGGCTGGGGGTGGTAAATGCTTGTTGACTGACTGGCTAACCGACCAGAGGGTGAGGCAGCTCCCCTGTGACCTGGGAATGCCAGCCACACCATGTGGCTGTCTTGGATGAAGGGCTCCCGAGCTCCTCTTGTCTGTATTTGCATAGGCGGTTTAATTTAATTTGCTTAACTAAGGTCAGGCACAGAGGGTTTACACTGGGGACTTTGGGAAATGGACCAGTCACTGATGAGTGAGGAGGGAAGCACCTGGGGGAGATGGTGAGATAGACCACCAGGACCGGGCACGCAGGGACAATGAGAACCCCAAGAGCAGCACAGCCCTGGCTGCTGCCGCCAATATCCTGGCCCACAACACAAGGCCAGGAAAGGAGCAAACACTCAGTGAGCAGGCAAGAGAAGCCAAAGAAGGGAACCCAGAGCACAGCAGGGGCCCCCAGGACAGGCTTTCCTCAGTGGACAAAAGACTCCTGGGCAGCACAGGCCTGTCCACCTTCCAGCACTGACCAAGGCTACTCTGGACAACTAGGGGTGTCCCCAGGGGCTTTGGCAGCAAGAGGACAAGGAGCCCACTCAAAGTCTCTGCTCTGACCTGGGTGCCTTGGACCCTGGGGCCACAGAACTTGGAGTCAGAGGACCTGGGGAGAGCTGTGTGACCTTGGACAACTCTGAGGCCCCCTGAGTCTCACTTTCCTCCTCTGTAAAATGAGCTGGTTAGATTTGACAGACTCTGAGGTCCCTTCCAGCCAGGGTTCGTGGAAAGAAGAACAGAGAGAGAGGGAGAGAGAGGAAGGAGAGAGGAGAGAGGAGAGAGGAGAGAGAGAGAGAGAGAGAGAGAGAGAGAGAGAGAGAGAGAGAAGAGAGAGAGAGAGAGAGAGAGAGAGAGAGAGAGAGAGAGAGAGAGAGAGAGAGAGAGAGAGAGAGAGACAGAGAGACAGAGACAGAGAGAGACAGAGAGACAGAGAAGAGAGACAGAGAAGAGACAGACAGACAGACAGACAGAGGAGACAGACAGACAGGGAAGAGAGAGACAGATAGAGGGAGAGAAGAAAGAGATGGGGGGAGAGAAAAACAGAGAGAGAAAGGAGGGAGAGGAGAGAGAGAGGAGAGAGATAGACAGAGACAGAGAAGAGACAGACAGATGGACAGAGACAGAGAGAGAGAGGAGAGGGGGGAGAGAGAGACAGAGAGAGAGGAGAGAGAAGAGAGACAGAGGAGAGAGAGAGGAGAGAGAAAGGGAAAGAGAGAGACAGAGAGAGAGGAGAGAGAGACAGAGAAGAGACAGACAGACAGACAGACAGACAGAGGAGAGAGAGACAGACAGACCGGGAAGTGACAGAGAGAGAGAAGAGAGAGAGAGATGGGGGGAGAGACAGAGAGAAACAGAGAGAGAAAGGAGAGAGAGAGAGAGAGAGAGAGAGAGAGAGAGAGAGAGAGAGAGAGAGAGAGAGAGAGGAGAGAGACAGACAGAGACAGAGAAGAGACAGAGAGAGAGACGGGTGGGAGAGAGAGAGAGAGAAACAGAGAGAGAAAGGAGAGAGAGAGGAGAGACACACAGAGAGAGACAGAGAAGAGACAGACAGACAGACAGAGGAGAGACAGACAGACAGACCACAGACAGACAGAGAGACAGAGAGAGAGAAGAGAGAGAGAGACGGGGGGGAGATAGAGAGAGAAAGGAGAGAGAGGAGAGAGACAGACAGAGAAGAGACAGACAGATGGACAGAGACAGAGAGAGAGAGGAGAGAAAGGGGGGGAGAGAAACAGAGAGAGAGACAGAGAAGAGACAGACAGATGGACAGAGACAGAGAGAGGAGAGAAAGAGGGGGGGAGAGAAACAGAGAGACAGGGAGGGAAAGAGAGAGATAGAGAGAGAGAGGAGAGAGAGACAGAGAAGAAACAGAGAGACAGAAAGAGAGGAGAGAAAGAGAGGAGAGAGAGAAGGGGGGAGAGAGACAGAGAGAAACAGAGAGATGAGAGAGAGAGAGACATAAAGACGAGAAGAGACAAACAGACAGACAGACAGAGAGAGGAGAGACAGACAGGGAAGAAAGAGACAGAGAGAGAGAAGAGAGAGAGAGAAAGGGAGAGAGAGAGAGAGAGAGAGAGAGAGAGAGAGAGAGAGAGAGAGAGAGAGAGAGAGAGAGAGAGAAAGAGTGAGCACTTGGTCCTTGCCCTGGTAAGAGAGCTGCCCCTCCACATTGCAAAGGCCTCCTTCCAACTCCAGCAAATATAGGCCAGTGACATGTATAGAGTCTCCAAAGGAAAATCTCTGTGAAAATCCAAGTGGGCTTAGCTGTGAGGCTGTGGAGGGTTCTGGGTGAGTAGGCCAGCTGATCCTCACAACAACCCTAAGAGATTTTGCAAATGAGGCAGACAGGGGAAGTCACTTGCCTAGGGTCACACAGCTAGTAAGTATCTGAGGCCAGATTTAAACTCAGGTCTCCCTAACTCCAGGACTAGTGCTCTATCCACTGGGCCACCTAGAGAAGGCAACATTATTTTAAAGGTATTGAGAAATCCATTCTCAAGATATCTAAAAGAGGGAAGGATACCAGAAGTTTGGAAGCATATTGTTACCAAAAATCGGTCTCTGCCTCCCTAGCCATAGACCTATTTTCCCCTCCTATATAAAATGTCTGTAAAAATCATCAGCACCCATCCTGAGGGCACCCCTGATACCTTCATAGCTTAAACAAGGTAGGAGAAGGAGGCAGGCAGGCTTCTGTCAATGTGATTCTATAGCAATCATAGAATGGACTGTAACATGTGAAGGAGAAAGAGCTTGCTGTTTGGTGACTTTCAAAAAGGATTTGACTCCGTAGAGGAAATGCTTCCCTAAAGATTCCTGGTCCACAGAGTGTCCCCTGTGCCTATGTCAAAAACCATCCACAAGGCCCTGAAGAAGCACAGACAGTGTCTGGTTGGCTGGCTCTCTGGTTACCGACAGAAGCATGAAGCCGCCGCGGGCTCCCTCGGGGGCGTTTGCTGATGCAGGGTACGTCCCTGAAGAATCCACAGGGAAGAGGGAGTCCTGGGATCCTTCACCTGGGCCCCATGGAGACAGTTCAGGAGGTCAGTGAACCTGGATGGGAAAACAATTCCATCCTTATTTTCATTAACCTCTAGCTGCAATTTAGTGTTCCACTCAGTTAGTTAAAAGTGTGACTCTGAGAAGGGGTCCATAGGCTGTATCAGACTGACTGCTGAAGGTCTCTAGGATACAGAAAAGTACAGCACTCTGCTGCTGATGGCAAGGGCCTCTAGATGCTTCAGTTTGCTGATTACATTTTCTTTTAAGGTAATTGGGGCTAAGTGACTTGTCCAGGATCACACTGCTAGTGTCAGGCACTTGGTCTGAGGCCAGATTTGAACTCAGGTTCTCCTGACTTCAGGGCAAGTCCTCTACCCACTGCACCACCTAGCTGCCCCTTGCTGATTACCTTTTCCTGGTTGTATTAAGCCCTGCAACATTGCAGAGGCTCCAAACAAGCTGTCCCACTCAAAGGAGGTTGGCCTAACCATGCACTTGAGAAAAACCAAGTGGATGAAGATGGCCTATTGTCCATCCAATGAGAGCTAGAGGAGATGGCATAGTGGGAGTCCGTGTGTATCTATCTCTTGGACAGGCACTGCTAGGCCGAGGAATTGGCCCAGAACTGAAAAGCAGGTAAGTGGGGCCAAAACATGGGCCCGCGGTCTAGCACCAACGTTGTCTTGGGGGTGCGTTGGGGAGAGCACATTTCCTTCCTCCATCCCACGTCCTCAGCAGCACGGACGCCTCATCACCCCTCAGCGTGGCTGCCCCGGGGCCGGGCTGTGTCGCAGAAGTGCTCAGAGTCCCTCGGGTCCATTCTTTCCCCAGGACTAGAGAAGGTCACCAGCAAAGGCAAATCATCCTTGGCCATCATCACGGGCATCTCCGTGTTCCTGATCGTCGCCATGAGCAGCCTCTTCTTGTGGAAGAAGTGCCGACCTTACAAAAGTAGGGGCGAGTTTGTTTTGAAGAATTTCCTGGCTGTGTTCCTCGTAGCAAACGTGACTCACTATGGTCTCTCTCTCTCTCTCTCTCTCTCTCTCTCTCTCTCTCTCTCTCTCTCTCTCTCTCTCTCTCTCTCTCTCTCTCTCTCCCCCTCTCTCTCCCGGCTGCAGTCATCCACCAGGGGCGCACAGGCAGGTAAGGACTCGGTCACGGCTATCTTGGTCCTGAAGCACGATGTCGAGGGTATTTCCCATTACACAAAATCACGCACGTGTCTGTTTCTTTTCTTCAGGTCAGAATCCGAATACGGGAAAGCGCAAACGTTTTCAGGTGACAAGCTGCATGAGACATGAGATGGTTGGGGTTGTTCCAGGTCCCGGGGCGGCCTCCATTCGGCCATTAGGATTCTCTAGCCCCCAAGGGCCCCAGCAAATGCCCCAGCTTCAAACGAGAGGGCAAAGGGGGCTGCTGACAGCTTCCTTCTCTTGTCAGCCATCGAGAAGGCTCCGCCATCCCCTGGCACTGTCTCTGTCTGTGACTGGGAGCCTCGGGAGGAGATGGAGGCTTCCCGAGTCTGCTAGGAGAGTCAAGCTGAAGGCTGTTGGCCATCTCTACTTGGAATGAGGAGCCCTTTCTGGAGGTTACAGAGGAGGAGCTGAGGGAGGTGGGAGGTGTCCGTGCAGCCTAGGGCCTAGGTACCCCTCTACACACACACACACACACACACACACACACACACACACACACACACACACACACATCTCTGAGGGGGACTCTCAGCTCTGAGGGCTTTTTGCATCTGAGCTGCACCTATGTGCAGGTGAGAAGACACTCATGAAGGGATAGCATCAGGTCTCCTAAGATCGCTCAGCCAATGGCACAGTAGTGATGTGGGGGCATTTTCAGATTTAGTTCAATCCAATTAGACCGATATTTATTAAGTGCCTACCATGTACAAGGCATACAAAGACAAAAATTAAGTAGCTCCTCCCTTCAGGAAGCTCACAGTCTACTGGGGTGAGTCAGCCTGTATGTATATGGAGGACCCAGGAGGAGAGCCCTGGGCCCTTCTCCTGCTCCCTCCATCTGCATCATCTGTCCCAGAGGCTCTGTTGGGGTGTTCTCCCTGCCTCCAGGTCCTTATTCCTCTTTCCTCCAGGGGATCAGTCCCTGCTTGGGTCCTCCCTCCCCTCAACCTCTGCCTTCATACAAATAGAACCTCATCAAGGGTTGACATCAGTGGGAACATGCCTCTAGAGTTCATCAGTGTCCCAAGACTTGTCTCCTCTCCACCCCAGGCACCCACAGGGATGGTCAGACCTTCAGTGTCACCCTCATGGCCATGGCCATGCCTGTAAAGGGCTCTGAACTTCCCCTCTCCTCTCCTTCCACCCCCACCCCCTCTGCCTCCATGCTTCTCACCTTAATCTCGGTGCTCTCTGCAAACCCCAGCCCTTTGCTGCTCTGGCCCACCTCACACCCCAGACAGGACCTTGCCCTCCATCCTGCGTCCCTCTGCCCCTCATCCAAGCCTGAGTTCTTCCCACAATCTTCTTCCTTCATCCCTAGACTGCTGGATCACTACAAATGCATCTGGTTTCATCTCCACTTGACCCTCCTCGTGGGCAAACAGCCCTTCCTCTTCTCTCTGGCCGAGGACTCTCTGCTGCTGTGGCTCTTGTCTCCCTGATCCCCCACTTGGCCCTTCTTGGTGCAGCCCTGCCTTCCTCTCCACCTCCCGTCAAGTGGCCAGGCCTTGGCCTTGCTGACATAACCCAGCACCCTCATGGGCTCTTGTCCTTGCTGCCCTGATCTCTCGCCACCCCACCCCTCGTGGCCTCCTCTTTGGCCTCCACCTGTGGACTCTACTAACATATTAAACATGGACTCCCATGGCCTGCATTCCATTTGTGGCTTCTGACCCACTTCTGACCACCGCTCTTAACTGGTTGTCCCCTTCCTTGTCTCTATTATGGAGTCATACTCATCTCCCCAGCAGTCTGCCCTGGGAGACTCTTAGGGACCGCACCAGCTATCACTGCTACATAAACAAGTCCCAGGTGATGTGACTACCCAGCCCTTACCTCTCTCGAGCTCCTTCAGCACTTGCCTTCTGGATAGTTCCTGAGAATCTCATTTGCAACTCAGACCTGCTGCCCTTTCTCCGCAGTTCAAACTCATCCTTTCAGAGCTTCCCTTCGCTCTTCTCTCCATCGCCGGCCAAAGCTGTGCAGCTTGTCTCCATCCGCTGCAGAGTGACCACCATCCCCTCTTCCCTGGACGCATGGCCTCCTAACTGACCTCCCTGCCTCCAGCCTCCCCTCTCCTTCTTAGTTCTGACTATCGCACCCTTGCCCAAAAAGCCTCAGTGGCTCCTGTACCCTTTAGGATACAACACGAATGCCTTAGCCTGCTTTTTGAAGCTCTCCACTGTCTATCTCCAAGCTCTTTTTCCAGATTTTCTCATGATTTTCTTTCAGTCACTCGAGATCCCAGCCAGAATGTCCTGTTCCCTTAGCTCCCACTTCCATGCCTTTGCACACGCTGTGCACCAACTGTAGAAGGTGTGCCCTCCTCACCTCTGCCCTGTAGAGTCCTCGTTTTCTGTCACAGCCACAGATGCCGCTCACTGTTTAAAGCCTTTCCAGCCTCATTGAGGCTGCCATCACCTACCCGCGGGCCCCAACCTGCCCTGTCAGCCTTATTCCTCATCACTCTTCTCCACATGACTTGCATTTCCTCACCTACTAGGTGCCATCTCCCACCGCCGGGCCTTTGCACTGGCATCCACCCACCCCTTGAAGGCTCACACTCCTCCCTTGCCTCTCCTGCTGCTGACACCTCCCCATCCCCCATTGGCCTTGCATTCATGTGCATTCACAGATGCACAGATGGTATCGCAGTGAAGGAGATGAGAGCGTGCATTTCTGCAGCTATCATTATTAGCTCCATTTTGTAGATAAAAAGATTACCAGTGGTCACACAGTTGGTCAGTGTCATGGGGTAGGATTTGAACCCAGGTCCTGATTCTAAGGCCAGTATTGACCACTGCTCCACATTGCCTGCTATCAAAAGGCAAAGGAGACTGCACCAGGTACACAGGAGGCATTTAACTATTGATTGACTCCCTGATCTTCCATAGTGAGCGCTGTCATCCTCATGCTTCCCCCTAATCATTTCCCTCCGTCCATCGTGTTTCCCCATAGAATGGAAGCTTCTTGAGGGCAGGGGCATCCTATACACAGTAGGTACTTAATCAGTGCTTGATAGATCGTCTAGGAAACTCTGACCTTTCTTTCAGGCCACGAAGATGCCCTGGCTGACTTTGGGATCTATGAATTTGTTGCCTTTCCGGAGCCTTCCACTGCTCCCAGGGTGAGTATGTGTGGGTGGGGGGGGGAAGGGGGGAGGAAGCAGGAGGGTGGGGGAAGGGGGGAGAGAAGTTAGACCTCCTTTGCTCCTTCCTGGCAATGAGCAGAGACTTGGAGCTGGGCTCAAGCAGAGGAGTCTGACACCTTTGAAGACAGCCTGGAGACAGAGTCTCTGGCTGGTGGCAGGGCTCCCTGAGCCTGGCTCAGGCCAGATCTGAGCTCCCCAGGCCCCGAGGAGGCATGTCCCCCAGAAGGCTCCCAGGTGCACAGGAGCTGGCCCAGCCCAGTGAGAGGCCCCTAGTGGTGTCTGGCACAATTAGGCTTTTGGCCTGGTCACAGCCTGCTGGGCCACTGGGTACCTGTGTGGCGATGCCTGTGCCCGGCCCATCCCAATTGATGACTCAATGCAGGAATCCTCTATTGATCTATCTTTTAGATACCCAGCAGGCCCATTTGTGGCTCTGAGTGGAGCCCCCGGCAGGAGGTCCACGGCACCATATATGAAGTTATCCAGCACGTCCCTGGACAGGAGCAGCAAGGCCATCCAGAGTAACTGGGAGCCTAGGAGCCGTGGTCAGGCCAAAAAAAGGCAGCCACAGCCCACAGCCATATTCTGCCCCAGAAACTCATTTCTAGTCTGGGGCACATCCCAGCTGTGGCATCAGGGGGAGACCCTGTGAGAACAGCTACGGTGCCTTCAGGGCCTCCATCGTGGAGGCCAGCTACCCCACCCCCGACTTCAACCCCTCCATCCTCCATCCTCCCGAACAGACCAGACTCATCCAGACGTTCATCTACGGGGTGGAGACATGGCCACCACGCCTGCCACTCCCCTGACTTTGATGTTCCCTTGTGCTGAGTAATTAATCCATGCCTGAAAATGCCAGGGGAATGGGCTGCAGTTTTAGCTTGGTGGGTGGGGACCCATCACTGTAGGTGGGAAGGAGAAACTTCTTCATTGTCCCAAGGTCACAGATGCCATCCTGTCTAAAAGCTTTGACCCGAGGTCATTCTAGGGTGGGCACTCTGAGGTAGATGGACAGTCCCACCTGGACTGGTTCCCGGACCCCAAGCCCTAACCCAAGGTGGGTGACGGCCTGCTCCTTCCTTGTCTAAGTCAAGGCTGCCTCCTTCCCCAGAGTCCTCCTCCCCTACTCTTCTCTCTTCTTTTCATTCTCTTTCCACCCCCAAGAAGCTGTTCCTGTTGCCTGAGAGAATAGTGGAGTGACAACTCTGTGTCACTCCACTCATTACAGGTGATTCACGTGGAGAACCAGGGAAACATAGCCAGCAATTGTAAAGTCTTGGGCAAAAAACCAAGCCTGCCGTCTAAGGGCACAGCTGATGTTTTCATCACCCTGGCCAATTAAAAGTCAGTTTCCAAAGAGAAAGGAAGTTGGGGAAATCAAGAAGGTTTCTAATAATGAGATCTGCATTTGTGGCTCTCAGTTTAAAACTTAGAAATCATAGCTGTGGTCAGGAATAGGAAATGCCTAAAAAGGGCTGGTATAAATAGATTTACTTGGAGTCTTGCACATCTGTTCTGCCTTCATGGCTTTGCAATGAAGACTGAAGGAATTATACTTATCTGCACATACATACCAAGGGAAACCTGTCTCTCCTGGCTTCGTCTGAATTCCTTCATGGGAGCCTAAAGCCTTTCCCTCTGGGCATAGGGAAATTCTGTTTACCTTTTCTGTGGTGTTGTTTTAAATGTCTGATTTGTCTTTATGGACACTACACCAATGGTGTCCTTGTTGGGAGTACTGTAAGAAGGAGGCAACCGAAGGGGAAACATCCTCACAGAGGAGATCAAGACAGATCTAAAACTGTTTTTTTTTTTTTTGTCAAAAGCTCTGTCTCTGGCTGGGGACTTGGAGCTAAAAAAAGAAAAAGAGAATTATCTATCTTTGATACTTCTTCCCAGAGTGGAGAAAGAAAATTTTTACTGGGAAATCACTCTGGAAAATCAATCAGGAGAAGGGTGAAGGGCAAATAGGAGTTCTTGAACAGCTGTGATCACCACATCATCTCTTTCATGCTGCTTCCTACTCATGAGAAGAAATCTAGGAATCTGAGGAGAGCTTTGTTAAGGAGGATTAATGAAGGGAGAAGCAAAAGTAACATTATCATGGCCATAGACTACAGACCACACAGGCAGAAAGAGGAAATAGATGAGTTCAGAAAACATCACAGATCCAGTATGGAGTGAGTATAGTGACAAGATACATCCATTATTCAGACACAGCGTCAGAGACCAACTGTCTCCTTTTGTAGATGAGGAAGCAGAAGCCGTGGCAGGCAGAGCCAGGATTTGAAACAAGTTGCTTTGATTCTCAGGCTTTATGAGTGTGCAGAGCTTCTCTCTGCCAAAAGCATGATGCCTTACCTTATCAATAAGGTCACCCTTTGGAAGACAGATGATAGATAGGCCAATGGACCATGTATTGAGTGTTTACTATATGCCAAGCACTCAGGATGCAAATCCAAGCAAGGCAGTTTCTGTCCTCTAGGACAGTGGTGACAAACTCCAATCCAGATAATTCTGTGGGCCACAAATTAACTTAGAAAACCACCAATTAATATGATCTCTGTTGAATCATATTTTTCTTTATTTTGTTAGACATTTTCCCATGACATTCTAATCTGGAGTTTGGGGGGCCTGTGGGCTATGGGTTTGATATGAGTTGACATCTCTGTATAGGAGAAGACACATGAACAGAAGCCAGGAAAGGGAGGGAGGGTGTGAGACTGTGCATACAGCCCCTCGGTTTGGACCTGGTGGCTGGGAAGCAAAGGAGAGGATTGGTTCTGGGAACAAGGATGTAAAGAGACCTCAGCTTTCACGCTTCCAGGGTGGAGTCCAAGTGTCTTGTATGGAAGAGATGGGGATGCAGGCTGGAGTGGAAGCTGAGGAAAAAAACAGGGGATTGTCTCTGACAAGGAAGGTCAGGGCACTGGGATGGAAAAGATGGGACCTTTGGCTAGAAGTGACCAGTCCGGAGAGCTGGGCATAGTGGGACATAACCCTGGATATTGGGAGAGATGTGTTCACAGATGACTTTTCTAGATAGGAAGGAAATACAGGGTGCCAGGGCTTAAGATTTCACAAGAGACGTGGTCACATATGGGATAGATAGCTTTCAAGAATGCAGTTTGTTGGGTTTTTTTTGGCTAGGCAATGGGGTTAAGTGACTTGCCTAGGGTCACATGGCTAGTAAATGTCAAGTGTCTGAAGCCGGATTTGAACTCATGTCCTCCTGACTCCAGGGTCGGTGCTCTATCCACTGCACCACCTAGCTGCCCCATTTCTTCTTTTGACATATTACCAAGACTTGAAGATCATAGAAATGCTGTGTAACACCTGTCTCACAAAGCCCAACAGAGGCTAGAGTTACTGGTACTATAGCTTTAAGAACCAGAAGGAATGTTGAGGGTTTAGCAATTGGAGCTGAGTAGCTTTTGAGAAAACTGGAGAGAAAGAGTTAAGGAGATGGTTTCAATAAAGCAATCCATCAAGAAAGCTAGACTTTGTCCTCAAGGGGCTTGCAATCTAACAGGGGAAGACAATACATAAAAAGAGAATGAAAAGGGAGAGGGGGAAGAGGCATCTGGTGTAGGGGCAGTGGGCAATGAAGAGAGGCTGGCTGGGGCCCTTCCCCAAATGGATATTCAGGAGTTCACAGCTCCGCCCTCCAGATCAGCGAAGGGACCAAAGACAAGGGGATCTGGCAGGATAGCAAGGGCTCCCAATGAAGGAGAAGTCCACAAGTGTGCAGAATGTTGGTGGCGGTCCTCTGTGCTTGAAGACCAAAATGGCATCGCGATGTGGGGGTCAGGGTGCAGTGCATCCGATTGTGGCTGATCAGACCAAGACGCGCTCGGGAGGCTCTGCCACAGGGCAGGCACAAATGATCCACGTGAACATCTGGGGCGGTGACGGCTCTAAGTGTGCGTTTCTCACATTTGTTTTGAGCTACTGCCATTCTGCCTCGCTCACGCAGCACAACGCCTTCTCTGACGAGGACATGACGTGCTGAGTGGTCCTGTGCCAGCGTCTCCCATGTCGCACACTGGATTCCAAAGTTCTTCAGAAAGATCTTGAGAGTGTCCTTGTATCGCTCCTTCTGACCACCATGTGAGCACTTGCCTTGTGTGAGTTCTCCATAAAACAGTCTTTTAGGCAAATGCACACTTGGCATTTGAACAATGTGGCCTGCCCATTGGAGCTGTACTCTCTGAAGCAGAGTTTGAATGCTTGGCAGTTTAAGTTCGAGAAAAGACCTCAGTGTCCAGTATCTTATCCTGCCAGTTGATCTTCAGAATCTTCCTAAGACCATTCAGATGGAAGCGATTCAGTTTTCCGGCATGGCAGGGTCTAGGTTTCACAGACATACAACGAGGTCAGCACAACGGCTCTGTAGACCTTCAGTTGAGTAGGCAGCCTGATACCACTTCTCTCCCACACTTTCCTTTGAAGCCTGGCAAACACTGAGCCAGTTCTGACAATGCACATGTCAACTTCATTATCAGTGTTTACATCCCTGGAAAGCATACTGCCAAGGTAAGGGAACCTATCTACAGCATTTAAAACATCTCCATTTGTTGTAGAGTGTAGCAAGGTAGGAAATGAGGGGGTTAGGGGTTAAATGGTTTAAGAGACGTCAAGAAGACAGAGAGAAAAAGGATGAGGAGATCAGATGTGACTCTAGTCCCAGTGCTCAAAGTGAGGACTCTGGCTGTGATCCTTCTGACAGCCAGAAATCTATTTGTGTCCATTATTATTGGCAGTTTTGTTGATAAACTGCATAGCTGGTAACCTTAATATTGATTTAATCCAGTAGTTTGGAGAATTATAAAGATATGAAGCAGGTTTTGATGGGGTTGGGGCTCTGAGCTTAATTGATTAATCAGTGACAGAGATGCTGCAATTTAGCAATTAATGAGAAAATATCCAATCATACCTCTGTATGAGTTTCTACAAACTCAGGATGTTGAGAATGAATATGGTAAAAGGCAAATCAAAAGCAAATTTGGTTGGGAAGACCCACAAAAACCTGATAGAGGTAGGTGAGCAGATGTCACCAAGGGATCACCTCTCACCCTGTTCTTGTGGACACAAAGAGACATGAGGTACTCCAGGTGAGAAGCCTCCTCTCCCCCAAATCCCATTTCATTACGTCTGTCTCAGCAGCATCTCCCACCTCCTTCCTCCTCTCTCTGCTCCCTCAGCTTGTGACAAGCTGTAATCCTCGCTCACCTGGATGATGGCTGTAGTTTGCTAGCTGGTCTTCCTGCCTCCAGCCTTCCTCCTCTTTACTCTATCCTCTCTACAGCTGCCAAACTGATGTTCCTAAAGCAGATGTCTGACCCTATCATCCCTTTCTGTGGCTCCCTGCTGACCTGAGGATCCAATACCCTTTCCAGCCTTATTTCACACACTGGTCTGCCCAAAGTCTGAGCTCTAAGAGTCACCACAAATGAGTTGCTATCTGCCTGGAAGGAAGTTTCTCCTGGATTTCCCGGTGATTTGTGCTGACCTTGCATAAAGAAGCCCTTCTCCAGCCAAATGGGCATCTCTTTCCTGCGGGTGAGGCAGGAACTGCTGTAAGCCTCCAGGTGGGGTGCCCCAGCAGCCTTCTGCAGCTGACACAAAGCTACAAGCATACCATGCAGGTTTTTGTATGCTTCATTTAAAATTTTGTTTCCAATTAGCAAAAATCAATGTTTATCTCCATACCCTTCCCCCAAACAGGAAAAGTCAAGAAAATAATTTCCACATTGACCACGTGTCTCACTGTTTGCTGTTCTCTCGTAAACGAGGCCAGCTGACTGAGCTGACTGAGCAGGAGTTCACTGAGGCAGGATCCAACTCAGTGGGGGACCAGACTTGGACGAGACCCCGTGTCCGGCCCTCAGTGTGACCATGGGCTTTCTGGCAGCCACTCAAAATGGCCAGGGATCCCGATAGGCAAAGGGGCTCATGCTCCGCCAGGAGTGATACCTCGCTATATCGTCTCCTCAGTCATTATCTCTTTGTAAAAAAGGGAATGGATAATGACTGCCAACAGATGAGTGAGACTGGTATGGAGGTACCACACCAGGGGCTCCAGCCAACTGTATCAGGACACCCCAGCCCTTTGACTTTGTGGTTACCCCTAGGACCAGGGGAAATGCAGCCAGCCTCCCAGGGATCCAACCTGGTTGTGGAAGCAGGAGTTGGGAAAAGGACCCCCGGAGGCCAGAAGGTGACATCCATGAAGGGGAAGGGGCTGCATGAGCAGACAAAACCCCCCAGAGATAGCTGGACACCAAAGCTAGTGTTTCCTACTTTCTAGCTGAGGAAATGCCTCCCCTCCTTTGGGATGGAGCCGGCAGGATCCCAGGGAGGGTACATCACTGCTTCCACCAGTGGGGCTTTCACCCTTCAGTGGGGTGCCCCGGGTGTTGGTGTTGCTTTCAAGTCCTTTCTCTGGCCTCTACCGGACATATAGCTTCAATGTGCATTTCTCTATTAGTGGCTTTGAGCCTCTTTTTCCATTTAGCTATTGAGAGCTCAGATTTCTTCCTTTGAACACTTTCTGCCCGCATCCTCTGACCGCTTATCCCCTGGTCTTGGGGTGTAGGGTGTTCAGGGAGGACCAGCACCTTTGGCGGGAAGGCTGCTCGTTCACCTCTGGTGTCCACCTGGCCCCCAACTCTCACCTGTGGCTCCAAGAAGCTGGAGCATGTACAGCAGCCACACCCTGGTAAACTCTTTCAGCAGACGGGCTGAACCAGGTTGAGGGTAACCGCAGGGTCTCAGACCCTTCGGTGAGTTTGAGGGGTGTCTACGCCAGGCACGTGAAGACTTCTCCTGGCAGAATGGGCGGATGAGAACACTTTGTTCCATTGGCCATGAAGGTGGCTGAAGCAGGAGCTGGGGGTGCTTCGAGCTTGGTCAGACATCGAAGATGCCATCCTCACTGCATCCCGGGCCATCACCAGTTATCATCTGGGCTCTGTCCTGCCATGGGATCTGATGATGTTGGAGGAGAGAGTGAGGCTGATGGCTTTGTGTAGCTCTGCCTCACTGAAATCCAGTTTATGCATGAATCACAAGATATCACCCATACCATTTGACCATCTGTACCTATCTCAGAGTCCTGTGGTGACAGACAAGTGATGAAGCAGCAGGTGCAGATGCACTGGAGCCTGTAGTCACGACCCTGCATGCAGGCATCCCGGGCCCAGGATCATCTCCTCAGTGAAAGCAACCGTGGGATTCGGCAGCCTCCTGGGTGTCTGAGCAGCCTTTTAAGGACTGCACTGCTCACCTCCTGGTGTGAAGAAGGGGCTAGAAAAGGTGACCTACAAATTGTCTGCTTACCCAACCCTGACCTGACTACCACAGCATGGGGATCCCACCCTGTGGATAAGACAAAAAAAAAAAAGTAGAAAAACTTCCACAAAGATGATTCCACTCACCATCAGTACACGGAATGTACGCACTCATAGATGACACAAAACCGGTAGGCCTGGAGGATGAACAGCTCTTGTTGGGGGAGAACTCGGCAGGTGTCGCATCCAAACAGCAGCCCTGAGTGAAGCAAGGCTGGCCAATGAGGCCAGCTCCCTGAAGTCGGAGACAGATCCATGTCTTTCTGGAGTGACCGCGGTGAAGGGAGCGCCATGAAGCGGGGTAGGTTTCACAATCGAAACTAATCTAGTCAACAAGCTCGTATGCCTACCAAGAGGAGTGAATGACAGGCTCAAGACAGTGCAATTGCCACTTGCAGGAAAACGTCACACCGCCACCATCATCAGTGCCTATGCTCCCACCACGAGGAACCCTGATGAGGTCAAAGAAAAATTTTAGGAAGGCCTGGAGACCCTTATCATCAACGTGCCAAGAGAGATCAAGCTTACGATCCTGGGTGACTTTAACACTAGGGTAGGCTCAGACTACCAGACACGGCAGGGAGTCCTAGGGAGGAATGGAGTGGGAAACAGCAACAGCAATGGTCACTCACTACTGAAGACTTGTTGTCTCATGAACTTGTCATCACCAACACTGTCTTCTGTTTACCTAAATGCAATAAAACTGTGTATGCGCCCTTGCAGCAAACATTGGCATTTAATAGACGATGTGATTGTAATGGGAAGAGACAGACAGGATGTGAGAGTGAAGAAAGCGACGTGTGGCGTAGAGTGCTGGACTGATGATAGACTTATCCTC